GATATAGCATTGGAATTGGAATTCTTGGAACCCTTTCCATTTCCACCAGCCGGAGCCGGTGCTGGGGCAGCGGCATCATCCCCTCCTTCTGCATCAGCATTGTCGTCCTGAGCCTGAGACAGGGCCGAAACCAGAAGAAGGCCGAAGAGAACGTAGAACAGGAACTTCATGATGCTGCTGGAATGCAAATGATGATTTGTGGAAGGGAAACTTGGCATTATATACGTTCCTCGATTGAGGTGTTTCTAATGGCTGAAACCGATCCTAATCGGAAGTTTTGTAACCAGCTCGCTTGTGGCGTCTATTCGGTTGCATGGGGAGTCGTGACGAAATTAAATTCTACACATTAATTTGTGTAAGTGGAAACATTTTACATGACATTTAAGCTTGCGTTTGCCCGTGTGCCTTGTATCTTGCGGTTGTCTCGTGGTTGCCACTCGAAGGATACACCGCACACAAGCAGCGGGTATATGCACCGAAAGAAATGTGCCATTAGTAGTGGTAGAAAATATGTCTTTATATATTTAACCTTTGTACTTTTTGGTTTTTCTGTACTTTACCCTTTCTAACATTCCAGAACTATCCCCCGTATATAATCAATACTTCACGACTTAACCCATGTCGCTTAGTAACTTGTGTTATACAACTAACCTTTTAGCTTAATTTTGAATCGATTCTCTTACAAATACGTAGATCCCTTTTGTGCCAGTGTACGTATGTGCATTTTTGGGGGAATGGAAGGCGCTTTGCACTTTGTCTGCTGGGGCGGAATGCGCCGCGTTCAGTCCTCAGTTCTCACTTTGAGCTTATTTTTTGGACTCCCCCTTGGCACCGCAGCTCCGGCAAACTTTCCACGGAACTGCAATGGTGTAAGTGGTCTCGGGGGATGCAAAATGGGGCGGAGGCCAGGGGGTTTTGGGATGGAGTTGGATGATTCGGTGGACGGGGGGACTGGAGGAACACCCCCCCAATGCGGTCGTGTAGTCAACTTCAACTTCACTTAAAATCCTTTTTGCCATTACGTTTCGATGCATATGAGGTTTTGTTTGGAGGCAAGTGCTCTAACTCCAGTTCCGTCCTGCTCTGAGCTTATTTATAATTTAAATTTGGCAAAAGTTTCGCCAGGTTGCATTCCCAGCCATCCGAGTGGGTGAACTTTACTTTTATGTAAATGACACACACATCACCCCGTCCCTGCCCTCGGTTCGATGTCATTCACAAAGTTTCGCCAGAGAGCGAGCGGGCTCTTTTCCGGGTTTTCCAGAGTCCACAGTCCGGAGCAGTCATTATGGCCTATGATTATGGCTATTAGAGTGCAGTTCGCCCCGGCTTAAGCTGCGGTCCATGTGTGTGGTGGGTCACCTGGTGGCTTATCCGCCAGTCGAGTTCGACAGAGATTCACCACCGCCAGGTGGGCAAATTTAATATACGAATTTATCTGCGAGACGGCAACACCTCTAAGCACCCGAAAATAAACACTCTTTTAACAGCTTTATCAAAGCTGAAAAGCCTGCTGCCCAAAGACAGTTGGCAAAACTCCGACCAATAAAAATTAAAATATTTAAGTAAAGCGTAAAGATGCAAAGCTCCGCAGTAAAGAAAGATACATGGCCCAACGAAACCAGGACAGGGAAAAATGCACAGAGAAAAACCAAATTAGAGAGCAACGAAAGCACACAAGACCTTGGAAATATTAATTATAAAATAAATAAATAAATATTTGACTTGAAAGCAACAGGCCTTAAGAATTTGAACCCATCCAATTAAATATACGAAGTTTTTAGCAGGTTCCTAGTTTTATTTATAAATATATTAACATTAAGGCAAAACGAATAAAATTGTATTTATCCTTCTACTTCAATACTCTTCTTCTTTTAAAATATTTAAAATCTGAATTTAAATTTGGTATTTATTTTTCCAAGTGAGAGATGAGAGCAGGAGTCCCAGAACTCGGTGGCGGGTTCTATGGCAGATTAAAAATTCCACACAACCTGGGGTGGTGGCTCCTGAAGGGTGGCCTGGGCTGGCTGGGAGGTGTGTATGTGCGGGCCAAAAGTATCATTGCAAAAGTTTCATTCGACGCTTTGCAAGAGATTTGGAAGCTGCGGTAAAAATGCCTGCAAGGCGGAGACAGCCTGCCGGAGAACGGGGATTCCCGCCGCACAGCTGCCTCTCGGTCCAGGCCTCCCCTCCCCCTTTCCGCCACCGTGTGCCAAGTATTTTCTCAGTTAATTATGCAAAGATATACGCTTAAAATTTTGCAATATTACGTGCATATTTCAAATACCCAACGTGAAAATTCCCGCTGCCAGCGTAAAAACCGAGGGCCGTAAAAATGCCTCCGAGGAACAAGAGCAGCCGAAGGATTCGAGGGATCCGAAGGATACTGCCGCGCCACACACCACCACAGCTGTGGAGCCAAAGAACAGGCCAAAAAGGTTATGCCTCGTACGTGGCAAAGGGGCTCAAGTGCTCCTCCAGGATGTGGGTTACTGCCGCTTGGCGGATGGATGGATGGGGGGAAGGATGAATGTATAGGAGGTGTGCGTGTGTGGGGGGTGTTACTCCCTCGGCACACGACTTTTTAATTGCTCGTTTGCCTTGCAATCATCGCTCGTCGTAACGGGTTTTGTCGTTTATTGTTAACGCCAACGTTGCCAACTGGCCTGGCCCAAAAGAGCACCCAAAGCCGAGTGCGCGTTTGTGTCTTACTAAAGTGCCCCGATTTTAAGGTTAGCTAGAAAGGATCTTCCTCCCCGAAGAGATTTCTTATTATGGTATGGGATGGGCATCTTGTTTTTAAGAGGTGCTAAACATTTATTTTGTTTAATGGCAGTGTTTTATGCTTTCTATTTACGAACTAAGACCACTTAGCAGTAAAGTTCAGTAATATTTTAAGCAGAAAAGTTTGGCAGGATCTTTTCTTGTTTTCAACGCTTTAACGGATCTGATTTAACTGATCTGACCTTTCGATTAGTTCCACTTCAAGACCAGTACTAAATAGCAATATCTTTTAGTTTAATCTAACCTTTAAACGACAGAATTTTATAAGAGTGATATTTAATAGTAAGAAGATTCAGACGACTATCAGCAAAGTTTCTTTCAGATAGCTTCAATACTAATGTCTACATCGACATCGGCTGTTGATGATCTTTTAATAATACAAGGAAAAGATCAAGGCACAAACTTTCTTGTGATATTTCTGAATGTCATATAACGATTCAAATTTCAACGTAAACAAATCCACAGATGATGTGCACACCAAACCTCAAAAACTTCCAAAGAGAAACTATTCTACAATACTACGTAATCTAGTTTATTGCAATTTGTTAATTTCTTAAGTTTTTATGATTCTATAGATACCCTCGACATCTGCCAGAGCGGCATCAGAAAGCAGGAAAGCAGCGATCTAGAGGAACTTCATCGTGACCGTCACACAGGTTCTAAATTTTGAGGTAGTTCAAATGAGGCGTTTTATGGAATCGTTCTAAGATCAAGTATATCGAATTGGCATGATTAGTTTTGCTTATGAAAGAGACGTTAAAGCCTATGTTTTATAATATTGAGCTAATCATTAAGCGACACGTGTACTTCCAGAATAATATAAGATTTTGGGTGATGCAACTGATGCCTGATATCGAATAAATGAATTAAAAAACTAATAAAACAATATTTTTTATTAAGATAAAGATCGGTGTTAGCTTCTTTATTTCAAAATAAAAAGTTCAAAATGAATTAAGCCCTGTACGAATTTTTTTCGTGATCCTGGGCTTTCGCCAGAACAATTGCAAAGAGCAGACAATTTCAGTAAAATTTTATGCTGAAAAGTTGTTCAGTATCTTTTCATTTTTTTAACCCTTTAAACTAAGAATGTTTTACGAACACTACATCAGCTTTCTTTATTGCAAGTAGACAATTATTGACTGTCCTAAGGGCATTTTTATGATCCTATGGATATGTTGTTCGTGTTGTTGTTCCTTTGACCATCCTGGGCACTCGCCAGAGCAACAACAGAGAGCAGGATAGCAGCGACTTGTAGGAACTTCATCGTGTCGGTCCAACAGGTTGTAGATCTTGAGTCAGCTCAAACCCGGCCTTTTATAGCACAGTGCCGAGCCAAACTAAGATCAAGTGGAACGTCTCTACACGATTAATTTTGCCTCTAGAAGAGACCTGAATATATATATGTATATTTTCTTAAAATTGAGCTAACCATTCAGCGACACGTGTACTTCTTAACCTTTTGCAGAATAATATAAGATTTGAAGTGATGCAACATTTGCTGATTTTAAATAAATAAATTGAAAAACTGAAAGAAACTGATGTAAATGTAATGTAATATCAAATTTCCTAAATTTCCTAAAACATTACTTTGTATATACATAAATAGAGGCATTTTTGGAACTCAACATGATTTTATCGATATCAAAATAAAGTTATTTAAAAAAGCAGACTCTTTGCAATGATAATAGTTGTCATTTAAGGATTATATATTCTACATACTTTTGTGATTCACATATAGAGTAAACATAAAAGGATTTTTAATGGGGGACATTCTATAAAGTAAAATTGTTCTACAATTCTGTACTAGCAATTTTATTGTAATTTTAAAAAATAATTTAAATAATTACAATTTAAAATCATGTAAAGAATTGTATTCTGCTATTTCAGTTTGGTTTGTCTATGTTTTGGTGTTTGCCTTCTCATCCTGGGCACAGCAGAGAGCAGGAACGCAGCGATTTGGAGGCACTTCATTGTGACTATCACACAGGTTGTAGATCTTCAGGTAGCTCCAACCAGCTTTTTATAGAATCCTCTTAGACAAGCTAAGATTAACTTGTTCTAACGAACTAAACTATTTTCCATCCACATAGATCGCGATCGTGAAGTACGTCACACAGCTCCTTGGGCGGTTTCTTCCTGGCAATCCTATACAGACTCCTGTAGTCCACATGGGGTGACTGTGATATTCTATATTATAAAGTAAAATTGATCTACAATACTGTATAAGCTTTTTTATTGTATTTTTATATGTAATAAAATTATGTAAGGAATTTTATCCTGCTATATCGATTTGGTTTGTGTTTGTGTTGGCGTTGCCAGCGTCCTCCTGGGCACTCGCCAGAGCAACAACAGAGAGCAGGACAGCAGCGATTTGGAGGAACTTCATCGTGACGGTCAGTCTGGTTGTATATCTTAAACAGCTCAATCCAGGTCTTTTATAGCATCATTTCGAGCCAAGCTAAGATCAAGTGGAACGTATTGGTACGATTAGTTTCGCCTTTAAAATAGAATCGCTTTACGAGGGACCTTCATAAATTTCAACACAATTTTAAACGATTTCATATTAAAAGCGCTTAAATAAAAAAATATATGATATTTAAAAATTAAAACTAACCAAATGCTCGGTTATATTCCTGGCAATTCTATACAGAATCCGATTGGTACGTGGAAGAATCCATACGTGGAGTACACACCGACATGAAAGGGGTGTTGATGGGGTGGTTACGCCTGCGAATGCGTGCTAGTGACTGTGATTTATGTAGGGCAGGGCCTCCATTTCGGGCTACCTCAGCTCGAGCTTGTGCCGCTGCCGCTGTTGCTGGCAACTCAAAACATATGCATAGATAAATTATACGCGGTAAGCGCCCAAAATTCCCCCCGAAAACAGCAACAATGGCAATAACAACCTCAGCAAATAGCGCGAAGAGCAAACATTTTGATGTGACGAGACTAAATTGAGTATATGGTGTATTGTGGGGGAGGGGGGCGTGCCCAGGTGCCGCCTCCCCACTCCGCACCCGGCTTCACCCTGCTCTAAATAATCCCGTGAATGCTTTTGGATTTCCATTATTTTTTCCGACTTTCCCCTTTCATGTTTTCCGCCTCCCGCACCCCTTGACACATCTCGGAGAATGTATTTGTATTGCACGTCAGTCAGTTGGAAAATAGATTTCTGTTTCAGTTATCATCTCGAATCCAGACCCAGATGCTAACCAAAGTTTTGCCCCTTCAAAGCTGCAATATTCGCCCCCTAAAAAACGTACAAAAAAAGACATATAAATATATGCGGTGAAGTGAAACTTATCAATTGTTAACAGAAATTTCTAATAACACCTTTTTCACACCCTGGAATGTAATCAATGCATTGATACATTGCAATGTATGTAGTACCATTTGCAAGGTTAGAAATCTAATAAACTTAATTCAAAGATTTTTTAAAATTATTAATAATTATTTTTTCATAAGTAACTCATTTTTAAGGAAATCTTTAATAGAGTGCAAGCAATGAAAAGTTCGTTTGAGTTGAGTTCTTTTCAAAATTCCGTTTCCAGTTCACAGTTCACTTGAAGGACTCGGCGCCGGGAATCGTTTAAGCCATTCCACAAGAATTAAACCGTTTTGCTCCAAATCTTTTGGCCAAACAAATCACAGCTGAGCACACAGCACAGCAGGGGGAGCAGTGACGGGGGGCATGGCAGATTCAGGGGAAACATGCATAACAGGAGCAGCGGCGGCGGCATCCTTATATCGATGGCATTCACATGTTTAGCACACAAACGAAATGCCAGAGCAAAAATATGCATACAAATCTATCTGTGCGCATTGGATGGCCAAAATCGAGTCCAGTTTCGCAGGCGAGGGGGAGGGACTACCCGGACTTGGCACTCGGAGTCCTGCTGGAGTCCTGAACTCGAATCTGAATCTGATTCCGAATCTGTCGACTGCTCTACATTTTGTTGTGCATGGCAAACATTGCGATGGAGTGTGTGATGTGATGTGTGGTGTATCGTACATTGTCTCTATGGGACTCGGGCACGGACCCGGGTTGGGAGCAGCTTCCCCGTCCACACCGCCACATGGCTGCTGTCCCAATCAATTGTCCAAATGTCCAAACTTCATTTGTTATGCGCATCACAAAAATTGAAGCAAATCATTTTGCCAATCGCATTTTGATTTCAAATGTCGCTTGCTGCTGATTGAGTGGCGAGCGGTGGGCGTTGGATGCTCGGTGGCTTTTCGGGGGGCGTGGCATGGGTCTGGGGGTCTGAGAAGGCATAGAAATGGGGTTGGGAACGGTGGTTGATGGGTCAGCCGCCCCACAGTTTATGTTAATGCCTGTGTATATTTGCCGCCAGCGGCGCCTGAAATTATGCAATGTCTTTATTAATTTATCTCAAAACCAAATGGGATCCACACATAGCGAGCATAGCGATGGGAGCGTGATACGGCAGTGCTACCTAATAATCTACACTATAAAAAATTAACCCACAAATTTAATCAAATTGCATAAGTTTTATTTTGGTAATGGTAGCTAGGGTATGTCACTAGGTTTCAATTTATTTTAGTTTTTGTTTTCTATTCCTAAATACTATACCAAATATATATAAATTTAAAAAAAAAAGATATTAAACAATAAAAAAAAATATTAAATAAAATAAATATATATAATTATTTCAGCGTGTCGAAGTAAATTTTTTTTATTGTTAAAATTAGTAATTACCTCAGTCTTATCAGTGTTTTTCTATGACCAATCATTATTAAAGCGCATTTCCCATATTTGTGAAATATATCACACCATCCAAGACCGAAATAAGGCTGTTTACTACCATGGACTAGGTCTCACGTCACCATCTCTATAGCTCAACCAAGGCCTGCGGAGGATTTATTTTCGTCAGGGCCTCCTCACATTTTGGTTCCGGCTATTTATGCAGTGTTTAACTTGGCCTGCGGCTCCTGCTCTGCCTTGCCGCCGCGACTATCCACGTTTTCGTGGGGGCGACACATTGCCGCGAGGGCGTGGCTCTTTCACGCCCCAGTCGCGTAACTCATTTTCGCTCGCCAGACGAGAAGAGGAGTGCGGGAGGCAGGGCGGGTGGGGAAATGGAAAATGCGAAAAGGGAAAGAAAGTTTCTTTTGCCGCCACTTGGCACATTCTTAATTTCTTGCGTATTTTGTCAAGACAAATTGAATTTTTATGAGCGTCGCCCGACGACGTCGTCGTTTGCGAAAAGCAAAAGAAATCGCAAAAGTCGCCGAGGATGGCAGCAGCAGCAGCGGCAACAGAAACTTTAAACTTTTCTCATCTTGTGAAATTCATTTTATCACAAGTAATTACTTTGTAAATAACCGGCGGAGAGGCAGAGGCGGCGGCACCTGCTGCTGCTGCCGTCCGTCTTGGCCACTTGAGCGGCAATAAAATGGCTTAAATCCTACAGGAACACTGCGCCCGCTTAAGAATATGATGAAAAGACAATGCAGTTGGCTCTCAAACGATTTACTTTGCCTGTTTAGTGCAACTTGCCATTGGGTCCGTCAAACCGCGACAATAATTTGCACAGAGAAAACATAGACGACGATCTTAGTGGGTAAACGTCGGAGAGCACTTGCGATGATCGGCCGTAGACGCCGCTGGGCAGCCATTAGCTTAGTCGAACAGACCGAAGCCCATGTCATCGTCCTCCTCCTCGGACTCGGACTCGACCTTCTTGGCCTCCTCCTTCTTCTCGGCAGCACCGCCGGCGGCGGGAGCAGCCGAGGCCGAGGCAGCGGCGGCAAACTTGCTGGGGTCCTTGATGTACTCCTTGATGGTGGTGGCCTCCTTGAACTCCACATCGGTGGTGGCAGCGATGGCCAGCAGGTTCTTGAATCCGTTGGCAATGCTGTGCGGGGCCGAGGCAATGGTCGGGTATCCCACAGACAAACAGACGGCGGCCAGGTTGGCCACACCCTGTTGGAACTTGGCGCGCAGATCCTCGGGCTTGATGTCCAGGATCTCGGGCGAGAAGATGGAGCCAGAGTCGTAGACCTGGTTGACAATCAGGCCGTACGAGAAGGGCGAGATGTTCAACATGTTCAGCAGAGTGGCCTCGGAGGCGCCGACCTTGTCGCCGGGCTTCAGGATGGGCACATCGTTGATGATTTCAATTGTTCCCTTGGAAATCTTGGTCGGGATGGACAGAGCCTGGAAGAAACTGGTCTTCTCGGGTCCCAGACCGGTGTTCTGGGCCGGGATGATGACATGCAGAGGAGCAATGGCGCCGGGACGGGCCGGGGCGCGCACCTTGGACTCCAGCAGCTTGTCACGCACCTCGGCGAGATCGCCCTTGGTGAAGACGAAGCCAACGTTGCCCTTGATGTGCGGCAGCAGCTTCTCCAGCTGGGGGTTGTTCTCCAAATGCCCGCGGATGGCCTTGCGCATCATGGTGTTCTTGCCCATCAGCACGACGGCCAGTCCACGCAGGCTGGTACGGATGTTCTGCATCTGCTTGGAGCCCACGTTGTCGGCGCCCACGATGAAGCACTTGGGGAACTCATCGAACAGTTCCTGCGGAACGGAGCAGACGGTAAAGGATTAGCGGCTGACCCCAAGCACACGCTTCCTGGCGGGCGGTACTTACCACGACCTTGATGAAGTACTGAGCCTTCCATGCTGCCTTGTTCTCCCTAACCATTTTGATGCTGATTTAGGGACTCGTCGGTTGAATTTAAGAACTGCAAAAGAGCCATTCGATTAGTCACAGCACTAGCCTTGTTTCGGGTGGCTTTCCCGACCCAATACTCGCGGGATGGAGCATATTTCGGCATTTTTTAGGCGTACTTACCAAAGCACAGACTTTTCGGTTTTCGCTCACAGAACGGAAAGAAGTTAAGTTGGTTGCGGAAGGCAGAGCTGCAAAAATATCGATACTAGTATCGATATATCGATGTTTGTATTTTTGGATGCAGTATCGATTTATAGTGTTATGACACTACCGCATTAATTACAGACTTCATCAGAGATTAGGCAGCTCCATAGAGCTTTCCACACGTGCTAGCAAAACGACTTCATGGACTAATGCAAAAAACGATGTATTTGGTGGCGAGCTTCTTGGGCTACTAATTAATTTAAATACATATTTGTTAATTTAATTATGTCCGCATACATTACTTTCAAAAATGTGTCATACGGTCATTACTGTGTCATACAGCCATACGCAACAGTGCATTGGCTGAGTCTGGCCACTCTACGCCGCTCAGCTGTTTATAAAAACAATTGTTACGAATTTGTTGTAGTTATACATTGTTTAGCTTAATCTTCGAATAGAATCTCGTTTATATAAAACTGCGTAAAACCTACGTGCATCACCTGATGCTGGTGCCTTGGAATTACCAATAGTAGGCAGCTTACTACCAGGAAGATCTCCATCGGAATTACAGACGATTTCATCAGAATGGGCAAAGATTACTACAAAATTCTGGGCATCGAACGGAATGCATCCAGCGAAGAGGTGAAGAAGGGCTACAGACGAATGGCCCTGCGCTATCATCCGGACAAGAATGACCATCCACAGGCCGAGGAGCAGTTCAAGGAGGTGGTGGCCGCCTTCGAGATCCTGTCCAACAAGGAGAAGCGCGAGATCTACGACCAGTTCGGTGAGGAGGGCCTAAGGTGCGATGACGAGCCGGCGACCTTCGCCCAGCCCACGTCCGATATGGTGCCGTTCATGTGTGCCGTTGGCGGAACCGTGCTGTTCGCCTTTGCCGCCTATAAGACATTCCAGTTTTTCACACGCAAAAAGGAGACGTCGGCCAACAACGATGGGTCGTCCTCGGACTAAGCTAAGGACTACAATAAGGACATACTCGAATTAAGTTAAGTAAGAGAAAGGACTATTTGATCTGGCTAAGCCTGTGATATTTCACGTTATTGTTGTTCTGCTAAATCGGGACATGCAATGTTGCTTTCAAGAATATATTTTTAACGTTGCTGCCTCATTGCGCACCCTTAATTTACAATAAAGACCTTTTATTAAAAATATTATTTATTAAACTGGATACATGTTGCTATATTTCACTGTATGTTGTCGCATTAATGATTGGAGTTTGTTGCGATTTTCCCCTCTGGCAGTGATCAGTGATCATGTTCTGCTGAACGCGGCCTTCAGTAAAATATCGATCAGCAGCAACTATCGATGCAGTGTTTTGGTTAGTTTGATATTTCAATTAGTTTATAAGACATAAAAATAATGATTTTATAACAGCAACATGTACAAGCCGTTTGGGTGCCTCGATTTCTACAGCGTTTTGGGTGTGGATAGAGACGCCTCGGTGGAGGAAATCAAGGAGGCCTTTCGTCAGCTGGCCTTGCGCTATCATCCCGACAAGAGCAGATCTCGCGCTACGGAAGAAAAGTTCAAGATAATTCTACACGCCTACAATGTGCTGACGGACGAATATCAGAGATATAATCACGACAATGATCTAAGGCGGAGGCAGGATCGAAACTTCAACAGAACCCATCCGCGCCAGGAGGAGACGGATCATAGACAGGAACCAAGTCTCAGCCAGAGATTTTGGAGGTGGCTGATTCCGGACTGCATTTTTGTGGTATTTAGCCAGTTGAGGCTGTGGCTTACGACATACTGCCAGTTGGGATTCATCTTTGCGAAGTCTGGCTACAGAAAATGCTGCCAGCGGGCAACGGTGCTCCTCATCAAGCTAGGGCCAAAAGTTAAGGAATGTGCTGTCGGTTTGGGAGGGACAGCAGCAGTACTGGTCAAGTGGTCTCTATGTGCCTTCATCAAATTGTTTTGGTGGAATATTAAGCAGTTGATGGCTGAGCTGTTCTGGGCCTTCGTAAGGGCACCTGGCAACCCCATCCAAAAGCTCATATGGGTGGGCTTCGCCTGGCAGATCACAATTCTAGGTCACGACATGGGGGCTTGGCCTTGGGTAGGTTGGCTAATGCTAATGATAATTCATTTCTCGTTGATTTTCATTATGTTTGGGGTAAAAATTATTATATTCATACTCTTAAACACGATTCCAAGTCCATCATTATTATAATTTATAAGAAATTACAAAAAAAAAATTCCATTATTAATTAGTAGTAAAAACAATGCTGTCTGTTAGTAATTTAGTAATTTATTAAATTATTTATGGGGGGGAAATATAAATAAAGTATCGGCATCGATATTTATTTGATCTGGAACTAGGGCTGTGAAAATATTTTAAAAATATCGCAGCAACGATATGTAATTTTAAAAAATATTTCAAACGAATAAAATATTTATCATCCGAAAAACATTGAGTATTTTAGACATATATTATTCCAATTATTTTTTTAACCCCCAAACAAAAGTTTGTTTTGTTTTAATGTTTAAGTAACATTAATTTTTTTTTTTTACCGGAAATTCGGAATATTAAAAATAATAAATCAATAACTGGGTATTTCGAGTTTAAATACGAATTTCGATTAAATAGATTTTAAAAATGTATAATTTTAAAAACCGAATATATCGATATACCCATCTTTTCATAAATTTTTCACACTCCTATATGGAATATCGATATACTGATATTTTGATATATTTTCACATTCCTATCTGGATCAAGTTTGCAGATAAACAATAAACAATTTTGGTACTTTCCCCATTATAGAGTAGCAAATGATATTACTATATTTTGTGGTAGAAGGAAGATCTTCAACGGAATTACAGACGGTTGCATCAGAATGGCCAAAGATTACTACAAAATTCTGGGCATAGAACGGAATGCATCCAGCGAAGAGGTGAAGAAGGGCTACCTGCGGATGGCGCGGCGCTATCACCCGGACAAGAATAACCATCCACAGGCGGAGGATAAGTTCAAGGAGATGAAAGCAGCGTACGAGATCCTGTCCGACAAGGAGAAGCGCGAGATCTACGACCAGTTTGGTGAGGAGGGCCGAAGGTTCCGTAACAAGCCGGCGACCTTCGCCCAGCCCACCTATAAGACATTTACACGGAAAACAACATTTACTACTACATTTACGGCCAACAACAATGGCTCAACATATGATGCATCCAGGTAAAAGAAAAAAAGACCAAACACCCAAACGAAAACTTATTTCAGATAATTTTCAGAGGTTCAGGCCGCGGAACATTTTTTAAAAGCACATTTTTCTATACCGGCATCGGCATTGGCATTGTTGTTGCTGCTGCTGCTGGATATCTAACGTACAAACGTTTCCGAAGCGGAAACTTAGAAGAAATAGCCAAGGCAGCTTCTGAATTGACGGCTTCCGACGCTGCACCCAATTTATCAGCTAGTACTGTGGGAAAAATAACTCAAGCTACAATGGAAAAAACTATGGCTACCATAAATTGGACTTTTAAATGGAAGGATTCCGATGCCGCATCGTCTTTAGGATCTCCACCAGCTTCGTCAGCTAGTATTGTGGAAAAAATAGGTCAAGCTACAATGGAAAAAACTATAAATAAGGCTTCTGATGCCGCATCCTCTTTAGGATCTCAACTTGCTTCGTCAGCTAGTACAGTGGGAAAAATAGGTCAAGCTACAATGGAAAAAACTATGGCTGCCGTAAACTGGGCTTTTAAATGGAAGGATTCCGATGCCGCATCCTCTTTAGGATCTCAACTTGCTTCGTCAGCTAGTACAGTGGGAAAAATAAGTCGAGCTACAATGGAAAAAACTATGGCTGCCGTAAACTGGGCTTTTAAATGGAAGGATTCCGATGCCGCATCCTCTGTAGGATCTCCACCAGCTTCGTCAGCTAGTACTGTGGGAAAAATAGGTCAAGCTACAATGGAAAAAACTATAAATAAGGCTTCTGATGCCGCATCCTCTTTAGGATCTCAACTTGCTTCGTCAGCTAGTACAGTGGGAAAAATAGGTCAAGCTACAATGGAAAAAACTATAAATAAGGCTTCTGATGCCGCATCCTCTTTAGGATCTCAACTTGCTTCGTCAGCTAGTACAGTGGGAAAAATAGGTCAAGCTACAATGGAAAAAACTATGGCTGCCGTAAACTGGGCTTTTAAATGGAAGGATTCCGATGCCGCATCCTCTTTAGGATCTCAACTTGCTTCGTCAGCTAGTACAGTGGGAAAAATAGGTCAAGCTACAATGGAAAAAACTATGGCTATCGTAAACTGGGCTTTTAAATGGAAGGACTCCGATGCCGCATCCTCTGTAGGATCTCCGCCAGCTTCATCAGCTAGTACTGTGGGAAAAATAGGTCAAGCTACAATGGAAAAAACTATGGCTATCGTAACCTGGGCTTTTAAATGGAAGGATTCCGATGCCGCATCCTCTGTAGGATCTCCACCAGCTTCGTCAGCTAGTACTGTGGCCAGTGCATCCAAGGATGTCTTGTCGAAAGTGACAAAGTGGTTCCAGAATTAAAGGACGTCTGTTTTCATTTCTACCCCTTATGATAACATTTTATTCAATTTGTGAACTAACTTCACCTATATCTTTTATAAAGCCTTAAACTTTAAAGGTTTTAATAAATAAGTTTTATAAAATCAAAATTGCCCTTGTTTTTTCTAAGATATTTTCAAATTCAATTCGAAAATCTTTTTGTTTTTGTGGTTTCTAATAGATAATAAAACATGGGCTCATTGTGAAGCAAAACTTTACATCAACAAAATTGAATGATCTATATATAGTAAAGAGTAATTTATTAAATTATTTTAGGGGGTGGGGGTGGGTATTTCATCTGCAACTAGAGGTGTGAAAGTATTAAATCGTATTAACGATATATTAAATATTTACCATGCAAAAAATATCGATACATGGAGTATATCTTATATTATTTCAATAAATTTTTTAACGCCCAAACATAATTTTTTGTTTTAATGATAACATTTATGAGATATTTATAAAAAACGAAAAAAAACCCTGAAACCACGAATTGATTCTAAAAAATTCTATAAGTAAATCGAATATAATCGAAAACGAAAATAATATAAATTATGTATGGGTTTACATCACACATTTATAATTGTATGCTTCTCTATCATTTTATATGACATCGGAAATATGGCGTTTAAATTTATATTTCATAATATACATATATATTATTGAACAATTCTGGAGGCTTAAAAATAATAAATCAAAAACTGTGTATTACGAGCTTAAAATCAACTTAATGAATTCTAAAAATTTATTTCGATGTATCGCATCATTTTAAAAACCGATTATAGAGTCGATTTTATATCCACCTCTATAACAAAAATATCGATATACTAATCTTTTGATATATTTTTACATCTCTATCTGAACCACGTCTTTAAGTAAGCCACACAAAATTTTGGTACTTTCCTGATTATTAAAGAGTAGCAAATGAGTATATATTATTATAATAATTTGATATTTGTATTTGTACAGGAACACAATGGGCAACACAGAGTCTAAGCAAGATCACTACGAAGTGCTGGGTGTGCACCCGAATGCCACGGAAACGCGTATTACCAAAGCTTTTCGCAGCGCGGCGTTAAAATGGCATCCAGGAAAGAAAACACCTGGAAATATCGACCATGCCTATCGCACCCTGTCAAACCGTACAAAAAGAACTGAATATGATGCATCCAGGTAATAAAAGGACCGAAACCCCAAACATAAAACTTATTTCAGATAACTTTCAGAGGTTCAGGCCGCGGAACATTTTTTAAAAGCACATTTTTCTTTACCGGCATCGGCATTGGCATTGGCATTGTTGCTGTTGCTGGATATCTAACGTACAAACGTTGCCGAAGCGGAAACTTAGAAGAAATAGCCAAGGCAGCTTCTGAATTGAAGGGAAAAATAAGTCAAGCTACAATGGAAAAAACTATGGCTATCCTAAATTGGGCTTTTAAATGGAAGGATTCCGATGCTGCATCCGCTTTAGGATCTCAACTAGCTTCGACAGCTAGTACTGTGGGAAAAATAAGTCAAGCTGTAATGGAAAAAACTATAAATAAGGCTTCTGAATTAAAGGCTTCTGATGCTGCATCCGCTTTAGGATCTCAACTAGCTTCGACAGCTAGTACTGTGGGAAAAATAAGTCAAGCTGCAATGGAAAAAACTATAAATAAGGCTTCTGAATTAAAGGCTTCCGATGCTGCATCCTCTTTAGGATCTCAACTAGCTTCGTCCGCTAGTACTGTGGCCAGTGCATCCAATGATGTCTTGTCGAAAGTGACAAAGTGGTTCCAGAATTAAAGGACGTTCGTTTTCATTTCTTTTCCATAAAATATAATTTTATTCAATTTTTGAACCAACTTCAACTATATCTTTTGTAAATGTTTAATCTTTAAAGTTTTAATAAATAAGTTTTAATATACAATTCATATTGCCTTTGTTTTTTTAAGATATTTTCAAATTCAATTCGAAAATCTTTTGGTTTTTGTGGTTTCTAGTAGGATAATAAAATAAATAAAACATTAGCTCATTGTGAAGCAAAACTTTACATCAATAACTTTACATCGTTAACGAACGTGCTCGAAGCGAACATTTAGTTCCAATCAATCTTGCCTTCAGTGATGCCGTTTTAGGGTTTTTCCCCCCTAGATTTTGGGTTTTTTGAACTGCGTGTTCGGGAAAAAATGTAAAACAGCGGGAAGACGCTAATTTAGCTTTATTTTAGTTTGAATTATGCATCAAATTATATTTTCATACATTTGCATAATGCGACTATAAAACACCACAAAATGTTCAAAAGATGATCGGAACATCTTAGATTCAGTATGTTTACGAAAAGGCAGTCGATATAGACGAAATAATTAAAAACTTTAACAAAATATAGGGTTTTATTTTACTTTTTTTAAAAGGATTTTTTGGGGTTTTTGGATATTTTTTTTTTTTGTTTATCTAGCGTTTTTTCGGGAAAAATTACGGCAACACTGCTTGCTCGGTTCGTTACAGTTTTTCGATCGAACGCGTTATATGAGCAACAAAGAATGTTCGAGAATGCTGATTCCAATCAGACCGATGCAACATGCAGCTCTCTGATCCGAACCGATCATTCCTAATACAGCTCTCTGATCGGAAGGAACTGCACCGGAATTGCAGACGATTTTTACCATAATGGGAAAAGATTACTACGAAATTCTGGGCATCGAACGGAATGCATCCAGCGAAGAAGTGAGGAAGGCTTACAAGCTGATGGCCCTGCGCTATCATCCGGACAAGAATGACCATCCACAGGCCGAGGAGCAGTTCAAGGAGGTGGTGGCCGCCTTCGAGATCCTGTCCAACAAGGAGAAGCGCGAGATCTACGACCAGTTCGGTGAGGAGGGCCTAAGGTGCGATGACGAGCCGGCGACCTTCGCCCAGCCCACGTCCGATATGGTGCCGTTCATGTGTGCCGTTGGCGGAACCGTGCTGTTCGCCTTTGCCGCCTATAAGACATTCCAGTTTTTCACACGCAAAAAGGAGACGTCGGCCAACAACGATGGGTCGTCCTCGGACTAAGCTAAGGACTACAATAAGGACATACTCGAATTAAGTTAAGTAAGAGAAAGGACTATTTGATCTGGCTAAGCCTGTGATATTTCACGTTATTGTTGTTCTGCTAAATCGGGACATGCAATGTTGCTTTCAAGAATATATTTTTAACGTTGCTGCCTCATTGCGCACCCTTAATTTACAATAAAGACCTTTTATTAAAAATATTATTTATTAAACTGGATACATGTTGCTATATTTCACTGTATGTTGTCGCATTAATGATTGGAGTTTGTTGCGATTTTCCCCTCTGGCAGTGATCAGTGATCATGTTCTGCTGAACGCGGCCTTCAGTAAAATATCGATCAGCAGCAACTATCGATGCAGTGTTTTGGTTAGTTTGATATTTCAATTAGTTTATAAGACATAAAAATAATGATTTTATAACAGCAACATGTACAAGCCGTTTGGGTGCCTCGATTTCTACAGCGTTTTGGGTGTGGATAGAGACGCCTCGGTGGAGGAAATCAAGGAGGCCTTTCGTCAGCTGGCCTTGCGCTATCATCCCGACAAGAGCAGATCTCGCGCTACGGAAGAAAAGTTCAAGATAATTCTACACGCCTACAATGTGCTGACGGACGAATATCAGAGATATAATCACGACAATGATCTAAGGCGGAGGCAGGATCGAAACTTCAACAGAACCCATCCGCGCCAGGAGGAGACGGATCATAGACAGGAACCAAGTCTCAGCCAGAGATTTTGGAGGTGGCTGATTCCGGACTGCATTTTTGTGGTATTTAGCCAGTTGAGGCTGTGGCTTACGACATACTGCCAGTTGGGATTCATCTTTGCGAAGTCTGGCTACAGAAAATGCTGCCAGCGGGCAACGGTGCTCCTCATCAAGCTAGGGCCAAAAGTTAAGGAATGTGCTGTCGGTTTGGGAGGGACAGCAGCAGTACTGGTCAAGTGGTCTCTATGTGCCTTTATCAAATTGTTTTGGTGGAATATTAAGCAGTTGATGGCAGAGCTGTTCTGGGCCTTCGTAAGGGCACCTGGCAGCCCCATCCAAAAGCTCATATTTGTGGGCTTCGCCTGGCAGATCGCAATTCTAGGTCACGACATGGGGGCTTGGCCTTGGGTAGGTTGGCTAATGCTAATGATAATACATTTCTCGTTGATTTTCGTTATGTTTGGGGTAAAAAGTATTATATTCATACTCTTAAACACAATTCCAAGTCCATCATTATTATAATTTATAAGAAAATTTCAAAAAAAAAAAAAAAAACATTCTTAATAAGTAGTAAAAAGAATGCTGTCTGTTATAAATTTAGTAATTTATTAAATTATTTATGGGGGGAAATATAATTAAAGTATATGTGCTATCGGATTCGGCATCGATATTTATTTGATCTGGAACTAGGGCTGTGAAAATATTTAAAAAATATCGCATCAACGATATATAATTTTTAAAAATATTTCAAATGAATAAAATATTTATCATCCGAAAAACATTGATTATTTTAGACATATTTTATTCCAATTATTTGTTTAAACCCCAAACAAAAGTTTGTTTTGTATAACATTGATTTTTATTTTACCGGAAATTCGGAATATTAAAAATAATAAATCAATAACTGGGTATTTCGAGTTTTAACACGAATTCCTATTAAATTGATTTTAAAAATGTATAATTTTAAAAACCGAATATATCGATATACCCATCTTTTCATAAATTTTTCACACTCCTATATGGAATATCGATATACTGATATTTTGATATATTTTCACATTCCTATCTGGATCAAGTTTGCAGATAAACAATAAACAATTTTGGTACTTTCCCCATTATAGAGTAGCAAATGATTTTTGTGGTAGAAGGAAGATCTCCAACGGAATTACAGACGACTTCATCAGAATGGGCAAAGATTACTACAAAATTCTGGGCATCGAACGGAATGCATCCAGCGAAGAGGTGAAGAAGGGCTACCTGCGGATGGCGCGGCGCTATCACCCGGACAAGAATAACCATCCACAGGCGGAGGATAAGTTCAAGGAGGTGGGGGCAGCGTACGAGAACCTGTCCGACGAGCTAAAGCGCGCGATCTACGACCAGTCCGATGAGGATGGTCTAAGGTTCCGTGACAAGGGTGTGCTCTTCGCCCAGCCCACCTATAAGACATTTACACGGAAAAAGAACACGTGGGCCAACAACAATGGCTCAACATATGATGCATCCAGGTAAAAGAAAAAAAGACCAAACACCCAAACAAAAACTTATTTCAGATAACTTTCAGAGGTTCAGGCCGTGGAAGATTTTGTAAAAGCACATTTTTCTTTACCGGCATCGGCATTGGCATTGGCATTGTTGTTGTTGCTGGATATCTAACGTACAAACGTTTCCGAAGCGGAAAATTAGAAGAAATAGCCAAGGCAGCTTCTGAATTGACGGCTTCCGACGCTGCACCCAATTTATCAGCATATGATGCATTCAGGTAAAAGAAAAAAAGACCAAACACCCAAACAAAAACTTATTTCAGATAATTTTCAGAGGTTCAGGCCAAGGAACATTTTTTAAAAGCACATTTTTCTTTACCGGCATCGGCATCGGCATTGTTGTTGCTGGATATCTTATGTACAAAAGTTGCCGAAGCGGAAACTTAGAAGAAATAGCCAAGGCAGCTTCTGAATTGACGGCTTCAGACGCTGCACCCAATTTATCAGCTAGTACTGTGGGAAAAATAAGTCAAGCTACAATGGAAAAAACTATGGCTATCGTAAACTGGGCTTTTAAATGGAAGGATGCCGCATCCTCTTTAGGATCTCAACTAGCTTCGACAGCAAATACTGTGGGAAAAATAAGTCAAGCTGCAATGGAAAAAACTATAAATAAGGCTTCTGAATTAAAGGCTTCTGATGCTGCATCCGCTTTAGGATCTCAACTAGCTTCGACAGCAAATACTGTGGGAAAAATAAGTCAAGCTGCAATGGAAAAAACTATAAATAAGGCTTCTGAATTAAAGGCTTCTGATGCTGCATCCGCTTTAGGATCTCAACTTGCTTCGTCAGCTAGTACTGTGGGAAAAATAGGTCAAGCTACAATGGAAAAAACTATGGCTATTGTAAACTGGGCTTTTAAATGGAAGGATTCCGATGCCGCATCCTCTTTAGGATCTCAACTTGCTTCGTCAGCTAGTACTGTGGGAAAAATAGGTCGAGCTACAATGGAAAAAACTATTAATAAGGCTTCTGAATTGAAGTCTTCCGATGCTGCATCCGCTTTAGGATCTCAACTAGCTTCGTCAGCTAGTACTGTTGCCAGTGCATCCAAGGATGTCTTGTCGAAAGTGACAAAGTGGTTCCAGAATTAAAGGACGTCCGTTTTCATTTCTATTCCATAAAATATAATTTTATTCAATTTGTGAACCAACTTCAACTATATCTTTTATAAATGTTTAATCTTTAAAGTTTTAATAAATAAGTTTTAATATACAATTCAAATTGCCTTTGTTTTTTTAAGATTATTTTCAAATTCAATTCGAAAATCTTTTGGTTTTTGTGGTTTCTAGTAGGATAATAAAATAAATAACACATTAGCTCATTGTGAAGCAAAACTTTACATCAATAACTTTACATCGTTAGCGAACGTGCTCGAAGCGAACATTTAGTTCCAATCAATCTTGCCTTCAGTGATGCCGTTTTAGGGTTTTCCCCCTAGATTTGGGGTTTTCTGAACTGCGTTTTCGGGAAAAAATGTAAAACAGCGGGAAGACGCTATTTTAGCTTTATTTCAGTTTGAATTATGCATCAAATTATATTTTCATACATTTGCATAATGCGACTATAAAACACCACAAAATGTTCAAAAGATGATCGGAACATCTTAGATTCAGTATGTTTACGAAAAGGCAGTCGATATAGACGAAATAATTAAAAACTTTGAATAAAATGACTTTAAAAAAATCTAGGGTTTTTTTACTTTTTTAAAAAGGATTTTTTGGGGTTTTTGGATATTTTTTTTTTGGTTAATCTAGCGTTTTTTTCGGGAAAAATTACGGCTACACTGCTTGCCTTGGTTCGTTATAATTTTTTCGATCGAACGCGTTGTATGAGCAACAAAGAATGTTCGAGAATGCTGATTCCAATAAGGCTGATCAAAATCGCACAGTCTGGGCACACCGGTTTCGATCAAACATGCAGCTCTCTAATCCGAACCGATCATATCTAATAAAGCTCTCTGATCGGAAGGAACTGCACCGGAATTACAGACGATTTCATCAGAATGGGCAAAGATTACTACAAAATTCTGGGCATCGAACGGAATGCATCCAGTGAAGAAGTGAAAAAAGGTTACAGGCGGATGGCGCTGCGCTACCATCCGGACAAGAATAACCATCCACAGGCGGAGGATAAGTTCAAGGAGGTGGCGGCAGCGTACGAGATCCTGTCCGACAAAGAGAAGCGAGCGATCTATGATAAGTACGGTGAGGAGGACCTTAAGTTCGGTGAGAGGCCGGTTCCCTTCGCTCAACCCACGTCCGATATGCTGCTGTTCATGGTTGCCATTGGCGGAGTCGCTCTATTCGCCTTTGGCGCCTATAAAGCATTCCAGCACTTCACAGGCAAAAAAGAGACGTCGTCCAGCAACGATGGCTCGTCCTCGGACGAAGGCCGTAGCCAGCCCAAAATCTCAAAGGGCAAACGCAAAAAAAATGAAGGGAGCTCAACATTTCAAATGGCGCCAAAAATGCCAAAAGGGTGCCAACAGAACCGGAAAGGTAGCTGCGCGCACGTCCCTGCCTCGGACTAAAGTACAATGAGGATCATACTCAAAATAAGTTAAGAGATCTGCACACGAGAATATATGTATTTTCAACATTGCTGCCCTGTTAATTTACAATAAAAAAATAAAAAAAAAGTTTTCGCGTTATCTACTCAGTAAACCACTTTTTTAAGCTCATGTGTGTGTGTATATATATTTATATATAAAAGAGAACTAACGCAATAAACACGGCTTATATTAATTTAACCTACTCGTTGTCTTCCCCACAAATATATCAATTATTTATAATCAGAGCATTAGCCGACAAAATGGTTGGTTCTCTTATAAGGGGGATTTCCCCCAGATTTACAGGTTTTTTGCATTTTAGACGGGACAAATTTTTAGGGAAAAGTTTAAGGGCTTTTTTGAAGTATGATTTATTTCAAAATTAAGCTTAGTATGCTAAACCTAACATAAATCCGCTTAAATATGTTTAACTTAATTAGTTTAACAATGAAAATTGCAACGGTTTCCGATAAAAAAAAGTAGCAAAACTGATCTCTCTCTCTCTTTTCGGCTCGATCGCCGCACTTTCTATGAATCATTACATTTCTATTGGCTTATAATTCCCAACTCGAGAATTCTTACTCTCTTTTTACTCGCGCCTTAGAGGTGGAAAAACGTCGATTATGCCCTTACATCGATTAGCGATGTTTCGGAAACATCGATGACATTGATGTTGGCATCGATGACATTGATGTTGGCATCGAAGTTTATCCACCTCTACAGCCAAGAGCAAAACAGGATGCAAGTGGTTTTAATTTTAAGATAAACAAACGTATTGGCGCGAGGTTTTTATCCTGCACGAGATAGCAGCCAAGAAAGCGACGCCGCGTGGGCAGGCAGGCGTGTGCAACAGTTTTGGCATCCAGTGGAGATTCAACTGGTCTGGCCTGGTAGTGGTGAGTCCGGATGCGATAAGGGGCAAAACCGCGCTGATATTACTACGCATTACGTGAAACAAACTCAACGATGTCGGCGGTGCCCAAATCTGCTGAGCCATCGGAGTTGGCGCTCTTGGTGGGCAATGCCAGCAACAACAAAAATAACAATAACACTAGTAGCAACAACAACAACCGCAGCAGATCGACCAGCCAGGGCAACAATAACACTCCAAGAAAGTATATCGCTCCCGGAGCAGCGAGCTCGATCAGAATGTGCCCCGCCAGCAATTCGGGCAGACCCTCGCACAATAACAACAACAACAACAGCAAACAACTAAATGGGATCTGCCAGCAGGCCCAGGCGGGCCACAAGCTTATGGTCATCATGCGTGGTCCTCCGGGCAGCGGAAAATCCACACTGGCCGAATCCCTGCTGCGCCAGAGCCGGCTGCTGGAGCGACACGGCGTGCAGGATTTTGTTCTTAGCACCGACGACTACTTTAAAACGCGGCACGGTTATGAGTTCAATCCCACCCTGCTGCCCGCTGCACACGAGTGGAACCAGCAGCGGGTGCGCGAGAAGGCCGCCCGCGGCTGGAGCCCTATCTTTGTGGACAACACCAACACAATGGTGTGGGAGATGCAGCCATATGTCCAGGTAGCCGTGAAGTACGGCTACGTGCTGGAGCTACTCGAGCCCCAGACCAGCTGGTGCAAGTCGGCCAGCAAGCTGGCGCAAAAGAATATCCACCAGGTGCCCAGGGAGAATATCCAACGAATGTTGGAGCGATACGAGCGCACCACCGCAGCCGATTTGATCCGGGTGAGTTTCAAGCCAAAAAACCTAAAGCTGGTCACCTCTTTAATGTTTATATTGTTTTCCCACAGCTCATGAAGGAGACAAAATACACGGTGACATTGCCGCAGCTGCGACAATATCCTCCCTTGCCCGCCGTTCCCGTGGTTAATAATTTCGATCAAAAGGAACCAACGGATGCTTTAGTTCCACTTCATACCAAGCTGAATGCAAACGCACAGACCTGGGTGCCCTACGAGCAGGGAGCACCCTCGTACTGGTCCCAGACAGCAGAATTACCACAGTCAGCAGGCTCTACCTCGACCAATCCAGCGTCAGAGAAATCTCTGATTGACCTTCTGCGCGATGACTGCAAAGTGGAGGATGGGGCGGAGGAGGTGAATCCAAAAACAGAAGCTTGTGAATCGAAACCCTTACAGCGGCGTCACTGCCTTGATTGCCCCAACGAGCCGGAGGGATTTGCCCAGCTGCGCCAGATGTACCCCAACAAGCAGATGACGGGCCTCTGGGACCTGTTCATCAATTGCAAGTCCGACCTGGACTGGGCCGTGGATATATTAATCAAGGAGGACGAGCTGAATGCCGAGGCGGGATCGGAGCAGTTCGGCTCAGAGGTTGTTCTAAGTCCAGATGAGTCTTTGCAATTCCAATGCGACTGCGCCAATCCGGGATCTCCTGCAGCCGTCACTCCTCGTTCCTCATCGCCGTTTACGGCAGCAGCCAAGCCAGTGCCAAAGCCGCAGCGCCAGGCACGCAACAAACGCACCTCAGGGCCCACCAACAAGGAGTTGCAGTTGCAGATCGAGAACTGTTTTGTGCTAGGTAACGGGGAGCCTTGAATTAAAGTAAAAAATCAACTAAAATATATTTTCTTTTAGGCGACGAACAATACTCGGAGCATACGCGTAAAGTCCGCGACATTCGCAATGGGATTCTAGACCAGCCCGCTGTTCCACAAGCAACTGAGGAGGCGGGGGCGGAGCAGGAGGATCCGGAGGAGGAGGTGGACCCTGAAGACAATACTCTGCTGGAAATGGACCTGGGTAGCATGTTCATTGAGCGTCTGCGCGCTGAGTTCGACACTGACGACGAGGTCATGCCGCTGGAGCAAGAACTGCCCGTCGCCACCAAGATCTTTATGCCGCGCCAGCTGGCCAAGCAGCTGTATATGCTGTGGAAGGAGGCCGTTTACAATTTGCAAGAGGAGCAGCGCCAGCAGACGCTGCGCGACGACGAACAGTTTGCTCGCCTGCTAAAGCATCCGGAATACGCCGAGTGCATTGAGTCGCCGAGCAATGTCGGCGAGCTGCTTGACATGGAGCTGGCCTGGAGCATCTACAACAGCGAGCAGCTGGCCGCCAAGCAGGCGGCTGAGTTAGCCGCTCGCAAGCAGCCGCCCAACGACATTGCCACCCATCTGACCAAGATGAAGCTGTGCGAGACGTTCCCCGAGATACCCAACGATACTGTGCTGGAGACCTTCATGGCAACGGGTAGCAACTACAGTCGAACGGTGGAGGTGCTTGGCGGCAACGTGCAGAGCTCACTTAGCGGGGCGGAGCTCTACGAGCAAGCGCTTCGAGAGGGCGAAAAGGTAATATGAAAATAATGTAAGTAAACTATTTCCCTCTCACCTTCCTGTCTTATCTATCAGCTAAGTGCACAGGTGGCTCTGGAAGAGCAGAAGCAGCAACAGAAACGATTACAACAGGGCTCCTCCGGGCAGCGCTCCAGCTCTCAGTCCTCAGCCGGCCGGTCACCGCTGCTCCACGAGGAGGCCAAGTGTGCGGCTCTGCGTGACTTTGAGGAGACCCGCAACCTGGCGGCCCACCACTCCCAGCTAAAGGCCGAATGTTACTTAAAGGCGAAACAGGCGGTGCAACGGGGCAATGGCAACGTGGCGCTGTATTACTCCGAGATAGCGAATCTGCACAAGCAGAAGATCGACGCCTTCAACCAGCGGGCGGCCAACTGCATCATGGAGGTGCACCGGCACACGCAAAATAACCCGGATCTGCTTGACCTGCACTACCTGCACACGGTGGAGGCCATTAGCTGCCTGGACCTGTTCCTCGATCGCCACATAACCGTGCTGCGCAACTGCACGCGCGTCTACAAGCATGTCTTCATTATCACGGGCCGGGGTCTGCACAGCGCCAACGGTGTGTCCACCATCAAGAACCGCGTCAAATCCAGGCTGGTCGAGCGACGCTTGCGGTAAGTCAATGGCTTTCATTAGGATTTATAACCCGTCTAATCTCGTTCCACTCTATGCAGCTGGCAGGAGGTCAATCCGGGATTGTTGCGCGTGAAAGTCTTCTCGGCTTCGCGCCACTCCAAGAACTTCTGATCGGAGGTCATATAAGGATAGCACGACAGCCAACAGGGATAAGCTACCTCAAGTGTCATTTATATTTTGTATTCTCTCTCTCTCTGTCAGCAAATTCTTAATCCTTTCGCTATCGTAGGAAGAAACATTCCTCTTTTTATACCCTTGCAGAGTATTATAATTTCAGTCAGAAGTTTGCAACGCAGTGAAGGAGACGTTTCCGACCCTATAAAGTATATATATTCTTGATCAGCATCAACAGCCGAGTCGATCTAGCCATGTCCGTCTGTCCGTCTGTCCGTTTCTACGCAAACTAGTCCCTCAGTTTTAAAGCTATCTAAATGAAACTTTGCACATAGTCTTCTATATACTCTCACTGCTATATATGTCGGAACGGGCCGGATCGGACGACTATATCATATAGCTGCCATACAAATGTTCGATAAATTTTTAGAAAAAAAATCATAACTTGGCTGTTTTTCAACATTTTTGCACCATTTTTTTAGATATGGCTATTTTATATTATTTTAGAATTTCGATAAAAATTTCATGAAAATCGGACGACTATATCTTATAGCTGCCATAGGAACGATCCGGAAATTAATAGGAAAAAAATTATAACTTCGTTGTTTTTCAACGTATTTTCATCTACTCTGAGATATAAGCTTATTTTATTATTCTAGAATTTTGGTATAAATTTCATAAAAATCGGACAACTATGTCATATAGCTGCCATAGAAACGATCGGTAGATGTAGAGAAAATGTAAAGCTGGGAATGCAAAACTGTAACTCTCAAACTGTAAACATAATAAGTATAGGTAAAATGTAATGAAATATTATCTGCAAGGGTATGCAAACTTCGGCGTGCCGAAGTTAGCTTCCTTTCTTGTTCAATACTTAAATTTCTTATTATATGAATTTCACGATTTATGTTAAAGTTATGCTTCCACCAAATCAGGAATTCGTGTGAAACGCGAATTTACCAACGAATTATTGAACGTGGTGCTACAATTATCTTACAAAGAGATATTTACACGAAGAATACTTTATTTTTTATACCCTTTTCATATAAACTATCGTCTAAGAATCCTAGTTATAAGTTACAATTAATTAATAATCTAGCATGTATGTAAGAAAAGTATTCATTAAAGGTCATCGGAACAATATGTGTTTAGTATCTCTTCAAAATCACTTTGAATTGAAAAATTGTTATGGATTATTGAGATATTGTCTTTCTACGTCGATATTTTTCCAGTTCTTGGTTATACAAAGCTCCCGGTCTGTGTATAAAGAGTAATATAATCACTTTTAAGAATATATATTTGATCGACTGTTTGGTCCTTTAGTCCCATGGGTTAATCCCTCATCGCTCACAGGTAGGACGGCTCACATCACACCTGTACGAATTCCCGCTGATTACCCTGACTACCTGACAAAAATGCAAACCCTTGAAATTATGTTTGAAACATGGAAAGACAATCTTTATTAACCATAAAAATTAATAACTTCAATTCGGTTTTTTTCTGTTCCGGGAAGGATACACAAAAACGTTGCGTACACCCGCCCGCCTGGTGGAATGCTGTCTCCACTTACATTTACTTTGTTTCTTAGTCTAGAACATTGATGGCAGTCTGAGCGAGTGCTCCGTGGTTTTGGTCATGATCGTGGTCGCAATTGCCACTAGGTGGGGTCCTGCAAGCTGGTCACTCGCCCGGACCCCGGTGATTGGTTCTCCTTGCCGCTGTGCAGGCGATTACCGATAGCCATCAGTTCCATGAGATTGGACCGACTGCGCTTGGGCGTGTAGCGCGAAGAGCTGGAGTTCGGGCTGCCATTGGTGCCCTTCTCGCGCGGAGGGGTGTTCAGAAAGACGCCTTCGAAGATGGTCTCTAGACTGTTGCTGCGGCTCAGTGTGGCCCCAGAGTCGTCGGCGTCGCTGGGCGGGCTAATCTGGGCGTTGATCTCATGCAGGGCCACGTACTCGGGATTGTTCTGGCGTGTCTCCAACTCCTGGGTACGGGATAGGAGCTGTTGCTTCGGCGTCTCGATGTCCGAGAGGTTGAGGTCGTCGATCGGCGACGGGGTGCGTCCTTGCGGGGAGAAGGCGCGGATTTCGAAGGCCGGCAGCTCGTCGCAGCTGCCCACGGGGGACGCTTCCTCGCGCTCGAAGGCCAGCGAAAGGTCGCTTTCGCTCTCAAGGTCCACGGAGGAGAGGGAACAATGCAGCTGCTCTCTGCAGCGCTCCTCCGCGCACGTATTTACAGCATCCGAAGTGTCCATGGTCTGGCTGGTATCGATGGCGCGTCGGTTCTTATAAATATTCCACGGCCAGAAAACTGTGTTCTGCCTGTGATCCGCGGCTACCTTCGCGGAAATCTGCGCCCGCAGGTAGACGGGTTCAGGTCACGGTGTTCGATTTCGGGATTTCTCTCCCGTGCTGTATATATATTTTTTATATATTCAAAATTCGAATAGAAACAAACAATTTGACAATAGAGATGTCAAAATCTTAATGGCACTTCCGATAGCAGCGATAGTTAAGTACGATAATATCGTAAATGCGATACTTTTGTTCAAATTAAAAATTTAACTAAATTAAAATTACATTACAAAAAATTACAAAACGGATTAATTTTTAAACAAGAAATTAAATTAGTAAAACATTTAAAAGTTGAGCTTGCCTCTTAAAAACCACCATGCCGTTATAAAAACAAATCGTTGAAAAATTAAAAACAAATACTTATAAAAAAAAATTAATTTGGATTTATTTTTATAACTTCAAAAAAGTTCCAATTATTAACAAATCAAATATTAAAAAAAAAATCGTAATCAAAAATAATTTTGACATCTCTAAAAAAATCTCTAAAATCGGAACATTATTTTTCTAGCTCATCTTGCATCTCCAATTCCAAAGTGTGGCAACTCTGGCGTATGTCGACGAGAAAAAAATATGAAAGATAGTGAAATTCGGCTTAATTTTAAAATTAGAACACGATTTGTGCCCGGGAGATGTGCTAGCCGATAAGATAAGATGCTGGCCCTGGGCAGAACGGCTTCCTTGGGCGCGTCTACCGCCGCTGTCTCCTTTGCCTTGGCCGTTCCGTCCATCAGTGCCTCCGCCTCCACCCCCGCCCTGCGCCTTGCCACATCAACAAAAACAAACGTACACAAACAAAGGCGAACAGATGTTTCGCACCAGTTATGTAATGTTCAAAAATTGGCGCAAAATTCAATGTCGCTGCGACTCGGCAGAGCAGCGCCGGCAGCTGTGGGCACAGGAACACGTGAGCAGCAGCAGACCCGCAGACACTTCCACCATTCGGCCGTGAGCGATTCGAGATACTCCGCCAGCACCATTATGACTTCCTACTGCAAGGAGCTGACCCTGAATGACTACGATATCGTGGGTTTCGACCTGGATGGCACCCTGCTGCGCTATAATTTGCGCGAGATGTCTGCCTTGATTTATCGAGTGCTCAAGCAGTTCCTGGTGGAGCAGAAGGGTTACAAGAAGGAACTGCTCGACCTGCCGCTAGATGTGGACTTCCTGCAGAAGGGTTTGTTCCTGGACGGGCCGCGCGGCAATGTCCTAAAGCTGAGCAACGAGGCACAGATCCTGCGAGCGGCCCACGGCACTCGGCTGCTGAGCGACGCGGAAATACTTGAGATCTACGGGCCAGAGCGCAAGTGGGACGTCACCAGTGCCTTCCACAAGGATCCGCTGTCCACGTGGAATGGCGCTGCCTCGACGCAAATGCGCTCCTTGCTGGATTACTTTGATATGCCCAGTGCTTTGGTCTTCGCCCAAGCCGTGGATCAAGTGGACAGGGAGAGGAAGCCATCGCCCGGCGAGGAGTACCAAGTCTGGCAGGATGTGCAGGCCGGCTTAATGAACATCTACAGCCGGGAGCACTTTGCAAACGATAAGAGCTCGTACTTTAAGAGCATGCGAGCAGAGCCCGAGAGATTCATTCTCCGCACGGACCCCAGGGTGCTAAAGTGGCTGGAGGAGCTGCGGCAAGCGGGCAAGAAGCTCTTTCTGCTCACCGGCTCCAATGTGGACTTTGCCAATCTGACGGCCACGCAGGCTCTGGGCGAGAATTGGCGGCAGCACTTTGACTTCGTGGTGACGTACGCCAAGAAGCCGGGCTTTTTTACCAGTCAGAGACCCTTCATGCAGGTGGATGTGCAGAAACTGGAGGAACTGCCCACGGAGGCGGCGGAAATAAGGGCGGGCGAGGTCTACTCCCAAGGCAACTGGCATCAGTTGCACGCAGCTATGGCCCAGCTGCTCCACAAGGAGCCAACTGAAGCCAAGGCGCTCTACTTTGGCGATAACATCGTGCAGGATGTTTATACGCCGGTCAAACATCGCGACTTCGATGCCGTGGCCATTGCCGAGGAGTTGCTCCTGGAGGACGGTAAGTATCCCTATGCCGCCGAGCTGGACTCCCAGCAATGGGGCTCGTACTTTGCCCTGGACTGCACGCCGACCCTTTGGTCCAGCTTCATTACCACCTATGCCCAGTTGTGTGTGCCCTCGGTGGAGCAGGTGGCCCAGACATCGCCGGAGAAGAGAATCATCTGCACCAATCCGTACGGTTTCAGTCCGCGGCTGCCCAAGGAGCTAGAGACGCTGCATCTGAACAGCTGCTATCGGTAATGATAATGGATGCGAGAGGCTATCTACCAACTTCCTGGTGACAATAAACGACATGTGAACCCGTGGCGCAGTGTATCCGATAGCGCTTCTTTGAGCTGGAAAAACGTATTCAAAATTCTTGCGTACAAACAAATTGTATTTAATAATAGCAATAAACGGCGCGGTTTTTTTAATTATAGAATTGGTGTATACAGTGCAAGTCATAGATGTAGGGCATTGAGATTGAGAATAACTAAATGTTATAAATTAAGAATTGAAATTTGAGGAAATTTTTTTTTTGAAAATAGAAAATGTTTTTTAAGGATAATTGTGGCCGGCAATCATCTTAGACTTCCTTTTTTATTTTTGTTTTTATACTCACAAAAATATAAATTTTAAAATTACGAAGTTACAGTATCCCTTTTTAATCTTATTTAAACTTTACTATTTTTCTTATCGTCTGTCGGTTTATAATACCTTGAGGTCCAAAGTCCAAACTGCAACCCGATAAAAGTTGTTGCACAAGTTAAGGATTAATGGAATTAATTTCAATTAAGCATTAGCTCAATTTATTATCTGTATTAACAAATCTTTACACAGCTTTGATAACTGAACGATTTTTATAGGATTTATATTAGAAGAATTTGCAATTAATTTTAAATAAATTAATATATATTTATAGGCCATTGTTTAGGATTTTTGTATGCCTACTATTTGTTATACTTAATTTTATTTGTTTAAAAACTTAAGGCTTTGACATGCGTAACGGACTGCACTCCTAACACGCTAATTTAATTCACATGTTACACAAAATATTTCCATGTACAAACTGAAATGAAAAGCAAATAAACAAAGGGTTGTGCATCATCTGAGTTCTTTTATAAATAAAGTGCAATGGGGCTGACGTAAGTTGAGCCAATTAAGACACTCAGATGTCAGTTTAAACACCTTTCCCAAGTTCCCAGTTCCATTTAAAACGCAGGAAACCTAAACGTTAGCAAATTAACTTTAATTGAGTAAACTTTGTGACTTGGGTTTCATATAACTAAGTACTTGGAAATACTACGCGACCAGAAAATGGAATATTACTTTGCAAGTTGCAACTGTACACTTAAAAGAGAGACGGGAAAATAATAAATAGAATGACCACTAATTGGGCTTAGTTGAGGCGCTCTACGGCCAGGGCGATGCCCATGCCGCCGCCAATGCACAGGGAGGCTATACCCTTGCTTCCACCGGTACGCTGTAGGGCGTATAAAAGCGTGACCAGGACACGGGCTCCGGATGCACCAATGGGATGGCCCAAGGCAATGGCACCGCCATTCACATTGACCTTGCTGGCATCCAGCTTGAGGTCGTGCAGCACAGCCAGGGATTGGGCCGCGAAGGCTTCGTTGAGCTCGTAAAGATCTACTTCCTCGCGCTTCCAGCCTATTTTGATGAGCTAAAAGAAGGACACATCTGAGTAATCTGCACAGCCTTCAAGTTCTCCATGTGAAATACCAAAGCTTCTACGGCTGTGACAGGTCCCAGGCCCATCACCTTCGGTTCAATGCCACTCTGCGTCCAGCCCACGATCTTGGCCAGCGGCTTGAGACCCTGCTTGGTGACCTCTTCGCCCGACATGAGCAGCACAGCGGCAGCGGAATCATTGACACCGGAGGCATTGCCGGCGGTTATGGAACCGCCCTAAATAAACAAAAGAGAAAGTAGAAATTATCAAAACTAATCATCCAACTTACATCTTTGAAGGCCGCCCGTAGCTTCTGGATGCCCTCGACAGTGCTGCCCGCCTTAATGTACTCATCTTTGTTGAAGATCTGCGTGCCTTTGCGATCCTTGATCTCCACGGGGACAATCTCCTTATCGAAGTAGCCATTTTTCTGGGCCTCCTCCGCACGATTTTGTGACTGCACGGCATAGGCATCCTGAGCCTCCCGACTGATCTGGTACTGCTCCGCCAGATTCTCGGCAGTGATGCCCATGTGTATGTTTTCCATGGCATCGGTGAGACCGTCGTGGATCATGGTGTCCACCAGTGTGCCGGGACCCATTTTAACGCCCTGCCGCAGGTGCATGACATGTGGAGACATGGACATGCTCTCTTGTCCGCCCGCCACTACGATCTTGGCATCGCCCGAGCGGATGGCCTGATAGCCCAGGGCAACAGTTCTGGAAGAGAGCGAGTCCAAAATCAGAAAGAGTTTAATGTGGTTCAATAAACTTACTTCAAACCCGATCCGCAAAGCATATTGATGCCGTAGGCCGGCACCTGGATGGGCAGACCCGCCTTGAGTGAGGCCTGCCGTGCCGGATTCTGACCCTGGCCCGCACTGAGCGCCTGGCGAAGATTTACATAACAAAGGGAATGAAAAGAGCCCACGAGTGGATATGGTAATATTTTGACAATACCTGGCCCAGGATCACCTCGCTGACCTGCTGGCCCTCCACATTGGCCCTGCGGAGCACCTCCTGGATAACCACACTGCCCAGATCGGAGGCCTTCAGTTTGGAAAGCGTTCCATTGAAGCTACCTGTTGATTTTGGTTCGGGTAAGCCGAAAGAGAAAGTTACCAATTGGAATTTGGATATCAAACGCACACGCCCAGCTCGACTGCTGTCGGCTGCTGGATCTCATCACCTATGGGGGTGCGGGCTGCGGACACAATGTACACGTCAGACATTCTGGATGGGCGAAGGACAGGTGGCGCAGTGTTTATGCCTTAGCTAATTGCCAGCAAATAAATTCTAATTTTCGAAATTGCTATTGGGTGCCGCAGAGTGACCAGGTAGACTTTGCTGCTTCTTACTTTAATAAATACTGAGTTCCAATAAAAATACTAGATTAGAAAAGATTACCGCTCCTACTGAGCGGGATCTTCAAATGCCGGCCATTTGACCCCCAAGGAAACTGCTGCATCTTGCCAAGTCCACCGTACGGAGCCAGGCCCTGTCAATCAGGCCTGACTGGAGTCGGAGCCCAAGCCCCGTCCTGCAAGCGGCATAATTTGTTGTGACGCCTTTGGTCGCGTCCAATCCTTGGCCCAGGAAGAGTCTAGCTTTGGTTCAGTACCCGCTGCTGCTCTTGCTGGTGACCCGGAGCCATTAGCTTCACCCTCAACAGTGGCCTCACTGGATCCGCAGCGATACATTGGGCAATCTGCCAGGGATTCCAGTCGTTTCCAGCAAGAGACCCAGGACAGAAAGTGGATCCGAGAAGCGTTCACCGGAATCGAAGAAGCCCAAGTCAGGCAGCAGTCCGGCATTGGAGAAGAGCCTGGACGAGGTGGGAAATCATCATCACGTGAAGCTCGAGAATAGCAGTGGCGATGAATTGGGCGAAGAGATACAGGAGTTCCTGGGGGATCTGGAGGCGGCAGCAGCTCAAACTCTAAACACAAATATATTTGTGCTTATAAGCACTAATGTTTAAACCAAATCCTTAAATAAAACATTGTATCGAATATTAAATTCAGAATTAACCGGCACCAAGTGGCTGGCCAAAAGAGCGACCGTTAAAGCTATTAGGATCCTCATTGTAAAACTTCAACGGACTAAGGAATAACTGTTTTTAGATTGAGTCTATTACCTTTCCATTTATAGCCCTCCACAGGGCACTAAGTGCTTTTACGTCAAGGGAGCGGAAAATTTTAAAACTTTTTATACGAAACTTTCAGCTTTAAAGTTTCAGGTACATGCACAACAACACAAAAACAAATTCGAATTTAAATATTTTTGTGCCGGTTCCCTTCGTTCTTTGTAAACCAGACTTGTTTAGTTTCTTTTCTTATCTCAAATATTGATTTGAACTCTTTTGTTGGCCAAGACTGACAGTCGGCAACACTTGGTTAGGCCAATATGTGCAAGCTTTATTAAATTGAACAGAAGTTTTTGGGGCTTTATTTAAACTATTATTTGTAATAAATTTGTTATATTATTTATTGGACACTTGGTAACTCAGAAGATGAAGAACAATAATTTATTAATAAGGGGGATCTTTCTGTGGTTCCTGCAACTCTGGTTTTGCCACCGTTATTGACTGGGAGAGGTGGCTAGATCGACTTGGCTGATGAAGTACTTAACTAATAGTTTTTTAAATATCTCTAGAAACCAAACCAACCGTAGCATTAGGTAACCTTTAAGCTATGATACAGATCTATATAGAATACATTTTAAATCTCCTTGGAAAGTTGATGAAAATGTAAATCAAATTGAACTTTTACTGAAGAAAGACTTGGGCTCTGGCAATAATGTATGTATTTTTCCTAACCATTTCTTTTTTGTCTTCTAACAATAGGACAACAATGGTGGCTTTGATTACTTAATTCTCTGGAGCTTGGAAACTCCAAGAATGGGATATACATATTTGGTCAGTAAACAACCGAGTCTGGAGATTACTTCGGATGCTGTAGAGACTTTCACTATAAATAACTCGGTATTGTGACTGGCAGAAGCAGAATCCAAATCCCAGTCTCAAAAAGAAGCCACCATGCGCCCAATACAAGCCTTCTCCCTGGCCATCCTGGCCGCTCTGGTTGTCCTGTCTATGCAGGCAAGCACTCCAGCCAGCAGCTCAAGCAGCACTTCCCCAACCAGCAGCTCCACTTCCCCATCAAGCAGCTCAACTTCCCCATCCAGCAGCTCTACTTCCCCGTCGAGTAGCTCTTCCAGCAGTTCTGATACTACGGCTACCACGACCACGACAGCGGCTCCAACAACCACAACCACAACGGCTGCCACGACCACCACTGAGGCGACCAAAAAGCACCATCGCCGTCGTCATAGGCGCCGACGCGTTGTAATTATCCGCCGTGAGCGGGTAGGAGGCGATGGTGTGCGTCGCAGGAGGAACCGGGAGCTTGGAGATGGCCGTATTGTGAGGCGCATCCGAGTCCGTGAACGTCGCGGCGTTCGCTCGGCACGTCGCTTCTTATGATTTCTCTAAAAATGTCAACATTCTTAATGAAAAATAAAGATCGGTTCTGAAATTAAATGTAAACTATATAGTCTCCGAGATACAATGTCTCTTAGGGAAAGAGAGAGATACGGGGTAGATGGCCTGTCCATCCTCGAATTAGTGTAAATGATAGGACCAACTTGTTTGTAAAAATATATTCACAAAAGATTTAATTATAGGCCGATTATAGACGTTTATAGTCTAACATTCTTGTGGTTTCTCCCCCACAGAAACACTATCTTCCTCCTAATAAGGTGGCTTTTCGATGCCACACTCGTCGGACTTCTTAAAGACCAGTGCATATGTGAGGACAGGATGCACATTGCTGTCCTCGGAAGCAGTCGATAGAAGCGAGTGGCTGGAGGGACTTTCCATGAACAGCATCTCTGCATCAAACTTGCTCCAGCGGCCACGACTCAGCTGCTCTTTAACGTACTTCAGTTGGGTATTGATCTGAAATGAGAGGAGAGGAAAATATTAACAGTTAAGAATAAAAATTAATTTATATTTTTCAATATATTTATTAATATTTAATTAAATCCAGACATGTGAAACATGTAGATTATTCTTACCAATGGCACCAGCAACGGAGTTCGCCGACAGTTAAAGAAATCCGCCACGAACTTTCGGATATCCTCTGGTTCCGGCTTGGCATTGATGGCCTGGTGCAGGATGACACGAATTATGGCACGTATCTGGGGGTACGAAATAGAGAATTATTAATTATTTCAATTTTTTTTAATTTATATATTATATTTATATATTTTACCTCAGGATGACTGCATATATACTCCCAGTTCCCAAGGCGTAACTTCTTTTGAATGCCGGGTATAGTGTTGTAATGTTTAATGTCCTTTGAATTCCATACGCCTAAATCCCAGACCTTTGAGAAGGTCGGTATATTTTTCTGTGACATTTTTCGATTTAGTTTTTACTGATTCAGACTTGAAAGAAATTTAGAATTAAATATAATACTTGAAATTGGAAAGAACAAGCTGAGGAAGGTTGATGAGGAAAACAGGAGAGTTCTTTTTTTTTAAAGAGTTTGAAATGTAACCCAACCTAATCCGAAATAACAAAGTTCCTATGAGTTACAAGATTAAACCAGCCAAAAAGTATGTTACCTGATTTCTGAACAAACCTTATTTATGCGAAGTTTGGTTGGCACAGCAATAGAAATTCCATTTACGTCGAAAAGCAGGTGCAAACAGATTAACAAAACATCGTAAATAGGCTGAGCCACTAATGGAGTGTAAGTGAAACAAAGGCGACAAAGAAGTAAGCAGGCAAAAAAACATCAAGGGCCACACCTGTGTTTACACGGCTCCTAATATATCTCTCCGGCCCAGAAGACACTATAAATATCCATCCGTTTGGGGGTACTGACATCAGTTCCTACTTCACCCAAGGAAAACCTTTACAATGCGCTCCCTATTGGCTCTATCGCTTCTCATCCTGACCACTGTGGTCCTCCTGAGCGGCCCAACTTCCGCCCAAGGTACCACCACTACGACGACCACTGCCTCGGCGACAACGACCACGGATGCTTCGGCCACTACGACTACGGATGCTTCAGCCACCACCACCACAGGCTCTGATACAACGACGTCTACCGAATCTACCACGAAGAAGCACCGCCGCCGCCGCCGGCGTGTCATCATCAGGCGCGTGGTCATCCGCCGGGGTGGACGCCGCCGTGCTGTCGCAGGAGAGACCGGCACTGGCCGCAGGCGAGTGGTGGTCCGAGTGCGAAGGACCGTGAACTAAAGTTCAGGAGTCCTTGTTCCTAAATACCTTGAAAATAAAATAACTGCATATAAATTGAAGATTTGTTTTTAATATTAATTAGGTTTATCATTTCATCCGATTTAAGATAAAGGAGCAATTTTACAGAAATTTAACAGAAAAAACAGTAACAGCGCTGTTAAAGAGAAAGGATATCTGACATCTGTTAACCCCCACTTGGCAGCACATGAAATGTCAAGTCAAAAAACAATCCTGATATTTACTAGGAAGCAAAGCAAAGTCCTGGTCTAAAACTAACTTAAAAAATCAGGTAATATTTAAAAGATTAATGCTCTAAAAATAATAATACTAGCGAAAGTGCATCCCGCCGAACAGCTGACGAGCCGTACACATACATACACAAACAAGGACAACGGAAATGGGGGTTGACAAGGCTGCAAAGTCACAAGCTATATTTCAATTTTAAAAGGATTCTTTGCTAGGACAGCCCTATCGTCATGGAGGAGCGCGCCGTGCTGGCCAATATTGCCTCTATAATCACCAAGGATCTGCTGATTGACCAGCCGCCAGTGAACATAACTTCCGGCAGCTACCCGCTCCTGACCACCGCTGAGGACGATGATGAGGCGGAGATATTTGCCCTGTTGCAGCAAAAGCGAGCAGCGACAGTCAGTCGAAAGCGCCGAGTGCTGGAGGAGTCGTTGGGCCAGATACCTAGCCAAAAGGTTGCCAAGTTGGAGTGGAATTACGCCGAATTAAACCTGCTTCACCGCTACACAGACGTCCAGTTTGAGTCCTATCTGCATATGCGTAAGCTCACATTCCTGGTAAGTACCGGGTGGTATTTCCTGTTTCCCCGCTTAATCTCTGCCTTGCAGAAAGTCCAGCAAACCCTAGAGGAAACGTTAAGCGGGATTACGTTACCCGGCTATCCGACTCCGCCGACACAGACAATGCTTTCGCTGGCCATGTGGAAGCTAGCCACCGATGAACACTTTGAGGAGATTGCCCGGAAGTTCCGTCTGCCCTGGGCTCTGTGCCAGCAGGTGGTGCGTGGCTTCTGGCACTGCATCTCGGACAACTACGAGAGCTTTATCAAGTGGCCCAACTCGCTGGCAGCTCAGCGGAGCACCCTGCAGGGATACCAACAGCTGGAGGAGCTACGCTGCTTCCGAGAACTTTTTGGCATCATAACTCTAAAGCGTCTGGACGTCTTCCTGGAATCGGAGCACGCCGAGGTGCCGGTGGTGCTGCAGCTAATCTGCAACGCGGAGCGCAAGATCATCGACTGCTATGTGGAGCTTTTCATCGAGTATAGCTTCGAGGATTCGCCAATTGGCCAGACGCTGGCTCTGAATCCCAGGACCATGCCAGCGGGTAGCTATCTCATCGGGAATGGCGTCTTTCCTCTAAAGTCCTACTTGATGCGACCCATCGAGGCCGAGTGCTTCCGCAAGGATGTGGTATTTAACGACCTGCTTCGACCTGCCTTTCAGGTTGCTGAGAGGGTCCTGGATACATTGGCTCGTCGTTTTAATACCCTGTACGCCTTGGAGGCTCGCGATTTGAACGAGGTGCGGCTCATCGTTGAGAGCATCTGTGCCATGCACAATCTCTGCGAGGAGTACGAGGACAATGGACTGACGGACGATGGTCAAAGCAGCTTTAGCTGGGGTGGGCCGGCGGAGGGTATAAGGGGCAGTGAGAAGGATTCCAAGGGATTGCAGCGACGTGCGGAGCTCTTGGATGAGCTGGTGGCCATTGAGCCGGGTGAATAAATATACTAGCGTTTGAAATGTGTTTATTGGTTCACTAGAGAGACTTATATGGGGATTGAGAGTTTAAATAATACAATAATAGACGCATTAAATTATTATATTATTTACTTTTTTATTTTAGGCTAAATATTAAGATTACATTTTTATTTTTATCCTACGGCTTCCCTGCGTTTTTTTTTTTTTTTTTATTCAGTACTTAAATTGCTGTCAAACAACAGTTTTATTCAAAAATATGTTTTATTAATTTAAAAAATTCGAATTGTGGTTAACATAACACTGTTAAAACTTTTAGTATTTTCTGTTAATTAATAATTAAACAGATCTGGCAGCATGCATTTAAGAGATCTGGCAATACCACCTCTGTCAAGAAATCAAAACAAATGCACGTGCGTTGTTTTTAAAAAGAATTTTAGGAAAACAATGGACGAGCACGATATATTCAAGCTGATCACAGCCGGCGTACGCTTCACAAAAAGGCCCAAGGTAAGCTCTATGAGATTAAGTTAAAAATAAGCTGCTCTGCTAACTGATACCATTGCCATAGACAACTCCATCGAAGACCCAGCCGCAGCCGGTCTCCAAAGATTCCCAGCAAGCGGAAAAGGTGAAAAAGGAAGTCAAGCGCAAGCAGGATGATGACACCACAGAGTTCCGCTTGCTGTCGGATGACACCAGCCAAAGTAAACCCAAGAAACGCAAGGAAGCCAAGAAACTCTCCGCCGAGGAACTAAAGCACCAAAGGGCCACCGAACAGGTGAATGAGACCAGAAAGCAGCACAACATCAGTGTATTGGGCAAAAACGTGCCCGCACCGGTGACCAGCTTTGAGGCTCTGCTTAAGGATCACAAGATGCTTCCCCGACTGCAGCAGAACCTGCTGGGACGCGAATTTGCACAGCCAACACCCATCCAGATGCAGGCACTGCCCGTGCTCCTGCAGCGCCGGGCACTGATGGCTTGCGCCCCAACCGGATCCGGCAAAACGTTAGCATTCCTCACGCCCATCATCGACGGCCTGAGGGCTCACAAAACCACCGGCTTAAGGGCTTTAGTGCTGGCCCCCACCCGTGAGTTGGCCCAGCAAATCTATCGAGAATGTGCGGAATTAACCCGGGAAACGGGCTTGCGAACCCACTTCATAAGCAAGGTGAGCGAGGCAAAGCAGAAACAAGGCGCCGAGTGCAAGCAACGCTATGATATCCTGGTTTCCACACCAAACCGAGTGAGATTCCTGCTGCAACAGCAGCCGCCCCTCCTTGACTTGTCGCACGTCGAATGGTTTGTATTAGACGAAGCCGATCGCTTGATGGAGGAGGGAAAAAACAACTTCAAGGAGCAGCTGGACGATATCTATGCAGCCTGCTCCCATCCGACCAAGTGCGTGGCCTTCTTCAGCGCCACCTACACAGTGCCTGTGGCCAAATGGGCGCTGCGTCACCTCAAGAACCTTGTGCGTGTCACCATTGGAGTGCAAAACAGTGCCACGGATACCGTCCAGCAGGAGCTGTTGTTCGTGGGATCTGAGAGCGGAAAGTTAGTGGCCATGCGGGATCTGGTGCGCCAGGGTCTAGAGCCGCCGGTCCTTGTTTTCGTACAAAGCAAGGAGAGAGCCAAGCAACTCTTTGAGGAGCTGCTCTACGATGGCATCAACGTGGACGTGATCCATGCCGAACGCAGCCAGCATCAGCGGGATAACTGCGTGAGGGCTTTCCGCGAGGGCAGCATTTGGGTGCTCATCTGCACAGAGCTAATGGGCCGCGGTATTGACTTCAAGGGGGTCAATCTGGTAATCAACTACGACTTTCCGCCCACCACCATCTCGTACATCCATCGGATTGGGCGAACCGGTCGTGCTGGAAGGCCAGGACGAGCAATAACATTCTTTACTCAAGACGACACGGCCAATTTGAGAAGGTAACCCCTCTAAAAGTCTACAATTATTAGAGTATTTATAACATATAAATTTTCTATTCTTCACACAGCGTTGCTCAGATTATTAAAAACTCCGGCGGCTCTGTTCCGGAATACATGTTGCAAATGAAAAAGGTTCGCAAATCGGAGGCCAAGATGCGAGCCAAGAAACCCTTGGATCGGGAGGATATAACCACCAAAATACGCCCTGAGGTGAAGAACAAAGAGGATCCTAAGTCAACCAAACTGAAAAAAGTCGAAAAAGTAGAACATATTTTGAAAAAACGGCCGGTGGAAAAAAATGGAACGAATTCGAAACTTAAAAAGCTAAAAGAAATTAAAAAGAACCTCAAAGAGCCCAAGGGCAAAAAGGGGAACTTTTCAAAAACAAAAAAGGCAAAGAAATAAAAGAACTTTAATTATAAATGTATTAAAACTATGAATTAATATCTGTCAATATGCAAAATAATTTGTAATATTTTGATAATATGCATCTAGTTAATATAAACTTAAAATTACAAATTAAGCGGAGTTTTTAATAAATTAATCAATGAATAAGTGAATTAATTCAATTATTTATTAAAAAAACAACGTAACAAAAGTTTCAATTTGAAGTGAAAGGTGAAAGTGTTCTATAAATTTTTTACCCGGGGTCGCAACACTGCTCTTGGTATATTTTCGGTATATTTCTGACGTACATATGGTATATTTCAAGGGTGCAGCAACGGTCACTTTAATCAACAAAATCTACTCCGACACGTCAGAATATTAGGTTTTTTATTTAATTATTTGCACAGCTGCGTTGTCAGATTTCCATTGAACAAAATCCAAAAGCACGCACCAGAAGTCACCACTAGCAGCCATGTCGCGAAACGTGGCCCTGCTGGGCCTGGCTCTGATTGCATCGCTCTGTTTGGTAGCCGCCTTACCCGTGACGCAAAACAAAAAGGCTGAGAAGGACGCCAAGGCGGAGGCGGAGTCCAGCACCCCGGCCACTGCCGACGTGGAGTCGGCCTTGGAGTATGAGCGCTATCTGCGGGAGGTGGTTGAGGCTCTCGAGGCCGATCCCGAGTTCCGTAAGAAGCTGGACAAGGCGCCCGAAGCGGACATTAGGGTAAGTGGAGGAGGAAGACAAAGAGTGACAGGTGTTGGGGTCTTTCGGGAATGTCTTGGAACATATCCTCTATTATTGAATTTTCTCTGATTCGCACAGAGTGGAAAGATCGCCCAGGAGCTGGACTACGTGAATCACAACGTTCGCACCAAGCTGGACGAGATCAAACGACGCGAACTGGAGCGTCTGCGGGAGCTGGCCAACCAGGCCTACGATCTGGCCAATGACATAGACCGGAAGCACCTGAAGGTGCCACAGCATCTGGATCATGGCAACGAGCACACCTTCGAGATTGAGGATCTGCGCAAGTTGATCCAGAAGACATCTGACGACCTGGCCGAGGCTGATCGCAAGCGACGCGGCGAGTTCAAGGAGTATGAAATGCAAAAGGAGTTCGAGCGAGAGGCACAGAAAAAGGAAATGGATGAGGAGTCGCGCAAGAAGTTCGAGAATGAAGTCAAGGAGAAGGAGAAGAAGCACAAGGACCACGAGAAGCTGCATCACCCAGGCAACAAGGCCCAGCTGGAGGAAGTGTGGGAGAAGCAGGATCACATGGACAAGAATGACTTTGAGCCCAAGACCTTTTTCTCGATTCACGACGTGGACAGCAATGGCTATTGGGACGAGGCGGAGGTCAAGGCATTGTTCGTCAAGGAGCTGGACAAGGTCTACCAGAGTGACTTGCCCGAGGACGACATGAGGGAGCGCGCCGAGGAGATGGAGCGCATGCGAGAGCACTACTTCCAGGAGACTGACACCAACCACGATGGCCTAATCAGCATTGAGGAGTTCATGATGCAGACAAACAAGGAGGAGTTCCAGAAGGATCCCGAGTGGGAGACCATCGACCAGCAGCCGCAGTACACGCACGAGGAGTACTTGGAGTATGAGCGCCGGCGCCAGGAGGAAGTCCAGCGTCTGATTGCTCAGGGACAGTTGCCGCCGCATCCTAACATGCCGCAGGGCTACTATGCTGCACCGCATCCTGGTGGCGTGGCCTATCAACAGCCGCCGCCGCAGCAGCATCCTGGCGCCCAGCAGCCTCATTACCAACAACCTGGACAGGTGCATGCACAGCAGCAGCAGCAATATGTCCAGCAGCAGCAACAGTACGCCCAGCAGTACCAGCAGCAGCAGTATGGAAACGGGCAACCAGTGCAGCTGCAACCTAATCAGGTGTATCAGCATGTCGGGGCGATTCCGCAGCAACAACAGCCGGTGTATCAGCAACAGCAGCCTGTTTATCAGCAACAGCAGCCTGTGCAGCAGCAGCAACAGCAGCAGCAGCCTGTCTATCAGCAACAGCAGGCGCAGCAGCCTGTGCAGCAGCAACAACAGCCCGTGCAGCAGCAACAGCAGCCTGTGCAACAGCAACAGCAGCCCGTGCAGCAGCAACAACCTGTGCAGCAGCAACAGCAGCCTGTGCAGCAGCAGCAGCAGCCCGTGCAGCAGCAACAAATAAATAATCAAAGCCCTCCGCCTGCTCAAAATCAACAGGTGCCAATACAGCAGCAGCAACAGACACATCAACAACAGCAACAACAGCAGCCACAAAAGTAACCGCTTGAAGCATTCCTTTGCTGTAGCAAAGCCACGTAAGCGAAGCATTTCAAAAAATCTGGTATCGAGAACACAATGTGATTGGACTGAAGTAGTAAACATTAAACAAAATATATATAAATATTTCCCCAATATGGTTATGTAGTAAATTAAACAGTCAAGACTTGATTGTTGCCACGTTCTCGCAATTAACAGTCTTTCCAATTTTGTATACTTTTTATCCTTTTGTACGCATTCTCTATCTCTCTCTCTCTTTCTCTCTGATCTAGGAGCCTTGCATTTTGTGCAATGCATTTCTTAAACGAATTTGTTTGTATATATGAGTTTATTTTTTAAACGAGAAATACATAAACAATAATCTGTTTATTCAAGGTGCTGTTTTTTTTTCAGGGAGCGTAAAAAATGAATTTTGGGAAATCTTTTAAGTGATAAAATCAACCACTTAAAACTTATTTAAAACAAAATAATATCCTGTGGATCCTTGTTGTATAATCTATCCATTTTCAGGTTTATTTTTATGTTTCAGACTTAAATTATTAAAATTGAGTAATATAATATGCATATACATATACATTCTCATTAACTAATGGTAAAACAAATAAAAATCAAGGTGTAATCATTAACACACCATTTTTTAAATAAAACCTATAATGATTATGGTTCCCCGGTTTTTTTTATATTTGTAAGTGGTTCATCATTATTCAGAAAAGAGTGATATATTTTTTTCTAATAATTTTTCAACTACCTAAAATAAAACAATATAATAATAACTCCTTATTGTTTCTAAACATTGCTCTCACAGGGTACGCCGTGGTAATCGCATTCCAAGGGCACTGCAAAGGTTAAATGTTAAAATATAATTAGAAAAATATTATATATATATTAATAATACAAATATAATAATACAATTACTAACCGGTTCCTGGCTTGTTCAACTCGAAAGATTCCCAGGTGCAGGTGTGCCAGGTGGGGTCAGCGGCCGGCATGCTCGCCCGGTTACCCGGAGTCACAGCGCCTGCTCTTAGTTCCCTTACACGCCTTCGAAGGGCGGCCAAGACATCGGAGTGCCGACTGGAGTACGCCAGATTGTTTTGCTCGCAGGGATCCGTTGAGATATCGTACAAGCACTCCTCCAGCAAAGGATTACAGGATCTTTGGAAATCAGCACATCGCACTGCTGCCGATCTTCGAATGGCAGCTATCCTTTGCTGCGTCAGACGACGCAAATCAAAACGGGAGAGGGCCCTCGAGGCCGCCGAGTTCCTTACAGTCACAGGATAACGACTGTCCCGAGGATCCAGGTCGTCTAGCTCCCGGTAGGTGAGCACCGTGTCAAATTTCCCCGCCGCGGTAGTACCATTTACATATTTCCACTGCCCCATTTGAAGGGCCGCCACCCGCCACACATCGTCCAGGCTGTGCAGGATCTCCCGAGGAACATGCGGAGCATCGGCGGCTCCTGCTAACTGTGGCCACAAGTCAATGCCATCTAGCTTATGGGCGTCGGACTCTTCCAACTCAATGTCCGCCGCATGGGCCAGTGTGGGCAGCCAATCACCCACGTATATGGGCTGGGTAAAGATATTGCCGCGTGCCTCCAGCTGAGAACTCCAAATGGCGCCAGCCACTCGCACTCCACCCTCCCAAGGCGTGTTCTTCTGACCACGGAGTGGCCAGTTGGAGCCTGTATTCGAGAACATGCCTACCGATGGCGCACCATTGTCCGAATAGAAGATCACAATACTGTTTTCCAGCTGTTCGGTGTTGGCCAGGGTGCTGATTACGCGACCCACACTTTGATCCAACTTGGAAACCATGGCTTAAGGAAGACATTAAGACATTAAGTTAGAGCGTTCCTTTAGGCAGATCCTTAGGAAACAGCCGTACTTACCCGCATATTTCCTTCTATTGGGATCCTTGATGTAGGCGAATTTACGTATCTCCTCCTCCGGCGCCTGCAAAGGATCATCTTCGTTGGCTGTATGGGCAGCCAAGTGGCTGAGCATTAGAAACAAAGGCTGATCCTTGCCTGCATGGTCCTTGATCAATCTCTCTGCCTCATTGGTCAGCAAGTCTGTTACATAAACCCCACGTTCCCGACACTCCAGCTCCATGTTACGCCTGAAGTCATAGCCCAGGCTGTAGTTAGCCACTGGCATCTTGGAACGCCTTTGGTAGTAATCTATGTAGGCGCCCCAGTAGCCATAGTGGTAGTCAAAGCCTCTTCGAGTGGGCGTATATTCTGGACGAGAGAAACCCAGATGCCACTTGCCCACCAGGTTGGTGGAGTAACCAGCTCGCTGAAAGATCTCCGGCATTAGGGTGGCATTCAGGGTCAAGGACCAAGGTTCCTCGTTGCTAATCACAAAATGTTGGGTTCCTGTAGTAATAAATTTAAGTCTTCACAATTTAATTTAAATTTAGAAATATAATATATATACCCGTGTGTATGGGATATCGCCCGCTGAGCAGGGCTCCCCGTGAGGGAGTGCACATGGCCGGGGCGTACAGACGATCCAGGAGTCGACCATGATAAGCCAATGCATCAATATTGGGCGTTAGAAACTCTCGGCCACCGCGGAAGCTCACATCATCGAAGCCCTGAAAGGTTACAAATTCACTTTAGTTTTAAAAAACGTCTTGATTTATGTTTGATAAACTAGTTCCACCATATCATCGGCCATTATGATGATTATGTTGGGTCGCCTGGCTGTTGCCGCATCTGTCATCACCCTTTGCAGGCAAAGTAAAAGTAAAAACGCTGATAAGCCCCGCATCGTGGTTGCTCAACTCCCGAAATGGATCGATCGATCGCGTTGTGCTCTGCACGGTAGCTCCCAGCCAACTGATGCCGCGAGAGCTCCACGTAACATCTCGCCGCGACTCGGCGCAACTCGGTTTGGGTCTCTATCGATCTCCCAAATCGGTCTCTCCCAGATTCAGTTTCGTTCGATTCAATCAAACCAAATTAGCGGCCACTCACAACTTGATGTAGTAATAAGTCAGCGGCAAAAATATAATAGCAAGTGCTAATACAAAATATATAAGTTGTTTAATAACAACAGTTGAATAAACCCAGCTAAAGACTGATTTATTTTGACTTTATTTATTTTGATTATTTTTTGATTTTGATGCTGATCAAGAATATATGTGATTTATGGGGTCGGAAATGATTCCTTCACTGTTTTACTAGCTTCTAACTAAAATTATAATAGCCTACACGATTAATGTTAGTTAGAATTTCTTAAATATAAAAATATATATATAGTGTTATATTTATAGTTTAAAGCCATATTTTCAATTTAAAATTAATGCTTCCCGAAATGGTCTTCTATTGTTGTCAGTTTTAATTTTCTCTTATGGATTATTTTATTTGTATTTATTTAAAAGGCTTAAAATTAAAATTAGATAACTAAAGAAAAGGCACATCTCCACAGGGATACAATTTCTTTAAACATAACCCCGGACAAGTAGCCTTTTCTGTCAGTGTAAGTTCAGCAAGCTGGTTTGCCATGATCAGTTTTGGGGAGAATAAACTTTTTAGATATGCATTACACTTGGCTTTGGCAATTTGAAAGCCCCAACACTGCCAGGGTTAAACATTTCTAAGCCAAGTTTTGTTTATTCGAAAAGCTTTAAAAGAAAAACACTGGAAAATCTAAAAAAAAACTAAAGGTTTACGAGATTAAAAACAAATTAAATAATATACTCACCTTGAGATCATATAAAATATTTGAAACACTTTTTACATATTTATTTTATATACCTTATTTAATTCAATAAAATACCGCTTTTAAGAGCAATAACTTTATATTTTTGTCGTTTAAACTAGGCTTAGAGTAGGCGAACAGGAGCAGCATATCAACTAGCTAACATCTACGCACCTGGCTCCTGGGAGTCACACTCAGTGGCTAATACTATCGGGACATGCACAGACACACACACTTAATTAGCTACACATGCACACAGTAAAGGCATAATCTGATCCTGATTCTGATCTAGATCCCATTCTCCGATCACCAGACAACGCTACGTACTGCCGCCGGCAGACCGCAGATGGCGTTGTGAACGGGAATGGCAAGGAAACCGGCCAGGGCGATGCCATAGGAATCCGACTGGACCACCATGGCCATTGCGAATTGCTGGCGCTCCGGTGAGATCTCCTTGGACATCTTATAGAAGGTGTTTACATAGGCACCGCCACCGAGAAGACCCTCCCAAAGGACAATGGCAAACACAATCCAGATACTGGGGGTGTACCACCAAATGACCTCGGTGAGGAAGTAGATCACATTGATGAACTGGAAGATGGACATTAGCCAGATCTTGTCCAGCTGGAAGACATTCACCGATGACCGTGAAATGAAGACACCAATCTGATAGTCCACATTCAGCCAGCGGTACTGCGAGTCCTTGTCCAGGAAAATGTCCTCAAAGTAAACCAGCTCAAACTGCAAGGAAGGAAGTTGTGAGAAGGGATTATGGAGAAAGCTAGGTGACCTACCAATCCCTGGTTGATGAAGTACTCGAAGAAGTACACCAGACAAAGGGGCAGCATGTACTTGACGAGATGCTTGATGTAGAAGAACTTCTCTTTGAAGCCAACCAGCGGCTTCTCGTCGGAGATCAGGACCTCAGTGGACTCAACAGTGGTGACCGGAAGGATGTCGACCTGGGGACGGCGGAGGAGCAGCCAGAAGGCAAAGGCTTCGATGGCTGGGAAGATCAGCATTATAAGCATGGTATCCCTTGGACTGAAGTCTAAAGATCTCAAACTGGCATAGCTCAGGGAACCGATGACACCGGCGCCACCAGTACCGGAGGACCAGGTGGATATCACATTCCTATAAAGGAGATTTTGAATTGAAGATATTATACACTAATAATTATAATTAATTACTTGTTGTAGCGCGAAGAATAGGCCAGAAAAGTGGTCTCTCCGATTCCACTGCTGGCCGAGGTGATGATCACACCCAGAAGGGCCATCCATTCGGCTTCAGCGAATCCCACCAGCAGGAAACCGGCGGCCGAGAAGATTACAGCAAGGGCAATGCGAAAGCTGAAATAGAGAGGAGAAATTAGGAGGAATCATTAGAGATTTTTAGCCTTAAAGAGAAGTCATCAAGCTTTACTTACTTAACCCAAAAGGGAAAGAAGGGCATCAGCATCTTGACAAAAAGCGAGGGTAGCACATCGGCCAACAATATGGCGCCAGTGGACACCAAATGGCAATTTCTACCCGAATCGCTTTCAGCAGCCTCGTCATTCTAAGGCGAAGAAATAAAATATAATTCGAGTTGATCAAGGATTAAAGATATAGACTGTTTCTCACCGGATTAAACTGTTTGATAATATCATGGGCAGCACTCAGCATCACCACATAGCCATAGTTATTGCACAGACCCAGTATCCAGTAGGAGGTAAGATCCCGCCACAGGCCCTTGTCATGGCGAGAGCTGTGCGTAGCATCTGCAGGAGTGACTACCACCTGGGGATCATGCTCGGCCTCGGCCTCTTGCTGCTTGCTTGCCGTCATATTGAAACGGCAAACTTTAAAATAATATTTAAAGATAATATATTAGCATTTATATTTGATCAATATAATATATATTATATATTTAATATATTTTGCTTCAGTGATTCTCTCTAAAAATATCTCTTAACTATTTACACTCAGATTTCTCTTTATTTATAATATATGCCATAAACTTGTTTACTCTTTACTTAGCTCTCTTAACTTGGTGTTAATTATTTTTATGAATTATTATTTACGCAAGTCGTATTTAGGCAAACTGTTTAATTTGTTAAGCTGTGCATGTACGTCATTGGTCGTGAACTTGCTCGAAATCGTCAAGGGGGGAAGTGAGTTAAATGAATGAGCTTGACTCTCGTGGAAACTACGTGCACTAAATGCTTAAAAAAACGAACAAAAAATAATATTGAAGGCAGCCAAAAGACAGCTGTTTAAGCTGAGCTCAGGGCTTGACAGGTTAAAAGCCTCGTTTTTACATTGATATTTTTCTATAATTAAATTAAATGCTTAGCTGGTTACTGCAAAAAGTTCCCACAAATTGTTAGAAAGCCTTTGAATATTTACTTAGTTTTCTTTATATCTAATACCTTAAAGTCACGGGGGGTAAATAAACTAAATAGCACATCGCTGGCTATTTAAATATATATAATCTATATATTATAGTTTAACCATTTTTTGGCAATGATTTGTCTGGTGCAAAGTGCAGTGACTTGATTTGTTTACATCCGACAGAACTTGTGACCGATGACAGAGTAAACAGGAAGTGGACAGGAATAAATGGGGAAGCGAAGAACTAAACCGGAAAAAGGATCAAAGAATATATAAAATATTATATAGAGAAGCTATATATCACTTCACTACAGTTTATTGACTGACGTTTATAATTTGCCAGATCATTTCAGTTGACCTTGCCAACTTTATAAAAAATATATTAACTAACCAAGTGCTGTTAGCCAAGGCAACTAATTAAAAAAATATTAGCTTCTATTTAATTGTGCAACCCGTTATTATGCCAAACCAAAAGAGGGTTCCTTGGCCGCTTGCACTTGGCTTGGGAACTAGTATTGACTCATTAGCTTGGGATTCACTTGATCCACTTGCTTTGTTACCAAGTCGTTGGCCTACTTATCAGTGCCCTGTCCTATCCAGTTACTTTTGCCAAGTATTAAAAATAAAAAATATAAATAATATGATAGCTTGCGAAAAGCATTTTGAAATAATGGACAGTAAATTGAGAAGGCTAGATGAACACTTTCGGGTATTGCCTTGGACTCCAAAATAATAGCACAGCACCAAGTTGTGTTCATTAATTTTTAAGAAATAGAACAAAATTAAAATAAATATAAATTATAAAAATTAAATTAAATTGAATGCATTTTAAAAGATTTTTTATTTGTTTTATTTGTTTAAAGGAATATTTTGAAGGAGCAAAAGGTTTGTTTAGCTTGTCATTAAAATTTGTATTTAGTTTTTTTTTAATATTTCTCAATTAAATAAAATATAATGCAGTTTAAAAGAGTAGAGTTTTATCATGCTTAAATCACTTGTCATTAAAAATGATATTTAATTTTGTTGGAATGATATATCCCTTAATTAAACTAATTTATAATTATTAAATATATTTCTTTTGAAATTATATTTTGTAGTAAACACTTTTGTAGTATCCCTTTTGCCGAATTTTATAATTTCTTTTAATTTAAAATGTAAACTGCATCTCGAAAACATTCTACAATCTTGTTCCCGCACTTTAGGCACCTTTTAAATATCCTTTATGAAAATTAAGTAATTACTTTATATAAATTAGTAATTTATCTGCTATCCGGACTCCAAGTTAATGGGAAAATTCGTGCTCCGAGCACTGATAAGAACGGCAACGACTACGTTTCGCGCCTTCGGGCGTTCAATGAGTGACTGAACCTGAATGGGCCCTCCCAACCGATCGGAACGAGAACCAATAGCACTGAGAACCAGCGATTGGGACCTAAAGTGCGAGGTATCACGCGAGTTGCCAGCGACAGCATAAAACAACAAAAAATATAATAAAAAACAAAGAAGAAAAAAAAATTGCCGAGCGGCAACAATAACAATCGAAACTAAAACAATTGCAGATGCAACAAGTGCCAAAGTGCCGATCAGGCAGGTTTATCGCTAGCAGGTAATTATACACACAGATATAGATATACTATACATATATATTATATCGTGTGCAGCGGTGGATTTAATTCAATTTAAGTTGATTCGATTTGCCGCGATGTGGAGGCAGGCGGGGGAGTTGAGGTCGGTCAGCGAGCGAACGTCACGTTTTTCAGTTTGGCAAGTGAAGCCCTCCACCTGCAAGAGGGTCTCTTGATTACGATAAGATGATGTTTTTTTACTTTGTTACCTTGCGATTAAGAAAGCTTATCGGTTTAGTCATCTTTTGACATTAGACATATACGCCGCCGCGCCACGCCGCCGCCGCCGCCGATTTTTGCCTTATTTGACGCGCCGCCGCCAAATTATGAAAATACCGGCGCGCCGCGGCGCGCCGCTGGTGCGGCATCGGCGCAGCTTCAGCGCGGCCTTCAGTGTCATTGTTCTTTATAAAACTTAAAAAAAAATAAATAACTCATTAAAATGGCCTTTTTGCCTTATTTGACGCGCCGCCGCCGCCGGTTCTTTCTGACTACTACGCCGCCGCCGCCGAGTCATTTTGACCTCTACGCCGCCGCCGATGCCTTTAACCATCGGCGTAAACCTCTATTTGACATTCTGTGATCCTTACTAATTTAACACAATCTAGCTGATATCGATTAGATTGTGTAGATAATTGTGGCAAGGTTTCCACATTCTTGCCTTTACTTTTCTCTCTGTTTGAAATAAAGAATCTAAAGGGTAATTCCCACTTTACTGGGCTTTTAAGTAGCATACACTTTGTGTTAACAATTGTTAATTACCATTTTAAACAAGTTTTAATTGTATTTTCCTAAGTTAGAGCGTTTTATATGGCTTGTTTCTCAATGTATTTCTCAGGTTTATGGTTTCAGAGAAGCGCACGTGGCGTATGCGTAATATAAAAGCACAGCTCAAAATCGGTTATTAGTAACCAATACTTATCTCAACGAAAGCCCAAAAATTATGTATAGCAATTTAGAAAGGAAAAATGCTTATTTAATTAACCAGGAAAGCAAATCAAACCTGATTTCTTCGTACTTTCTCATTATTAAAAAGGTTATTTAACTTTAACTCGCGAGCTGTCAACACAAAACGGTGTCGGTTATGCAAACAATAATTACCCGACTAACTGGAAATTTGCCTGCTAATTTTAGAGCAATTTTATATATAAGTATAGCATGTATTGACGTTTCAGAAACACTTTACGAGAGACACATAGTACACACTTGGAGGCGCTAAGCTGGGGCTATAAATCCAAGGCGAGACTGAGTGTCATAAAGTTCAGCTGACTGGTTAATTTTCCCCAAAAACCAAGTACGTACTTTCGAATTATTTCCGGCTAGGAACTCGACCAACCGAACCGACCAACTGGAAACCAACTGAGGGACTTGTCGTCCATACGCACGGGCACTAGGGTATTCAGATTACAGCCGGGACGGCCAGCAATCGACATTATCATTATCGTTGAAGGGGGTGACAGATTAAATTACAGATAAGATGCTCACAGCATTGGGCCGTATAAATCTTAAGATACCAGGCAAAGGCAATCAACGACAAACATAAAGCCTGGCTATCTAGCCGCGCGCTGTGCTGTTAAATCTAATTATTGGACTAGCCGAGAGTTTTGTCAATAATAAATTCATTGCGTTTCGTTTCCTTTTGGCTTCTACATTTTAAACCCGTTGAAATCAAATCCATTTCGCGCTCATTTAGCACGTACAGAAACCGCCAAAACCAATTTCGAACCGCAGCCGCAAAGCAGGGAACGCTTTTTGCCCTGCAGCATGGCTTGGTAAAAAGTGTAAAAAAAAAAAAATAAAACAATAAAAACATGTTGTTGACAAATTGCAAAAAAATATAGCAGCTAAAGAGTGCCTGATTCAATGTTGTAAATAATTCACAATTGCCTGTCAATTTCAAGTTGCTGCCAAGGGAAAGTAATATCCTTTAAGGAGCAAACTATGGCCCAGGCCCTGTTGACAGCCAGATTGAGCTGACAAATTGTTAAGCCCATTTATTATAGTAATAGCTTGGGGTTTGACACATATTGGTGTCAGTTAGGAAGCTCTATAAGAGTTAAAAAGTAGGTTAAATTGAAGTTTAACTTGTATAAAAATTGTAGTCTTCAAATACTTAAAGATATTTAAACTCTAGCTTTTTATACCCTTGCAGGGTATTATAATTTCAGTCAGATGCTTGCAACGCAGTGAAGGAGACCCTATAAAGTATATATATTCTTGATCAGCATTAACAGGGGAACCTTTCTAGATATGTCAGGAAGAAATCGATTTTTTGGCCATTTTTGCAAAATTTTATAAGGGGTTACATCATTAAAATTGTTAATTTTGATAAAAAATTGAATTTTAAAAATTTTTAAATGAAGTATGCAGATTTATTAACTGTAGAAAATCTTGCACAGAACAGTTTTCCGATTTAAAATTAATGCTCTTTTGGCCGAGTTATGATATTTTTAATTTTAAAAAATCAAGACTTTTTTAATATAAAAAATCCGATTTTATAATACAAAATAATATTTTTCTAAGTCAAGGAATCATTTCCGACCCCATAAACCATATATATTCTTGATCAGCATCAACAGGGGAATCTTTCTAGACATGTCCGGAAGAAATCAATTTTTTGACCATTTTTGCGAAATTTGATAAGGGGTTAAATCATTAAAATTTGCAAAAATGGCCAAAAATTTTGATTTCTAAAAATTTTAAATTTGGTATGCAGTTTTTTTAAATTAATAAAAACTAACACAAAACTGCTTTCCGAATCGAAATTAATGCATTTTTGGCTATATATATATATATTTTGATATATTTTAATTGTTACCTGCAAGGGTATACAAACTTTGGCTGGCCAAAGTTAGCTTTCTTTCTTGTTTTTTAATAATTCTGATATCTTTGCTGCAGTAATTATATATATTAATGATAGTCTAAGAACAAGAAAAGAAGCTAACTTCGGCACGCCGAAGTTTGTATACCCTTGCAGATTTGGTTTTTATATTATAGATTTAAATGCTGAAAACACTCACAAAACAGAGTTTCATTAAATTTTACCTATACTTATTATGTTTACAGTTTGACAGTTTCAGTTTTACATTCCCGGCTTTACGTATTTTATACATTTACGGATCGCTTCTATGGCAGCTATATGATATAGTTGTCCGATTTTTATAAAATTTATACCACAATTCTAGAATTTTAAACATTTAAAATTTTTAAAAACCTGTTCTAAATTTTTAAAATTTTTCTGAATGTTAAATTTTTTTTCTGAATTTTCCACATTTTTTAGATTTTTTATATTTATTTAAGAATTTTTTTTAGAATTAAACAAAATTTTTTAAAATATTTTAACTGCCAAATTTGAATTTGAATTTAACTGCCAAATTTGAATTTGAATTTAACGACGATCAGTTTCAGTGTGCCCAGGTGCAGTTGTAAAATAACTCCTAAATTTGGATTCAAAAGGTTTGAGTCTCCGCTAACTTGCGCCGGCTCCTAAATGGTTTGGAACTTGGACAATTTATAACAGCTTATACCAGTTTTCAGCTGCTTGCTGCTGATTTCTGTTCGCCTGTTACCCCAATTTGGGAAACGGGCAATTTGCTTGGAAATGTTCGGAAATTTGGATGGGCTGCTGTAGGGATGTTGTTGTAAAAAGGTTGTTGTTGCCATAAGCTGTTGTTGTCGGCAACAAATAGGTATAAATGCATAAAATGAAATATAACAGTTTATACCAATTATTATTTTTGCCCAAATGTTTTTATAACAGTTTATACCAGTTTTCAGTTGCTTGCTGCTGGTTTCTGTTCGCCTGTTACCTCAGTTTGGAAAGCGGCCAATTTGAATGAAAAGTTTTGCTCACTTCTATCAGTGATGCTCACTTCCATCAGTGATGCTCACTTTCATCAGTGATGCTCACTTCCATCAGTGATGCTCACTTCCATCAGTGATGCTCACTTCCATCAGTGATGCTCACTTCCATCAGTGATGCTCACTTCCATCAGTGATGCTCACTTCCATCAGTGATGCTCACTTCCATCAGTGATGCTCACTTCCATCAGTGATGCTCACTTCCATCAGTGATGCTCACTTCCATCAGTGATGCTCACTTCCATCAGTGATGCTCACTTCCATCAGTGATGCTCACTTCCATCAGTGATGCTCATCACTGGCAGCTAGTGAGATGCAATTTTCTACCAATAATGCAAAAAAATAGCTGGATGAGCATCACTGATGCACATGCGCATCACTGACATTAAGCCCGACTTTATTGACCTCCAATATTGAAATATAGCCAGATGACCATCACTGTTGCAGATGAGCATCACTCATGCAAGTGAGCAAAACTTTTCATTCAAATTGGCCGCTTTCCAAACTGAGGTAACAGGCGAACAGAAACCAGCAGCAAGCAACTGAAAACTGGTATAAACTGTTATAAAAACATTTGGGCAAAAATAATAATTGGTATAAACTGTTATATTTCATTTTATGCATTTATACCTATTTGTTGCCGACAACAACAGCTTATGGCAACAACAACCTTTTTACAACAACATCCCTACAGCAGCCCATCCAAATTACCGAACATTTCCAAGCAAATTGCCCGTTTCCCAAATTGGGGTAACAGGCGAACAGAAATCAGCAGCAAGCAGCTGAAAACTGGTATAAACTGTTATAAATTGTCCAAGTTCCAAACCATTTAGGAGCCGGCGCAAGTTAGCGGAGACTCAAACCTTTTGAATCCAAATTTAGGTGTTATTTTACAACTGCACCTGGGCACACTGAAACTGATCGTCGTTAAATTCAAATTCAAATTTGGCAGTTAAAATATTTAAAAAAAATTTGTTTAATTCTAAAAAAATTCTTAAATAAAAATAAAAAATCTGAAAAAAATGTTAAAAATTCAGAAAAAAATTTAAAATTCAGAAAATTTTAAAAATTTAGTCAAAAATTTTAAAAATGTAGTAAAATTTTAAAACATTCGAAAAAAATGTTAAAATTCAGAAAAAAAAATTTTTAGTTTAGATTTAGCTTTCAAAATAATTAGATTTTTCCCCAAACGATCCCAAATCAATGCTGCCTTCACAAAAAAATTGCACATTGATTTCACCATCTTTTATTGATTCATATTTGTGTGTTCCATCAATTACATTTACATATTTAAATTGCATTTATAAATATTTTAATTATCTACTCCTGCTGCAGGCTTTTATATAGCCCGGAGCCAAGATCCGATCACCGTTCTCTACTGCCATCCGGTTGAGGTCTGTCCTGCCAGCTGCTCGCTCCTCCAGCTTCATCTCTGGTGATCCTAAAATTATTGGTAGTTATTTAAATTAATTAAGTATGCAGTGTTTGTTAAGCTTAGAAAAACTAACTCGGAACAGCTTTCCGAATTAAATGTCTATACATTTACCGACCGCTTCTATGGCAGCTATATGATACAGTCGACCGATTTTCATAAAATGTATACCAAAATTCTAAAATAATAACAAAAGCTTATATCTCAGAGTAGATAAAAACACGTTGAATAACAACGAAGTTATAATTTTTCCCTATTAATTTCCCGATCGTTCCTATGGCAGCTATAAGATATAGTCGTCCGATTTTCATAAAATTTTTACCAAAATTCTAAAAAATGGTGCAAGAATGTTAAAAAACAGCAAAGTTCTAATTTTTTTTCTAAAAATATATCGAACATTTGTATGGCAGCTATATGATATAGTCGTCCGATCCGGCCCGTTCCGACATATATAGCAGTGAGAGCATATAGAAGACTATATGCAAAGTTTTATTGAGATAGCTTTAAAACTGAGGAACTAGTTTGCGTAGAAACGGACAGACGGACAGACGGACGGACAGACGGACATGGCTAGATCGACTCGGCTGTTGATGCTGATCAAGAATATATATACTTTATAGGGTCGGAAACGTCTCCTTCACTGCGTTGCAAACTTCTGACTGAAATTATAATACCCTGCAAGGGTGTAAAAAAGGGTTTATTTTATATTCAATTAATATCTTTGACTATTTATCTTACGTCTTATTAAAGTTCATAATGCACTTTTAGTGATTTTGATTTGATTTTCAAATATATAATATCTTTCCTGCCTTAATTTTTATTATTAATTTAAAACATTTTTATATAAGTTTTTATATTAATATTAGTCAAAGAAAAACCTTGTTTTTTATTTATCAAATTCAGATTTATAACATTTATTATATTCCTATTTAAGGGGATAGCTCCTTGGGTGATTTTGCCATCAATTTGGCTAAGGCTTTGGACACACCCCTTCCAATATGTTTTGCCAAAGGCGGATGTCATTAAAACTACATAAATCATAGAGGAGAGCAGAATGATTGAGTCATAGAAAGAACTCCGGGTTCTTTTATTTATCTGTTTTTAATACGACTGTTCTTTACTTATCTCACACAACACCAGAACCCAATAGTTTTCAATTCGAATAGAACCTTTTGGCTAGCATTAAAATGCAAATAAAATGGGCTGAGAAGGAGAGTGAATAAAATCATTGCCAAAAGTGAAAATGGAGAATAAAAAGTAACCGCCAAACATGAAAAGTTTTTAATGCAAATACGAAAATCTCATGAAAACATGGCCACCAGCCACGTCCTTGCCCCTATATCCCCGGTATCCTCTAGCCAACCCTCCGTTTAACGAGGCGTGCTGCAATTTTCGGGCGGGAAAACGGAAGAATGGAAAAACGTGAGAGCAGGAAAACAGGAAGCAGGGAAAAGCGTTGGCCCCTGCATAATTTCACGATGCGAAAAGTTAACGCAAAGTGTTTTTATTTTCTCTTGCATATAGTATATATTTTGAATAAGTATATAGTTTTGTGCAGCAGCTTAAAGGGATTTTAAAGCGGTTGTGGGGTGAGAAATCGCTTCCAGGCCAGCTCTATTAAGAGGATGAGCACCACCAGGATGTAGGCGCAGATCAACATGAGCAGAAGCGGTGCCACATACTCCATGCCCACGGTTATCACAAAGTTTTGGGCCACGCAGTGGAGCTTCATGTGGACCCAGTAGCTGCGCTGCTTCCGATAGACGCCGGTTTCCAAAACCCTGAGGAAGCTGAAAATGGGAGATTAAAAAGGGAGATTAATAGGAATTTCTTGAAAGGTAATATTAAACATATTTGTTTTAGAAAGTGGCAAACGTTATGAATCCTTTTGAGTTTTAAAATCAATTAAAAGTCAATCCAAATTGGATTTCTTTCGAGAGATTTTAAACACTTACCGAAGTCTAAAGAGCTCTTTGTAAGTAGAGTTGCGATGCAAGTGCGTATAAAACAGCTGCTCGGGTCGGAATAAAACCTCATTTAGATCACATATCTGCTGGGCTGTAAAATATCTCTCCACATAGGCATAACCAGATGAGGTTTCAAAGACAAAAACATAGCCAGGATTGTCCCTCACCCGTAGGACACCTTCTTCGGCGGGCAGCCAAAGCTCTGGGTTCTTGGTCTGCGGTTCAATTTTGCGTTTTATAAACAAATGGATTTCGGGCAGTCTGGAATACTATAAAAACAAAAATCCTTAGAAGCTGAAAGAATTAAAATATATAAAGTTAAACTCACATTGAGATAGCTTTTGGTGAAGGGCAATGGCTCCAAGCCCACGGTCAGCGGACTCTCTGCCAGCTGCTGCATTGTCTTGATTTTTGATTTGACTGGAGAACTAAGCAGCGAGGAGACCACCACCGAAGTGTAGTAGTTGTACATAATAAAGCTAATCAGAAACAGGGCAAAATATATCAACCTGCCACCCGTAGAGCGAGGTATCAAAACCGAACTCTGAATGCAGGCTGCCCCAAAGCTTATCAGGAATGTGCTGAGCAGCGAGGGCAGGTAGTCCAAGCGCCAGCAACGCCTCATACGCCGGCACTCCATGTAGAAAGTGATCCAAAGCAGTATGCCTATCAAAGAGAGAACTCCCCCAAAAAGATACCAAACCAAGGGACTGAAGGGCTGGAGGAACACATCTCCTCGAAGGCCAGCATTGTGTGGCGTACGAAAAATGCAAACCGAACGGAAGAAACCCGTCTCTATAATGGCCGAGAGATACTTGAGTCTGCCCTCGGTGGCCAAAGAAGGTGTGGCCGTGATGTCTGCCGTTTGGTCGACTAGAGCTCCAATGGAACCTCCCACAATATCCGACTTGCTCCAACTGTCTGCGAAGATGAATTTCATTCTGAAAAGGTTAGAAAATGAGATTAAAAGGGTTTAAGTTAATAGATTACTCAACAGACTTGCAGTGCAGGAGATCTCTGAGGATAAGAGTGAGATGAAAACCAAATCTGGCTAGGGAATCTATGTGAGTTTCATTCTCCTGACTTAAGAAATCTATAAGCTGATCATCGGACCAGGTAAGAGGTCGCTGTGTGACTACTGTAGCCACTAGAAGAAAATAAACATTAATTTATATATTAATTGTTATATTCATTTTTACCTCTCAAAACCACATCTGTGAGCTGCTCTCTATTACCATATTTAGAACGCTTTTGCAGGTTACTAAGGTACCTAGTCCTGCGGCATTTTTTAGGATTGCAGGTGCTCTCATAGGATCCAGTAATGTTCAGTTGACCTCCAATGATTTTGCCATTACTGTAGACATCATAAATGGCATACACAACCGAGGAGGAGTCTGCCTGGTCATATTCCTGAACATAACTGACATCTGCATCAATAGATATATTGAAAGGGGAAAAGAAATCATAGAAATCCTGAGCAGACTGGTTGCCATGCAAAAGCCAATGGTAGTGCTGGTTGTAGAGCTGCTTCTGGCTGGCCTATAAAAATATTAACTTGAATTGATTAATAATATATATTAATAATTATTTATATTTAACAACAACCTCTTCTAGAAGTGCCTCCGCCTGATCACACTTCAAATCCACATAAATAGCTAGAGTAGGCTGCAAGTGCTCCAGGTAACTAAGCTCGAGATGTGACCAATCCTGGACTCCCTGCATTTGAACATATTGATGATAGACGAGGTTGGGATGAATGGGGTTGATGAACTGCAAAGCAAACTGGAGACCTGTAAGGGAAGGAAATAAACGATAAGAATATGAGCTATGAAGAGAGCTGCCTTGCCCACTTTCATCTCTTGGCCAGCAGTGAAAGATAACAATGAATCCGACTCGTGACTGCAGGAGATTGTCCAGGACAAAGTTGGCCAATTGCACCAGCTGCATTGTTGACTTTGAAGTTTGGACTCACGATGAGAAATCTCCCCTTTTTATAGGGTTGTAAAGTCCCTGCCTAGACCCACTTAAGCTGTCAACAGTATGCGTTGTTTGTTTGCTTTAAATTGCCTTAAATCGCTAAACAAATTGCCAATGTCCTTGGCCTGTCTCCTACCTTAGGGTAGAACGGTGTGCTGGTGCCAATGCCAGATGACCTCCAGTCCCAGCACGCCCACACAGAAAATCATAGCACACAGCAGCAGTATAAACAGAGGAGCAGCATACTCCAGACCCACGGCCACCGTGTGATTGTGCTGGTAGCAATAAAGCTTGGTTTTCGACCAATAGCGATCATGCTTGAAATGAATCCCAGTCTCCATCAGGCGCAGGTCACTTAAGAGGGAAATATAATAAATATATATAAAGATATATAAAGATCACCTCCACCCACATTAGCTTGAATAACTCCGCATATGGCGAACCCTTCACCACAATCGTATAGGTCTGAGTGTGCGTGACATCGCGCAGGGAAATCTGATTCAGCTCGCAGATTTGGTGGGGCAAGAAGTGCTTCGTCACAAACTCATAGCTGGTGGCCTCTCCAGTTATATAGACAAATCCTTTATTATCCCTCACAGCTTTTATGCCCGCCTCTGTGGATAACCATATCTGTTCCGGTGAGCGCTTGCTTCCAACCACCTTCTTTAAGTACAAACTACGAACGCTCTTTTCCTCGGTAGTCTCTATGAAGATGCGGGTATAAACATTTGGCTCTATGCCCACCTCCAGGCTGCTGTCAGCCAGCTGCTGCACTGTCCGTATGTTCGATTTCACCGGCTGACCCAGCAGCTTGGACACCACAATCGAGGTGTAGTAGTTGTACATGAGAAAGGAGGTTACCATCAGGGCATAGAAACACATTCGCCCGCCGGTCGATCGTGGTGTCAGCCAAGCTCCTTGAATGCAACCAGCTCCAAAGGAGAGCAGACAACTGGTCAGTAGAGACGGTTTCCACTTTTGCTGGCGTTCCACCAAGAAGGTGATCCAAAGAAGGCAGCCAGCTAGCAGGAGCAGAAGAGCGAAAGTCAGCCACACAGCTCCGCTAAAAGGCTGCAAGAACTCGGTGGCACTTAGGCCAGCGGAGACTGATCTGGGATTACGGAAGATGCAAATCTCCTTGAAATTGGTGAACTTGGTGAGGGGCTGTACGAAAAGACCCCTTTCGAGGGAGTAAATAAAAGGGGCCATAGGTATATCCGCCAGTCCTTCAATGAGGTCTCCAATCATGCCGCCAGTGGCATTGCCATCTGTCCAGCGATCTCTAATGATGTACTTAAATCTGGAGGATATATAGTTTATAAAAAAATCCATATCATCATCTTAAAAAACTCCCTACTTGCAGTCCAACATGTCCCTTAGGGGCTGACGTGATTGGAATCCAAATCGTGAATAGATATCCAAGTAAATTCGATCCCGGGATTCCAGAAAAGCAAATATGTCCTTTTTGGTGGAGTTTAGGGGCAGGGCAGTGATCTTGAAAGAGGAAGAAATATTTTTTAAATGCTAAATGTATTTCGGGAGCTTTCATTACAATGCCAGTGGCTGTCATGGTTAGTCCTGTAAAGGTCTTTCTGTGCTGCAGGGGACTCCTGGTATATAAATCACTGAGATATCTTTGGACTTCACACTTTTGCTCATTGCAGGAAATTTCTCGATCTGCGGTTACATTCAACTTTCCTCCTAGCTGAAGTCCTTTGTTGTAGAGATCGTAAAGTATAAAGTTTCCGTTGGAGGGATTATTAGTGACGTAGGTAAGGTCCGCATCTATATAGAGTTGAGTCTTTTCGAAGCGTGAAGAATTCACAAATCTTTCGTAGACCAGCCAATGGTAGCGATGGCTAAAAAGACGTCTGGAACTGGCCTAAATGAATTCAATTAAATTGAATTTAAGTGAATTTAAATTAAATTGAATTAAATTAAATTAAAAATAAATAGAATTAAACAGTATTAAATATAATTAAATTGAATAAAACAAAATTAAATTGAATTAAATAACAACAAATTAAGTAAAATAAAATTTCATTCAAATTAAAGTAAGTACTACATTAAATTAAATTAAATTTTAAACATACTTATGCCTGTATTAAGTAGTAAACACATTTTTATCTCCTCACCTCCTTCAAAACAACCTCACTATCATTACAATTGAGATCCAAAAAAACGCCCAACTTCAAAATTTGGCTGTTTACTAAATTATTTGGTTGAAAGTTTGCGTCTAAATGCTCAAACTGTATAAAAGCATTTGATTTTTTTAACATCTGTGCCAAGTGCAAGAGTGCTGAAAAGAGAAAAACAAAGAGTATATCAAGGAATTACCTCCTAAAAACCCCACTCACAATCCATAGACCAGCAATGTAAGATCAAAATATGACTTAACTTGGCAATTTCCAAAAAGTTATTTAATATCAAAGTGTGCAGCTCCAGCATGGCTGATTCTCAGGCAAATAACTTTCTAATTAATGATACTGATTATGAGCCAACTTGGGCTTTTATAGGGTACACATAATGCCTCTATCAGACACATAATCAATACACAAAAGAATTTTGAACTTGACTTGACAACTTAATGGGTTGACGACATCAACCTGTCAAGCCCAAAAGAAATTGATATGAAAATTATAGCAATTTCTAGACAATTAAACTTAATTCTAAATAAAAAGGAAGGGGAAACCCCTAAGCACTCACCTCAACTACATACATATATTTGACATCTTCCTTGACTAATTTTGTGGAAAGACGCTGGCCAGCTTCTTTCTCACATAACGCGACCAAGAGATTTCCAGTAGGAGAATCATCAGAGCCATTATGTAGGCCACTAGAAGGGACAAAAACAAGGGAGCTGCATACTCCATGCCCACCTGGATCACAAAGCTATTGGAGAACGTGTGCAGCTTTGTCTTGCTAAAGAATCGACTCTGCTTCGAGGTGATGCCACACTCCAGCATGCGCACTTGCAGCTGAGTGAGTATCTCCCTGTAGGTGGAGTTCAGATGGATCATGCCATAGACAGCGGTCTCGGGACGGAGGATGATCTCATTCAGATCAGAGATCTCCCGCGGCAGGTAGTGTTTCTCCACAAAGTGATACATGAAAGAGGCCTCCGAGGTGTAAACAAAACCAGGCTGATCTCGCACACGGATCACCCCCTCTTCAGGTGAAAGCCAGACGCTATTGGGATCCCGCTTGGTCAAAACCTTTTGCTTATACAGGCTGCGAATGTCCGAGCGTGGAGAGGACTAGGGAATTAGATCTAGGGAATAAGATCTAGAAAAGGAGAACTGTTTAACTCACCACCAGATAGGTCTTGGTAAATGGCACCGTGTCGAATCCCACATCCAGGGAGCTGTCAGCCAGTTGTTGGATAGTCCTTATGTTGGAACGCACTGGTGACCCAAGCAGCGTGGACACCACTATCGAAGTATAGTAGTTGTACATGAGGAACGAGGTCAACATCACGGCTATGAAGGCCAATCTGCCCCCCGATGACTTGGGCATCAAATAGGAACCCTGGATGCAGGCAGCTCCAAAGCTGATCAGGCAGCTAGTCAACAGCGAGGGCATGAATTCCAAACACCGCCGCATCCAGTGCCGCTCCAGGTGGAAGATCAGCCACAGCAAAACTCCAGCAAAGAGCAGCAAGCCACCAAAAGCAAGCCAAACGGTGGGTGTAAAGGGTTCCAAGAACACGGCCGCCTTGATTCCGGCATTGTGTGGTGTACGGAACATGCACACAGCCCGAAAGGGAGCCTGTTCCGTCATGGGATGCACATAATGCAGGCGATTCCAGGAGGGAACAAAAGGGGAAGTGGATAGCTCGGCAGACTCATTGACCAACAGGCCAATGGCACCGCCAAAGGCATCCTGAACGCTCCAAGTACCGCACCAAATGTAGTCCAGCCTTAAAGAAAAATCAAACGATACTTTTATATATTCTGTATTAATTTGAACTTACTTGAAACCAAGCACTTCCTGAGTGTGCAGGATGAGGCGATAGCCTATGCGAGAAATGGAGTCCATATGGGAGTCCCTATCGCTATTGAGAAATTCTAGGAGTACGTCCTCGCTGGAGTTAATGGGTAGAACTGAAACCTAATAGATTTTTCTATTATTTAATTTTCTTTTCATTGTTTGTATACTTTTTTGCTAACCCACCAAGGCAGCCAATCGAAAGGTGATGCTGGACAAGTCTCGACGCTGCTGCAGCCTGGTTCCTTCATGCAAGTTACTTAGGTATTCCTTAACCTGGCAGTTACTAATGTTGCACAGCATACTCTGGTCAATGGTTATGTTTAGTTTGCCACCCAGGTGGCTGCCCTTGTTGTACACATCGTAAAGGATAAAGAGCTCCTCATCCTGACGCCTGGCATAGGTCACATCAGCATTTAGGCTAAGATTGGCTGCCTCAAAGAGTTGGCTTAGTTTGGTAAAGTTGCCACCAGAGTCATAGAGCAGCCAATGGAAATTATTGTTATACAAACGGGCACGACTTGACTGTGGATATTTTAATAATAATTATAATTATATTTATATATAACTATGCTTAAAAGAAAATCATCCTAAAACTTAGTAAAATTTTCTAGAATTTAGAAAAAGTTTCCATAAATTTAAGGCAATCCATTATAAATTTTACCTGATTTGTAATAAGCTCAGCTCTCTCACAGCTCAAGTCCAAAAACACAGCCAATCTGACCAAATCACTGTCCAAATACTCCTTGTGTATATTGGCCAAATGCTCAGGGCCTTGTTTCAGGTCAATGTATTGCGAATAAATGTCATTTCCATTCAGCATTTCGGCCAGAGGAAGAGCCTCTATATATTTACATAGGCAGAGCCCTTAGGGAACCCTTTGTTGAACATGCAAAATCAGAGCTCTGCTCACCTTCTAAGGACCAGCAATGAAATACCATCACACTCCTTAAATTTATTTGAAGCAGATTGAAGACAATCAGTCGATACAAAGCCAAATCCATCATTCTAAGCACTTTCTTGCCTTTTAGCCAAAAGTCTCAACCTTTTATAGCCTCAAAAAATCAACAAAGGCAATTAAGTTATTAGAGCCAAATTTGGGGACAGCCATCAAGTTGCCAATTCAGATTGACAGCGGTAGTCAAATTTTGGGCCAACAGCCAAACTGACATCTTCACCCAAAAAAGCAAAAAAAAAAGGTAAAAGCCATTTGGCCCGAAGAGCAACAAGTGGTTTGGCCAGGCGCCTGCGCAGGACCTGGTGGCGTAAACAAAAGTGCAAGTTGGATTTATGAATGAAACCCAGACGAAGATGGGTGGGCGACTCCTCCCACTGCTGCTCCTCCCACTCCCACTCCTCCTCCTCCTGCTCCTGCTCCTCCTCCTGCGGCGTTAATGGTTTCTGAGCCGGGGTGGCACGTCGCTGGCTTTAGTGATTTTGCGCCTTTTGCATGTCCTTTGCCTGGTCGCCCAGTTCAATCTTCTGGCCCGGACTCAATATCGTTTCGGCGCAGTCTGCGTTGCGCGCTTGGCGCGTTTTGACGTATCTCTGAATCTCCTCCGGCTCTGTCTCTCTGGGTTCGCGTTTTAGTTCAATTTCGATTCGGTTTTGGTTTTCGCCTTGGTTGGTCCTCCTAAAGTTTATTTATTTTCGCCTGGAGATTTCTGTGTGCATTTTGGATACGATTAGAGCAGTTCAACGTGGCCAAAGGCTGGAATAACACAGCTGAATTTTAAGTATTTCGAAAAATGTGTGTGGGTGCTGTGAAAAGTGCTTACAAAAAAATCTTGAAAATAATCTGAGAAAAAGGGAAAACAAATCTTTAATATATAACGATTTGTTTAAATCTTGAAATTATATTATAAAATGTTAAGAGAGCTCTCTAAAAAAATATATATGTATTTATTTTTGAATGAAATATTTTTAGAAATTAGCGTAAAAGTTTTCTATAAAATTATTTAAATATTTTTTTATAAGAAACAAAAGTTTTCTAAACAAAAACAATATTTCTAATTTTTTTTTGCGAAACTTGAATTTTTTAAAGAATGTTTTAATTTCAAGTATTTAAGAAACATTTAAAATTAAATAAAAGCCCCAACATTATCTAAATAAAATTAATTTTAAACATAATAAAATAAATTCGAATAATGTGGCGTATGTGATATCCTTCTGTAACATCAAAAACCATAATGAATAAATTAAATACATATTTAAAGTAATATTAAAATAAAGAAAAAAATAATAAAACCATAATTAAAGTAAAATTTAACTTATTAAAAATGCTTCTTAGAAATCAACAACAATAATACATAAATATAAATAAACATTAAAAAAATATAAAATAATATCTCTATTTGTGATTAATATGATATATCTGAAAAAGTGTTAAAAAATGTACTAAACAGCCAAAACTGAAGTAAATCTCTAACTAATTAAACATTATTACATAATTATTATGCAATTCCTCGCCAAGCCACCCAGGCGTATACGTAATTGTCAACATCTGGGTGCTGTGCTTCGCTTCAGCTGTTTGAAGTCCCATAAAACTTTGATTCGCAACAACAAAAGTCGGTTGATTTTTCTAACCAACTCAAATGGCCCGGTCCTAATTGAACTGTCAACCCGTAATTGCCTAGCCCCTACCTTTCTTCCCTTTAATTGAGCGCCAATTAAACTGTCTAAATCAACTTAATTAGCGAGTCTGATAATGCACACACGACTTTTAAATAAAATATTTAAAAACTGATATCGGTAATTAGACATCAGAATCAGTTTATTAAAGGGAATACTTAATTGAAACCTGTTTAATTGTAATTATCAAAAAATACATTAAAAAACCAAAATGAACGCATATTAAAAATCAATTGAAATGCGGTCAGTAGCGATGCGAAATATTTACAATAAGCCACAAATGTGACATTTTCGATGGAGACAACTACTGCGACACATCCGAAATTCCATATTGGATGACACAGAATTACAATTGAGTGCAAATAAAGTGCAATTATCGCTGATTTAAACGGGCATTAGAGAATCATAAATTTTCCATGAAGCGGATGGCAAGGGCACAAAATTTTACACAAATGCCCGCAAAATAATCCACCAGAGGATTCTGGTCAACCAGCAGCAGCAGAAGGAAGAAGACGAGCTATTAACAAAAACTATTTACTCCAAGGGAATTGATTGGGGGAAATGGTGGAAAAAACAGAAACTAGAAATACGATTGTGGTATAAATTCGAGTAAATTAATTTTATTTCACAAAATAAATCAAGTTCAAGGGTTTACAAGTGTTTAAAAAAAAGGGTTTATGTGTCTTTTCATGTAGGTAAATATGTTTAAAAGTTTAATAAAGATTATACTTTTATTTAATAAAGGTTATATTTTCAACTACCTTAGAAGTTATTACTAAATAGGATGTTTATACATAAAGTTAGATTTAGTTTGATATACAATTAGTATTTATTTTATTACTCAAATAGCGTTGCTTCGTCTCCATCTTGTCCAGAAAATAGCTTCCCTACCTCTTAATTATCGCTTGGTTTTAGGTTTCAAAGGGCCTTAGATTTTTTTTCTATTTCGGCTTTCAAAAGATTCTTTATCTTTAAAATCTTTGCTATCTTGTATTTAATTTTTTTTATTTATTTTTTTGTTTTGTGTGTTTGAAGAAGACTCAAATTTTTCACTGACACCGCTTCAGGTCACAAAACATCTCTCAAATAGCAAAAAATGCAAAGCACAAAAAGCAGCAGTTGGGGTATCGCACTCTTGAGATTTACATTGTAAAGTATCCGTTTGGGCACCCCTCTATCTTCCAGGCCGTGCCGCTCCTGTACACATATACATATACCGCAGCATAAGGAAACAGTCTCACACAAAAAACTGCATTTAAATTAATTGAATTTCTGTAGATTTTTTTTCCGCAGTCGAGAGAAGGCCTTCTCTCCACCACTCTCGGGGCGTTCGTCCCTCCTTCGCTTCTATTGCTCTTATTGAATTGGTTTGGGGATTTGTTGGTTGACCCACAAGTCAAGATTGTGGCGTGTCTGGTGAGGCAGAGCTGACTTAAGCGTCGTCCGAATGCGTTTTGTGTGTCATTATATCAGAGAAGAGCGGTGTGGACTTGGCTTTTCCATTCTCCGTTCTCCATTTTCCATTTCCCAGTTTTTTTTTTTAATTTTTTTCTTCCCTCGTTACTGGTCTGCAGCCTCGGCTGCATTTGTGTTCATTAAATTTGCAACTAAGTTGAAATGTTTTTGTTTACTTGCACAACTGCAAAGTCTGGGCCAGAATCTGGGCCTGGCCAAATTGAATGTTTGAAAATTATACATGAGTCGAAGGTTCCCTGCAGTGGGACAATAGGTTAGTGCCGAAACTGAGGGCTTTTAATGACAACAATTTGAGAACTTGGCATCATTGGTTTTATTTAAATATTTTTCCATTTGAGTTTACAATTTTTACAGTATAAAAATTCTAAATTAAATATAGTTTAGTTTGATTAACTTCAAAAAAACTTAATATATGTTCAAAATGTATAGCTTGCTCTAGAAATATAAATAAAGTACCTAGTTTAGTGATAATTTCTCCACTCTTTTGTGAAATGGAGTGTTTTTTGATTGCTTATTCAAATTTCAACAAAATTTAGCTTGTGTTTTCTGTATCGAAGGTCCTTTAATAAGTTTGAAAATTCCACATTAGCTTTTCTGCCCTAGAAATCACGGCATTTGTGAACAAGGGAACCCACTTAGCAAAGACAAGTGCAAACATTTGTGCATTATAATGCCTCGACCCGAACGATTCAGCTGCATTTCACGCTTCCCTAATCCTCGCCAGGGCCTGCCTCTTCCATTTTGTAAACATTTCCGCAAAACGTGAATCAATCCACGAACAAGGGGGGTGTGGAAATCCGTACGGAGGAGGGCCAAAGGCCAAGGGAAGCCGGGATCGTGAATTCCGGAGACTGGGAGCTCGGCACGTGCCGTCCGCTGTCGCTCAACTGTGAAATAATTAGAACAATTGCATTGGCCCGGGGCCATAAAGTTCGCCGAAATGGGGGGCCCTGCTTTTCTCAACTGACCGCAGAGTAAATTTTTTTGACTTGCATTTAATTAAATTGCGGCTTTAATGCTACTTAGCTTAACTAGAAAACTTGCGGAAAGCCGCCGGCGCTGACAATCCCATTTCACACGAAAAAGACGTCACCTCTGGTGTCTCTCTGAAAAATTGAACTAAAATACGTATTATATGTGAATATATATTCCATGAACAGCTGGCAAATAGTAGTGCCTGCATTCTGCCTTCTTTGGACCCATATAAACCACCTGCTGCTGGCGCTTCCGCAGATTCACAAAATATATAGTGACGACCCCATCATACTCAGAGGCTTGGATATAGGCAGCAGCTGCCTGGGACATCAACAAAGGAAAGGAAACTCTTTGATTTTATAAGAGGGTACAGCTGGGTATGCCTGTCAAAAGATAAAGATACTTTCTTAGTAAAACATTATAGAATTCTGTATATATCTGTACTGATTTTAAGTCTAAGTGTGTGTTAGCTTTAATAGTTCTAAAAATCCTAAAAATATTTAAACAGACTCTCTCATTGTTTTAGATTGACTCTTCTGTTGTTAAAGAAATTGAGTTATTTGGTTAATCAAATAAATAAATAATAATTGTAAACTCATAAAATAATTTTATTAAATTTAATGTAATGTAAACTCAATCTCTTTAATTAAATAAATAATAATAAAAGTAAATTCAGTAAAAATAAATACTCAAATTTGAAATAAAAATGTTCTCATTCTTCCCAAATAACAATAAATCACAACAAATTTCCGCGCGTCAACCATGATACCCTTCATACCCTTCTGGGGAAGCCTCCTAACAATGCATTTCCACCAAAAAAAAAGTCTACCAGAAAAAAACAAATATTCGCTGGCAGGCGAAGGATAGGAAATAAGGGTAGTGGAAGCCGAGAAGAGGACCGTCAGCAGCCTTCAAAAATTGAGTGCAATTCCGACGTTGATGAGAAAATGCGTTGAACGTGCTCAAGTTGTTCTCTGCCAAAACCAAGAAGCATCCTGTGTGTGTGTGTGTGGGAGGCGAAAAGTGGGTATTCCCTGCATTTAATTTTAACCCGTTCGCAGCAGCTAAGAAAAGGCAAAGCCCAAAATTATAAGCCAAAAGCGATGCCTGAATTTTGGTGATGTCCTTTTTGGGCACCATTTGTTTGTGCTTCTGCCAGCAATTTGCTGCAAAGTGAAGAGTGTAATTAACAGCCAAGCATGTGGCTCTGATTTCGCTAAACAAAAAATGTATATAACTCCTGTCTTTGGAAGATTATATTACCCAGATAATTAGGAAGGAAAACCTAAGCAATCTGCAAAAAAAAAAAAGGAAAAAGGATATCTCCCTTTTAAAGCTATAAGACATATAAAGCCAGGGTTAGATTTCTAGTTAGCATTTCCCCCAGCCTTGTGACAAATCAACTAAAAATAATGCGAATTTCCTTTGTGTCAGACCAAAATCAGTATCAAAATCAAAAGCAAAGCCAAGCCATAATTAGCCAGCACAAGCGTCTAATCAAGTGGCAAGTAGCATTGACGTCGAGGCTGACGAAGATGCACCAGAGATGAGGCTGCCCTGATATCAGACGGCCGACTTGAAGGCAAGGCAACATGCAAGTGGCCGAGGGACCACTCCAAATTATTGGAAATAGTTATCGCAACCTGATGCGGATGTGTCGCTGTGGCGCAGCTGATGAGCATGTGGCTGTCCGGTTGTCGGGATGTCGGCATTGGCCATGCATAAAATTAGGTTAGTGGGTGAGACATAATTAAGTTATGGGGTCGCATTATTTTTCCACCACCCCTATTTTTGCATAATTAAATGAGATGTTGTCTTGCAGCCTTGGTTGTGCCCGTCGTCGTCGTCGTCGTCAGCATTATTCATACAGCGCCTTTGACTTTTCCGGTTGATTTTTCATTAACGAATCGCCCGACTGACGAGCTGGTTAGAGCAGCGGCATCGGCATCGGATTCCGATTCCCCGGCATATTTGCGCTTAATAACTTGCCATCAATTAAAACCCTGGGAGTTCAGTCAAGATTAATATTTAAGTTTTTTGCGTACAGTGAAAATATGAGGCCATCGTCATTTTATATGTTTCCTCCTTGCTAGTGGGTCTCATTAATCTTCAACTTTTCCCCAGCGCGTCATTTTTTAACTCGATATTACGCATACGCCGTGTGGTGACGATTGAAGTGTGAAGTAAGAAGGAGAAAGGAACTTTGCAAAAAATATGTAAGCCTGATCTCTAAGTAAAAAAGTTATAATTAATTATCTTTGTGAATTCCTGGATGTTGTTTTATTAATAAAATGTTACGTATACGCCGTGTTTTCAAAAAGGAAACATTACTAAACGAACGTTATGCATACGCCATGCTTTCAGTAATAAAGAAATATAATATAAATGAAGGCCATGAATTCAAGGAATATAAATAAATAAAATCTTATGGAATTTGTGAATCAAATATTACGCATACGCTGTGTTGAACATAATAAGTTTCAAAGAAATTAATAAAGAATTAATATAAAATACTATAAATGCTTTCTTGATTGAATATAATACCTTTAAAATATTAAATAAATATTAAATATAATAAGTTCCAAGGAAATTAATAAGAAATAAATATAACATATGAGTTCTAAAATATTATGATTTTAAAACCCCGTAAAAACTACCCCTTTAAATTAAACACTAAAAAAATATAGTTAAACAGAAATGCAGAATCCATTGCCAAGGAATCCAAGCGATAATCCCAATAGTTTTAGCTGATAACTGATGCCGCTGGCTAATTGGCCAATCAAAAACTGCAAGCAATTAAAAAAATCTAAGCAAACTCATCGCCTGGTCAAACAGCAAAGCAACGACTACACAGGCCCCGGACAAGACAAGACAAACGGAACTAATGCGAGTCTAAAAGGAATCTCAGAAATTAAGAAGAAGCCGCCGCCTTATGAAATTGCTCTCGACCCGAGTGCAACTTCCGGTGCATAAATGAGAATAAATACGAGCGGACAGAGGCGAGTCAACACAGGACACACAGACAGACACACTCAGGAACGAATCGCTGTCACCAGCAGGAGCTGGGGCTGGGTAATGGAAAGAGGAATGGCAGGAATGGCGAGACCGAGGCCAGTTGGAGCGACAAATGTTGGACAAACGGATGTGTAGATTAGACTAGCAGAAGACTTGGCCATCGGACAAGTAAACAATAGTTGCAGCCAGCGAAACAAACAACAAACAAAACCGAACAATATGTGCACAACAACAAGAACAACAACAACTGTGGCATCCGGCTCCATCTCCGCCTCCGTCTCCTGCTCTGCCAGCGGCGATGCATCAAGTGACCTCATCGGAGATCCAAGTCCTGGCAAGAGGAGAAGGAGCAACCGCTCCTGGCACCAAGGACAACGCTTAAACTTGCGCATATTTAAACTTTTGATTAGCTGCTGCGTTTTAATGCTTAGCATTTACACAAATGCCTGGCACTTGTCCATCAGTCCCGGTTCAGGATCTGGTTGGGTCATGGCCGGCAGTATCAAGGGACGCGGCGATGCCCATCGCCTGGATGAAATGGGCTCCCTGTCGCACACATCCTCGTCGACAGTCACAGGGCTATCGTCAGCTTGGCTCACGCAGAGCAATAATCATGCAAATATATCCGAATTGCTGGATAATCTACTACGTGGCTATGACAATAGCATAAGACCGGATTTTGGGGGTGAGTACTTGAGTATATATAAATTATGGAAATATTTTGTTATAAAGGAAATATAAGAAAGAGAGTTTAGATGGAAATAATTCATATTTATACTTAAAATATATGAATTCATTGAGGAGTATTCAAAACACCTAGGTTGGCTTACCTTAATCCTAGACCTTTTTCTAACCAAAACAGCCTAGCAAATCCTGTCTATGTCAAATGCCAAAATCTTGTTTACCCTCTTTTGGGCTTCCACGCGCCGTCTTCTCCAGCGTAATCAGCACAGATTCGCAGATTTTCCGCTCAACGGAAGCATTTAATGAAGCGGAAATCGCTGCCAGGCGACATACATCAGTGACAAAAATTGGAACCAGGCACCAAGGTGACTAGGACGAGGCCTCAAGCCTCTTGATTATTGCCTCTCCTCCACCCAACGCCATGCATTCATTGGGTAAATAGTGAGTGTCAAAACCTACAAATATTTGTCCTGCATACAAACCAAATTTTATTGCCTACGATTTCGCTCCACAAAGAAGGACAATTTCGAGGTAATTCGATTCCTTTCAATCTCGCCAAATGGTCGAAGCAATAAAAATTTAAATATTTTCGAAATTTAAAATGCCATCCACTCAATGAGAGGCGAGGCGAGGGACGCGAAGGCTTAACGCGATTTTGGTTAACGCGGCGAAAATTGTGTGTCGTCTCTCCTACAGCTTAAGACCAAATTACATTGTTTTTTAACACTTCATTAAGAATGGGCCCTTCGCTCTCTGTTCTCCGCCTTCCCTTGTCATCCGGCTCCAGCTGGAGAGGATTCAAAGGATACGTGGCAATGCACATCCGCATCCTGCGAACGCAACGCATGTTTGCCTACTGAGCTCGTTGGCAGCAAAGTCATTAAAAACTGTTCGCATAGGCAAAATACAGAGTAAAAAAAAAAAACGATTTTCGAGGGCGCTTCGGGAACGGAGAGGCGAATCTAGGGCCTGAAAAATTGCATATTAGTGCAGAAAAGCTAGATAAAAATGGGTGGATGCGGGGCTGGCAGGCTACCGAGGGTTTGGGACTGTCTGCCAAGCGGCTTAAGTGTCATTGTTCACACAGAGGAGGAGCATTTAACATTTTCATTTAGGGACCGCGACTTGCATATGAATATTCATGGTTGAACAAAAACCGATATGGGTAGTAAGGTAGGTAGGTGGATTATATAGTTGGATTTGCGTGGCCTTCGGCTCAAAAGGAAGCCTATATTCCATAGCTAAGCTAAGCCGACAAGTTTTTAAGGTTTTTTTTTTTGGAATTTTAATCAAATTAGAATGAAAAATGATTTATTTAAATTTTATACTATTTCTTATGAATGAAATTACATTATTTTGATATTTAGGGAATTTAATTCTAATGAATTTCCTATAGTAAACTATTTTGTAATGCGTTTTTTACTAAATTAATGCAGAAATTAAAATTTATACATATGGGTTTTATATTTTAATGAACTTTTTAGTATAAAAATACAATAATTACTATGTATAAAAATGTTTTTCTTTAATTTAATTGTTTTAATTCGTCTAGAATATGTATTATTATTAATTTTATTTCATTTAAATTAAAAGTACATCTTTATTTTTCATATTCTAGGTCCGCCAGCCACTGTGGAAGTCGATATAATGGTTCGAAGCATGGGACCCATATCAGAGGTAGATATGGTAAGTGAAATTAAATATAAATTAAATGAAGCTAACCTTAAATTCAACGATAAATATATTTAAACGTTAGTACTATTTTTATTACGTATACGTAATATTTTATATTTTTCTTTCATTATTATTTTTAATCTTTTATTTTTCTCATTTCATTTAATCTTTTAATACTAAGTTCTTCTCTTATTATTTATTTCTTTATTTATCTTTTTCCCTATATTTTTTTCTCCATCTTAGCCATGCAACAGGCTACTCTTCCAGCTCAAATTGCAGGGTCACCAACTCCTCCTCCAACTCCTGCCCCTTTACCTGTCTGACTTCCCTTATTTTTTCATTCTCCCTTTCTCCATTGCAGACCTACTCAATGGACTGTTATTTTCGTCAATCCTGGGTGGATAAACGTCTCGCCTTCGAGGGTGCCCAGGACACGCTGGCCCTGAGCGTCTCGATGCTGGCAAGGATTTGGAAACCGGATACGTACTTTTACAATGGCAAGCAGAGCTATTTACACACGATTACCACGCCAAATAAGTTTGTGCGGATCTATCAGAATGGACGCGTGCTATATTCCAGTCGTCTGACAATTAAAGCCGGCTGCCCCATGAATCTGGCCGATTTTCCCATGGACATACAAAAGTGTCCCCTGAAGTTCGGTTCATGTGAGTATATATACTATATATGTATGCCTTGGGCGGCGTCATTGACAGAAAAGCATGCCAAGTGGAATTTAGTGGCTTGGTGTCTCAATGGTAATTATTATGCATAATTGCCGCTCATTGCGCTTTGATATGATTTGTTCTTCTCGGCAAAATGTCCACTTGTTCTGGCCAAGGACCAAGCCGACACAGAGCTGGGGGATTGCGCCTGAATGCCGTGACATTGGTTGGGAGAAAGCATGAGGAAAATGAGAAATGGCACAAGAGGCGGATATGTTAAAGTGGTTTCCAAGCGTCCGAATGATGGATGCGGATTAGATGAAGTAATGGCTAATTGGCATATCCTAATGCGGTTTACAATCCGTGAGAGAGTTTACAAGGAGATTGGAGGTTGAATGAAAGTAGAAGAGGATTTAGAACGGCGAAAGGGAAAGGTGGTGAAAAAATGTAGAAAAATCTTACAATTACTTACATACAATTAATTACTAACAATTAAGAAAATATTAATAAAAAGTGTCCTGAAAACTAAGTTTAAACAGAACTCACAACAGGGGAAACATTTTTTCTTTTTTTCTTTTAAAAGTATCCCCTTGCTTTATGTTATTAAAACTTAAATCAAGTTAATAACACAGATTTCTAGTGTATATCTTCAAGCTGCAATCACCTCTAATTACCATATTCCAGGAATAACCCAGTAATCCCCCTTTCTTCGTGCTCCTGGCACACTTGTTTCCCTGCATATGACATTTCCATTATTTTTCCGGCTACAACAATGAGTAAATCTCCTGGCATTTGATGCATTTCCATCACATTTCCCTCCTATTCAAATGCAAAATAGAAAGTATTCAAAGAAATTCATTCATACATATGTATGTACATTGTTAAATATTTGTTCAACAAATTTTTTGGGGAATGCTGGTGCCTCTCTTCCCCTTTTTCCTGCCTTCCTGTTAAGACCTGCTGCTAACTGCCTTGGCAGCTTATCGCAAATGAACAAGCCTCCGCCCCAACCACCTGGGCTAGGAATGTATTATTACTTCCGATTTGTTGTGAATAATGCTGGCTGTATGCAGTGAGGAATTCAATTACCCCTCCGCCAGCCGCCTAATGTTGACAATTTCCCATTTGAAGCGACGAGCGAACTGAACTCGCAAAATATTGCCAAAGTCAGCGATTGCCAAACAGACGCGGCGGCAGCGACGGAGACAGGTGCCAGGATGAAGATGTGCGGATGGGAATTTCGAGGAGGGTGGTGCTTCACACACATGGCGCAATGTTTGGCAATTTGTGCATTTTGGAGAAGCAGCAGCAGCAGCCAGCAGCAACAACCAAATAAAATAACTGAACACACGTGAGAGGTAGTGATTGAGGGGCGAAAAATAGTGGGTGGTGCTGTTGGTTAGTGAGATAGCTTTTGGTAAATGATTGAATGAACAGAGCTGTGATGGGTAGCAGGTTCTGCTCAATGTGAGCTAGGATTGGGAATTATTAGAGATTATAGGATTATTTAAGAAATATTTTTATACAATTAAATGAATTAATTTTAGAGTCCTGCAAATTGTTACAGATAGCTCAAGATTTATGAATTTTATTTTGTTTTAAGTGTGAGCAGAGTTATTATTCTTATAAAAAATCACTCAGCACAGCTTTCCGAATTGAAATTAATCCCTTTTATCCCTTTATTTATAATTTTTTAATTATATCATCTTTGGAAAACTCCAATTAAAATTAATCCCTATCATAGGTACCTTAAAAAACAGCATTCTATTTGTAATCAATTGAAAGTGCTTTCCAAAAGTAAGCCCCACAAGGGGATCAAACCCATTCCACCGCGACACCCACTGAGTTCCACATGCCACCCTCTTAATTGACAATACAATACTGTGCAGAATAAACAAAAATCGAAACAAAACAACAATATAATCGAAACAGTTGGCTACACCACGTCCGATGTCATCTATCGCTGGAACAAAGAACGACCCGCCGTTGCCATAGCCGAGGACATGAAGCTGTCGCAATTCGATTTGGTCGATTGTCCGGCTGGCAATTTGACGGACATTGTGTACAAGGCGGCAGCACCGACACCACAGCGTCGTCCGTATAATAACAAGGATCTGCCTTATGTCGGGGGTCGTCCCAGGCCCACCAGCAAAGTGCTGACCACTTTTGCCGGTCCGGCGGCCAAGAATCAGCATGTCCGTGGCACGGGCCTAAAGCTGGACAAAGGTGCTTTTGGCACCGGACGGGATTCGGCCGGTGGAGCAGTATCCACCACGAATCTAGCTGGCAGCATTACCCTGGAGACCAATCATCCATGTAAGTGGGGGATCTTAAAACATTTAAAAATTTATATCATGAAATGATGTCCTTTTCCAGCGGAATACTCCATGCTGATGGTGAACTTTCACCTGCAGCGTCACATGGGCAATTTCCTTATCCAGGTATACGGTCCCTGCTGCCTGCTGGTTGTCCTCAGTTGGGTCTCCTTCTGGCTGAACCGGGAAGCCACTGCAGACCGCGTTTCCCTGGGCATCACCACTGTGCTGACGATGACCTTCCTCGGCCTGGAAGCACGCACTGATCTGCCCAAGGTCTCCTATCCCACGGCCCTGGACTTCTTTGTGTTCCTCTCGTTTGCCTTCATCTTCGCCACCATCCTACAGTTTGCCGTGGTGCATTACTTCACCAAGTATGGCTCTGGGGAGTGCTACTTCATCATTGAGGAGCTAGACTCGGAGTCGGGGGAGTCGGAGACTGAGCAGCAGTCCTCGGACTTTCGGGACAGCACCGAGTCCAAGATCTACGAGGTTATACCTCTGTCCATGTGTGCCATCAGCATGCCCCCGCCTCACTCGGCTGGAGGCAGTCGCCTGGGCATGCTCACCTCCAGGAATCGAGCGCCCCGCAATCGTCGCCATGGCCTGTGGTCCTTGAAGCTGCTCAGCTTCTTTGACTGGCGGCGTAGAAAAGGAAGGCCTTCCCATGTGGGTTACTCATCGGATGAGGAGGAGGACAACGAGCAGACGCAACTACGAGCCCACGAAGCTCCAAGCACATCCGCTGCGGCGGCGGCGGCTGCAGCTGCTCAGGCCAGTCCCCCGCATGTGGGCCGGCGAAGGATGTCCTATTATCGCCGCGAGGAGATGGAGGCCCGGCGAAAGGGAAAACGCACTCCACAGTACAATTCCGTGTCGAAGATTGACCGCGCCTCGCGGATTGTCTTCCCGCTGCTGTTCTTCCTGATCAACGTGTTCTACTGGTACGGCTACCTGTCGCGGAGCTCACGAATCCTGGCCAGCACGCCGGACGCGAGCACCTGATGTTACCTTTTAGCAATTTAGACAGAGTCCTCGAAGAAATCAGTAAGCGATCGCCGGGGGCGAACAGTTAACTAAGAGCTGGGATGAGATGCTGGAAAAAGTATAAGGATTGGGAAGGAATAAACAAGGATAAGATGGTTATTTACTGTTCAGATTCAGTTATGCTCTTTTTCTGATTTGCTACCAACACAACGACAACGCTTAATGGGATTTCTTTGCGCGCTAAATTGCTAAAGTACAGAAAACAGATTCAAATCTAACATATCAGAGGACTTGCTACCAAGGACATCCTTGGATGATTAATTTCTCCTTACAAAAAGGGTGTCCTTTCTAATTTGTACAGTTGCCTATAAGTTAAGTTGCTTTCTTGTGAGTATTTTAGCTAAAGTTTAATGTTAATTTTAATGCTTGCTTAGTTGAGAAATATGTTTTATTTTGCTGCAAAAGGAAAACTGGGATCATGCAAAAAAATAGAAACAATTGCTAGGAAAATGCCGTCTTTGCTGATTAATAACTAGTCTATAAGAAAATATTTAAATAAGCCGCACAAGCCCACATAAAAATATATTGTTAAATGTTTAGCCTGATCTTAAGAAAATGTTATTGAAGGTGAAGGATGATTTAAGTATTAATTAAGACTTAAAATTTAACCTGAGACCTTCAAATGGTTAGTGAAGAATCGCTTTTTTCTGGGTTTTTATTTATTTATTTAACTATTAATTGTCTTTTATGCAATTTGTTAATTTTGTATATACACATGAAAGGTTTAATCTAGTTTCGTTAATGGATAGATTTCCGATCCTTCGATTTGGCACCCAATCTAATATACAAAAAGTATCCAGCAGAGAGTGTTACTTGCCAGCCAAACTAAAATAAAGAGAAACTCTAATAAAATACAAATAAAATTCTAAATATGTAATAGAAGTTCTTCACAAGGTGATAGCTGCGGGGGAGGTAAGCCTGATCCTTTTAAGGCTCACAAATAGGGCAGCAGGTCGCCCAGTCGTGGTAGATAAACGTCTGGCTGGGGTAGCTTGCCTTTCTCCCGCTGGACATCCGACAGACTGCTGTATCGGCCAGTGCCCACCAAGAGCGACAGCATGCCACAATTACTGGCAAAGCCGACATCTATTTTCAGGCTGTAAAGGAGAAGGAGCAGGGAGGAGGAGCACCGGGAAGAAACTCATTACAAGTGCCATAAACGAATGCATTAATCCCTCTTACCAGTCACCAATCATAAGAGTGCGCTCCGTTCTCAAAGCTCCGGACTTTGTCAGCGGTTCCAGAACCAAAGGATTTGGCTTGCCCATCTCGAGCGCATCCCGCTCCGCACAAGCCTCAATGCCGGCCACAAAGGCAGCGGTGCCGGGTATACAGAAGCCAGGATACTTGTGAACAGCATCGCGGTTGGTCACTAGGAAAGCGGAGCTGGGATTGCTGCAGAGGATGTGACAGGCACGAGCCATCTTGCAATAACTAAAGTACTCATCCCAGCCAACCACCACGGCGCCCACATTCTCGGCCGCCTTGGGATTTCCAAACTCGCGAGCCGCAAAGTCCTGCCACTTGTCGCCCGGAGCAAGTTCCTCTGACTCTCCTGCTCCATAGCTGTCGATGCCATGCCGCCTTAATTCCCGTGCTATGGCCGCATTGCCCACCACATAAACCTTGTGTCGCTTGGCATCGAATTCCGGACTCTGGACAAGATAGTCGGCAATGGCGGCCGTGGGCGATATGATGTGTCGGTCGCTTGGCAGCTGGAAGCCCAGTCGCTGGGAACGCTCGAAGAGCTCCTGGCGTGTCTTCAGTCCATTGTTCGTAATGATATAGACCGCTTTGCCTAGGCGTTGCTGCAGGGCATTCAGGACATCCGGTGCCCCCTCGATGGCAGTGTCATCCTGCCAAATGGTGCCTGTGTGTGTCAAATGGATATTTGATTTGTTTGGCTTTTGCGTCTGTTTGAAATGTAACGACTTTTGGTAAATGTGATTGAGTGTGGATTTACGGGAAAATTGTAAAAGTGATTGGGAAAAATAGGAATATGGATGTGTTTTTATTTCCTTTGGTACTGTATATATATATTATCATCAAAAGATCTTTTATCTTTTTAAATCCTTGCCTAACTAAACTAATATTAAGTTTTAATGATAAATTCTAAGTCTTTAACTTATTTCCATATTAAAAAATATATTTCTACCATTTACTTTTCATAGTGTTTTTAAAAACTATCAATAATTTTTTAAAACGATTTAAAAAAAAATTCAATAATATTCTTCTATTTCTTAAATTATTTATTATTATTAGTATTTGTTCCAATTTGTTGCTAAAATGATTCTATTTCTTTTTTAAGAATTTCTTATTATTATTAGTATTTCTTTCTTTTCGATGATATAATTTTGACCTTAACATATGCTTACTTTTTTCTTCCATTTTTAAAAGAATTTTTTAAATTTCTTAAAATATCTGCCAATAAATGGAATGTTATTATCGGAAATCAGCACTTTAAATAAAGAAATATTTTAATTAATATATCCCAAGATCAAAACACGATCAATTGAGCTTTTTATCGATGTAACCAGTGACCGGTATGTGTTCATTAGCTTCCCGACAAGGTGACAACCCTGGGCCAAAGCTATAAATTTGTAAACACTCTGCCGCGCTCTCTTTCACACCCACAACACCCCCCCCCCACAACTTACCGTCGCCGTCGCAGAGAACCGTGTCAAAGCTTTGGAGCCACTCGCTCACCTGCTCCCCGGACAAATCGGACAAGTTGATTGCTTCTCCGCCTCTGGACATTCTGCTAGCGTAGACTGCTCCGCCAAATGTTTGCGACTCGACTAAATCGACTTCGGGAGCCGCGATTCCCCATCATGATGATTGGGGAAAACTGCTATCGCCCTCTCCCTCCCTCTCACAGAATAAAGCTTGCTGGGGCGTAAAGTAGGGTAATCGCTTGGGGCATATCAATACACTGATGCGGTTGGCGAACTGCTACAAAATGCTGGTGTATTTATTTAGATTTAAATATGTTTTGTGTATTCTGCCGAATAAATTGTACTATAAATTTGCTTAGGTATTTAAAAAAATGGCTGAATCTGTTTCCTGTCCATTGCTGAGCATAAACATAACTAACGTACAGCCTCCTCTTACACGAACAATAAATCCACCTATTTTTCGCCCGTCAGACTATTAACAATAGCGGGCAACAGGTCCCCCAACTTGGGCAGGTACACGTCAGGTATGAGTTTTTTATCCTCCTGATTTTTACTCAGCTTCCACTGCTCCACATCCTTCAGCTGATGGATACCAGACCCAACGAGAAGGGTCTGAAAGCCGCAATTATAGCCCAGCAGGATGTCCGTGTTGGCCCGGTCGCCAATCATTAAGGTCCTGGCCGGATTGATCTTCTTCTCCTTGATCAACGACTCACAAATGGCCGGATTTGGCTTGCCAATCACAAAGGGATCCCGCTCTGCACAAGTCTGGATAGCCCGGACGAAGCTACCGCTGCCGGGCACTATCATGTTGGGCATGGGGAAACGCTCATCCGTATTGGTGGCCACGAACAGGCACTCGGGATCGTTCAGGTACGAGGCGGCCTTCATCATTTTGGGAAAGCTAAAGTGCTCATCAAAGCCCACGACCACGGCGCCAATGTCCGTGTCCATCTTTAAATGCTGTGCCATAAATTCGGCCAGCGATCCCATCATGACCTCGGGTCCGGTTTTGGTATGGGAAATACCAACGGCGTCCAGTTCCTTGGTAATGCCTTCGCTTCCTATCACAAACACACGCTTTCTGAAGTTGCGACGCTTCAGATAAGAGGCCGTGGCATGGGCGGTGGATATGATGCCGCTCTCGGTGATGTTGAAACCCAATTCGATACCCTTTTTCAGGAGCTCTGATCGGGTCTTTGTCGAGTTGTTGGTGCAGAAGTAGATGGACTTGCCCATGGCCTTGAACTGGTTCATCACGTCGGCAGAGCCTTCCAGGCCCTGGCCATAAATCCAAAGGACGCCTGGGGAGGAAAAGTTTAATTAGCTTTAATTTTGCTTAGTTAATTGTGGATATTATTAATTTCTGATATTATTTGTAGGGTATCCAAAAGTCGACGCGGTCGCTCTTATCACGCACTTCACTCTTTGACATTGAAATTGGCGAGGCAGCAAAAACAACAACTACACCAAAGAGCTCTCTATTCGCTTGGTGACGTATGGGCAGATGCTGACCCCATAAATTGGTGTAGACATATCTTTATGTAACGCAACTTCCTGGGTGAATATCCTTTCGCCCCCTTTTCCACCCAACCCCCCCACTCACCATCGCAGTCTGTTATAACAGAATCAAAGCCTGCTATCCACTCGGTCACCTTGGCCGAGGACAATTCCAGGAGATTCGTGCACGTCTGCTTGTAGATGGTCATGGCTGCTTTCCGTGAACCGAACCGAGATACCATTAATTGATGCGCAGTGTACCAGCTATCTTTTACACATCACTTTTAATTTATGAATAAAGGTTCTTCGATTGAGGAACTCCCTGAGAAATACAGCAGCTGTTGGCGCCTGTTAGGGCACTGTTACTGTTGCGTCTGTCAAATTTAATCGGTGCTAAATATATATCGATAACTGTAGACATTTATATATAAAACTAACAGGTGTTTGGCGCTAGATTTGAAGTGATCAAGTCCCCTATATTTATAACTAAGTAAATACCACTCTTAACACATGTTGATCATTTGTCTGCTTGTTTATTAATGTATTATTAGGCTGCTAATTACTAAAATTAATTACTAATAGTACAGGCATTTTTTTGTTGTTGTTGTGTTGAATCTCAGCTTTCTCTGGGGTTTATAAACTTTGCTGGAAGAACGAACCATTGCAGAAATATTTAAATTAAATACTGACCCTAAAATATTAAAGAATAGATAAGCAAAAAAATGAAAAGGGGTGCCAAAAAAGCTGTTTTCTGTAGGGGATGCTTGGGTTCTGTGCTTGGGGGAACGGACTGAGGGTAAGCTGGAATCGAGAGCGGAAACTTTTTGAGTGCATTTTGTACCATAACTTGCATTTAAATAAATCTCATTAAGCTAAAGATGATGTAAAACAAACGAAAAATTGTTGGCTAATTACAAAAATAAACTAATTTACAGTTACAGTAATTATAAATTAATAACTAGACACGAATTTTTTTTATCGAGAAAATTGCATTTAGAGGACTCTCAGAGGTCCATCGTTGCATCTGGGGTGCGTCTGCTGATGAGAGGTAATGAGCCAAGTCTATTTTGCTAAAGGATCCTGCCTAAAACTGCGACATTAGCAAGCCACTGCCGCCGCCGCCGCTCCCAACGCCGCTGCCTCCACCCCCACCGCCGCCTGGACCCCCGCTCGTGCCTAGCACAGATCCGAGAAGGCCGCCGCTTGACATCTGCTGCTGCTGCTGCATGGGCATCTGCTGCTGTTGTTGCTGCATTTGCATCGACGAGGAGAAGCTGTTCATGCCGCCAACGACTCCGGAACCCATACTGGCACCCAAGCTGGATAAACCGGGCCCAGGACCTCCGCCCAATGATCCCAAACTGGTGGCGCCCATAACACCCGCTGCACCGCCTCCCATGCCCGCTCCACCGGGCAGCAGACCCACACCCGGCTCCGGGCTCTGATTCTTCTTTTTGCGCTTTTTCTCCTTTTTACGCTTCTTGCGCTCCTTGTCATCCTCATGACGCTTCTGCTTCTTGTGCTTCTTCTCGTAAGTCTCCAGGCCGGCCGAATCTGAAATAATGTAAATAGAGTTATGATTCAGGTTAAGCGAGACTTTAGCATATAAAGCTTACCCAGTAGCGTGGATTCCTGTCCCGTGGTCACGCCGTCTTTGTGTTTGTGCTTTTTGTGTTTGTTTTTGTGTTTTCTCGCAGGTGTGACATATGTGGTACGATACTGTTCCGGCAGCTGCAGGGGAATCGGTTGATTAATAATTAATTCATTAAAGAGGGTTCAACGAGAATATTACAGGAACTTACAAATTATTTAATATTTTAAAGTAAAATAGGTTTTTTTTTGGTTCAAAACAAAGAAATTTAACCAAGTTTAAAGGAGTCAAACTACTAAAACACTTTCTAAAAGCATAAGTATTATTAAATTTATTCAAATATATTTATCAAGTTATGAGACCAACAAAGTTACACCAATATTAAAATTTTGAAAAAGAGGAATAAATTAGGTTGATAGATACATTATGTTTTTTTAGAACCGTTATGGTTTTCACGATTCGCTTTAACTTTACTTTTCGAAAAAAATGTATTTATGGACATTTACATCCACTTTTTTTTTAAATATTTATATAGTTACTAAAAAAAAGGTGAAAGCTTGCGAGAGTGAAAACTGAAAGGGCCCTGTGAGACACCCACCGGTCCGGGATGCAGGCGGAAACCGGCCAGCTGCACAGCGGTTAACGGGAGGAGCTCCTTGCCGCCAATGGGCGGCTTCTCGATCACGCTTCGCAGCGTGCTATTCTCGACGGGATGTGTGATCAGGTCATTAATGCCGGGTATATTCTGCAGGAAAGAGGCCAGTGACTCCTTGAACTTCTTCTCCTTGAACTTGGTCAGCGTGTGGTGTAGCCCGTTCTCGGTCATGAGATCCTTGTCGCCGGTCAGTTCCGCCTTGGCGGGTGGCTCCTTCATTGAGTAGAACGGCCCCGTGTGTATGATAGTCGGCGTTTTGCCAAGCGATATCGTTGTCTTTAGCGTGCCGGATGAGTCCTGGCGGGCCACAACGGGGGATCGACCGCCGCCGTGAGGCGACGACCTCGGCGAGTCCATCATTATGTTGCCGTAGTTGCTCATCATCTTGGCACTGGCACCCACACCCACACACTTGCACGCGCCTCGCACTCACACACGCACACAAGCACACGCAGGCAGAGCAACAACTGCAACAACAAGGCCAGCAGAAGGTTGCGCCTTTCGCGACTCGCTAGCAGGCAACGCCGCCCAAGCTAACACTGCAATATGTGCCCCGGCTGCGGTGGACTACGGCGGACACTTGGCTGGTCGAATACTTGATCGGTTTTCGGGTTTTGTGGCGTTTTCTAACTGATTTGGGGAGCAGGTCTCGCCATCTTGTTGTGTCCGCGAACCAGTGTGACCGCATTGCGAAAGCTGGCGAAAAACTGAGGCTAGACCGAAAACGCGATGTGAACGCGGCATGAAAATACCAAAAATGCACCATAAATACTAGGTTCGATTAATACCGCCCAGGGGTGCAAAGCAGTCTATCGATTATTCAGTGAATATAAAATTAATATTTTATTTATTTGTTTTTATTTTTTCAAGCCACTATTTAGGTCTAAATTAAATATATTTTCGCAATTTCTTAGATTAGTTTCCAGTGGATTTTATAGGATTCAGGGATTGTTTTTTCTTACATTGGATTTTCCTCCAAACTATCGATTCCTCGATTCTGGGAAATCATATGACCGCTATCGGAAAACCTTTGCCAGCCCTGCGACCGCCTCGAGCCCCACAACACGAAAAACAGTCGAAAAAATACACATCAAATTATTGTTGTGTTTATAGTCAAATAACTAGAATCCCAACTCACCGTACACACCGCCACACCAGTCATGCAGTCCACCATTCGACATGTCGTGTCGGCCGTTGCCAAGGTAGGGATCAGGCGATTCCCGATTGCCTTTCCCCCGGAGTTATGCAATCTAACCTAACTGGGGGGTCGCGAAAAGGGGGAAAAAAGCCTGGAAAATGCAATCACTTCGTCGGAAACGTCCATGGCTGATTCACTGGTGGCTGGTGATTTGTTTGGCCATGTTTCAAGGTCGCTAATTGGGCCAATTAGCAGCTGATACGCGGCCGGAGATTAGTGCGAGCTGCGTGCGACAGGCGTGATAAACACTGACCCACCACTCCTTATCAGACAAAACCCAGATTTTCCACTAACCGCCTGTCTTTCCAGACACCTCTACGCACCAACGCTGCGATTCTGGGCGCTCTGAACGCCCGCTGCTACTCCACCACACATGAGGCTGACATTGTGGTGATCGGCTCCGGACCCGGTGGCTATGTGGCCGCCATCAAGGCTGCCCAGATGGGCATGAAGACGGTCAGCGTGGAGAAGGAGGCCACACTGGGTGGCACCTGCCTCAACGTGGGCTGCATCCCCTCGAAGGCTCTGCTTAACAACTCCCACTATTATCACATGGCCCACTCTGGTGACCTGGAGAGCCGTGGTATTAACTGTGGAAGCGTTAGCCTCGATCTGGAGAAGCTTATGGGGCAGAAGGTGAACGCGGTCAAGGCCCTGACCGGTGGCATTGCCATGCTCTTCAAGAAGAACAAGGTGACACAGCTTACGGGCTTCGGCAGCATCGTCAACCCCAACGAGGTGAAGGTACAGAAGTCCGACGGCTCCACGGAGACGGTCAAGACCAAGAATATCCTGATTGCCACCGGCTCGGAGGTTACCCCCTTCCCAGGCATTGAGGTAAGTGAGGGAATCCTCTGAATATTTATATTCCTAACCTTAAACTCTTGTAGATCGATGAGGAAGTCATTGTGAGCAGCACTGGCGCCCTGAAGCTTGCCAAGGTACCCAAGCACCTGGTGGTGATCGGTGCCGGCGTCATTGGCCTGGAGTTGGGTTCGGTGTGGTCGCGTCTGGGCGCTGAGGTTACCGCTATCGAGTTCATGGAAACGATCGGCGGTGTGGGCATCGACAACGAGGTCTCCAAGACCTTCCAGAAGGTTCTTACCAAGCAGGGTTTGAAATTCAAGCTGGGCACAAAGGTGATTGGCGCCTCGCGCAGCGGCAGTGACGTCACTGTGACCGTGGAGAACGCCAAATCCGGCGAGAAGGAAGAGATTCAGTGCGACGCCCTGTTGGTCAGTGTGGGACGTCGTCCCTACACTGAGGGTCTGGGCCTGGACGCTGTTGGTATTGTTAAGGACGATCGCGGCAGGATTCCCGTCAACGCCACCTTCCAGACGGTGGTGCCCAACATCTATGCCATCGGTGACTGCATCCACGGACCCATGCTGGCGCACAAGGCCGAGGATGAGGGCTTGATCACAATCGAGGGCATCAATGGCGGCCACGTCCACATCGACTACAACTGCGTGCCCAGTGTGGTGTACACACATCCGGAGGTCGCGTGGGTGGGCAAGTCCGAGGAGCAGCTGAAGCAGGAGGGTGTGGCCTACAAGGTGGGCAAGTTCCCCTTCCTGGCCAACTCTCGTGCCAAGACCAACAACGAGACGGACGGATTTGTCAAAGTTCTGGCTGACCAGGCCACGGACAAGGTCCTGGGCACCCATATCATTGGACCAGCTGCCGGCGAGCTGATAAACGAGGCTGTCCTGGCTATGGAATACGGAGCAGCTGCCGAGGATATTGCCCGCGTCTGCCATGCACATCCCGTAAGTAGAAGGATCTCATGGATCTATTACATTTTAAATAATGTTTTTTATATTTATATTTAATTTAAATTTAATTGCTTTTTCAGACATGTGCTGAGGCCCTGCGTGAGGCAAATGTGGCTGCTGCCTTCGGCAAACCCATAAACTTTTAAGCAACATTAACAGCCTCCCCCGCCAGGCTATGGAATCTGCACTGCGTTGAACATTTACTGCAAAAATCCCCTCAAATCGAAAACAACTCTGACAGCCGAAGCGAAAGTCTTTGCATATTTTTACTTCTCAATGTAGAAACAGAAAAGTGGAAACCATACCATAAATATTGAAAATGACGCCAGGCGTTAAATGCAATGTACTATGTGTATTAGGCTTAGAATAAATACAACACCGTTGAAAAACTCGATATTTAAGATTTTAAAATATTTTTTATTTATTATTTACTTAATTTATTAATTTTATTTTATTCAATTTTTGTAGACTGGCTTTTAAATTGAATTGATAATTTAAAAAATAGTATCTAAAACATACAATTTCTTAAAGATTTTTCTAAAATAAAGCCAGATTTATGTACATTTTAAAGTATTTTTAAGAGTTTTTTGATTAAAAACAATATATTTATATGTACATTTTTTAAAAAGTTATATAATAATGTAAATATTTTATTTGATATTTAAAAGTCTATTATAAAGGACATTTTCTAGCTATATCCTTATAATAATGACCCTTTTTCTAGCCATAAAAGATAGCCAGATTCAGCGGGAATCCAAAGGTTGGGCATCTCCGTGAACAGCTGTGGCAAGCTCCGGCTTTCCGAAAACGATCTGGCAACGCCGACAAAGTCAAAAAATTCAAAAGAATAACAAATTCATCTTCGGACTAGCAAAAAGCATTTACTTGTTTAACTCCTTAAATATTTTTCCTAAAGCTTTGGGGTACAAAATTCTCAATTCGTTGCAATGTTTTGCACTGGCAAGCTACGGCGCTGCGTTTCGTCGGTGGCCAAGAAGGGTCCGTCTGCGTTTCCCCACTGCCACAGGCGCAGCATGGAATGGAGGAGCCTGCAGCGTGGTTTGGCCACCCGGTCAATGGGTGCGCCCTCGGCTACCGCACAGGTAATCGGCGGCGGTAAAAAGAGTCAGCCTGCAGCTGTGGCGAAGAGCGGTTCTAGCTCCGAAACGGTGAGTGGGTTGGTTACCATGGCTTGTTTATATAACTGATTCTTTTTAATTCACCCAAAACAGAAATGGCCACGAAAAATCTTTAGTGGAATCCAGCCCACCGGCTCTCTGCACTTGGGCAACTATCTGGGCGCGGTGCGACCTTGGGTTCAGTTACAGAATGCCAATGATGACGTGACCGTCTGCATTGTGGACTTGCACTCCATCACAATGCCTCACAATCCGCCCCAGCTCCGTGAGAACATCTTTGTCATGGCCGCCACACTCCTCGCCTGCGGCATTGATCCCGCTAAGAGCACTCTGTTCGTCCAGTCCGCAGTTCGGGAGCATGCCGAGTTTAACTGGATTCTGAGTTCTTTGACAACCATGCCGCGCCTGGCGCAGTTGCCCCAGTTCCGGGAGAAGTCCCGCCTGGTGAAGGATGTTCCACTGGGTTTATATGTGTATCCGGTTCTCCAAGCAGCCGACATTATGCTCTACAAGTAGGTTTTCACTTGGATAATCCATATTGTATCTGATTTTCCTTATCCCCTGCAGAGCCACCCACGTTCCTGTGGGCGAGGACCAGCTGCAACACATTCAGCTAGCCCAGCACCTGGCCAGGACATACAACGGCCGTTACGGCGAGACCTTCCCTATTTGCCACGCCATCATTGAAGAGAGTGAGGCCTCTCGCGTGCTCTCCCTTCGGGATCCCTCCAAGAAAATGTCCAAGTCTGATGGCAACCCCAAGGCCACCATCAATTTGGCCGACTCTCCCGATCTAATCGCTCAGAAGATCAAAAAAGCGGTCACTGACTTCACCTCAGATATTTCTTACCATCCCGGCCAGCGTCCTGGAGTGAGCAACCTGGTCAACATCCATTCCCAGGTCACTGGACAGACCATCAAGTCGGTCGTGGACGAGGCCACCACTCTGGATACGGCCAAGTACAAGGAGCGAGTGGCAGAGGCTGTGGTGGAGCACTTGCGTCCGATTCGGGAGCAGATTGAACACCACTTGACGAGGCGCAACGAGATGATCTACTTACTGGAGATGGGGGCGGAAAAAGCACGTCAACAGGCGCAGCGCACCTTGGACGATGTGAAACAGCGCCTTGGCCTGGGCACTAGTCCCATAATGCCAGCTGCTGTGCAGGTGGCTCCGCTGCTGCCCCAAGAGGTGCCCAAGACCTCGGCCAGCAGACTGATGTCTAGTGACGCCGATGCCAATGTCCATGAGCGACACAAACGGATGTATGGCTTTGCAAAAACGCCAAGTGGTGATGCAGGCCAGTCGGCCACTGGGGAGCTATCGGCTTCTGGTTTGGAGCAATCAATTGCACAGCCCTTGATACGCCGTCAGCCCGTAGTGCCAACCCAAAGCCTGCGGGTGGAGAAGCAGCTAGGAAGCTCAAGGTCTCAGCATGTCTTTCAGATGGACAACATCAATGCTCCGCATATGGGATTCAAGCATCCCCCTGGATTGGCACCAAACATGGTTACTGGGGGGCTGATAAAGGGCAAGCGCGGCACCCTCAAGTCCGTCTCACGCAGCCTAGGATTTGGGCATTATTCAAGTGCTGGCCCAACTGCAACTTCCAGTGCGTTGTCCATGATTGCGCGCGAAATGAATGCCCCCAAAAAACCGGAATTCACTTACAGCATGGCCAATAGTGCACACGGACTCACCGCTCCTGGATCTTTTAACAAAGGCGAAGCGTGGAGCAGTCAAAATCGGAGTGGTTCGCAGGACACTCAGGCTGCTATTATGGCCCAGGAGTCAAAGGAGCAGGCCGCCGTTGAGGAGCAGCGTGAATCTGTGTCTGAGGAGCAAAGCGAAGAGTCCGACGATGAAGGCGAGGTGTACGATGAGGAAGAGGCTGTGGAGAGAGAATGGGAAGATGAGGAGCGCAAAGGTGCCGAGCAAACCAAAGCCGAGATCTAGGCCTAAGGAGCATTGCAATTGTTGTTAGTGTAATACGTAGCGAATATCATCCTCTGTTAAATTTGTAGTTATGCAAATTGTTTGATAAATTTATGGTTATATAAGTAATTGATTTAATGGCAAATCAAAATCAAATGTCAAAAGTAAAATTAAAGTGTCTTTGCTGCTTATATATATTATTTATTTTAATTAATTGTACATATGTAAGTAACTAAAACCAGTCCTGAAGAGTGGCATTTTGAAAGTGGGTGTACACGATAACTCAAAATTTACTGAACCCATCGCAACATTCGGGGGTTTAACAGTTAGGATGTTCACCACAAACCACTTTCCAGACCCCTCATATATTTTTATATATATATTAAAAATAATGAATGAAAATGTTTTTATGGCTTCCACACAAAAAGAAATAAGGATTTTAAATACTTTGTCAAAAGGGGGGTGACAGCGTTGCCAAAGTCAGTATTTTCAAAATAACAATTATAATAAATTTTCGGCGGCAACTCGTTCCATTCACCACATATACATATATGTATTTTGCTTAAAGGATTGAGGTTAAAATTAAAAACTTTGCAATGTTTCAAGCTGGCAAACTAAGAAGCGTCGCGGCCACGAAGGGTCCGTGTTCGACTCTCCTTCGTCAGAGGCGCTGCATTAATTTGAGGGACTTTTCGGAGATAATTGGTAACAGGAATCCAAAGCAGCCAAGCCAGCCGCCAGTTACAGCGAAGAGCGGCACTGGCTCTGAAATGGTGGGTAACCTGGCTTGTTTAAATATCCTTGTCCTTTACTTTGTCCTAGCAGGCATGGCCACGAAAAATCTTCAGTGGAATCCAACCCACTGGCTCCCTGCACTTGGGCAACTATCTGGGCGCGGTGAGGCGTTGGGTGCGGCTTCAGGAGGCCCATGACGATGTGACCATCTCTATTGTGGACATGCACTCTATCACAATGCCTCACAATCCGCCAAATCTGCGGGAGAACATCTTTGTCATGGCTGCCACACTCCTCGCCTGCGGGATTGACCCTGAGAAGAGCACCCTGTTCGTCCAGTCCTCCATTCCCGAGCTTACCGAGTTCAACTGGATTCTAAGTTCATTGAGTACAATGCCGCGCCTGGCGCAGTTGCCTCAGTTTCGGGAGAAGACCCGTCTGGTGAAGGAAATCCCACTGGGTTTGTTCGTGTATCCGGTCCTTCAAGCTGCCGACATCTTGCTCTACAAGTAGGATGACACTCCCCTTAGATATTCGTTTTTTTATATCTTTTTCCCGCAGAGCTACCCACGTTCCTGTGGGCGCTGACCAGCTGCCACACATTCAGCTGGCTCAGCACCTGGCCAGGACATACAACAGTTGCTATGGCGAGACCTTTCCTGTGTGCGAGGCAATTGTTGAGAACGGAGAGGCCTCCCGAATTCTATCCCTTCAAGATCCCGGCCAAAAGATGTCCAAATCTATTGGCGATCTGCTGGCCACAATCAACCTGGCTGACTCTCCAGACCTAATAACAAAGAAGATTAACTCAGCGGTCACTGATTTCACCTCGGACATCTCTTACAATCCCAACAAGCGTCCTGGAGTGAGCAACCTGGTCACCATCCATTCGCAGGTCACTGGACAGACCATCAAGTCGGTGGTGGACGAGGCCACCACACTAGATACGGCCAAGTACAAGGAGCGAGTTGCAGAGGCTGTCATCGAGCACTTGAGTCCGATCAGAGAGGAAATTAAGCACCACCTGGCCAGGCGCAACGAGATGATCCACTTGCTGGAGGTGGGGGCTTCAAAGGCCCGCCAGCAGGCACAGCACACATTGAGCGATGTGAAGCAGCGCCTGGGGCTGGGCACCAGTGGCAACATGCCAGCAGCAATACAGCTGGCGCCGCTGGCGGCACCTGAGGTGTCCAAGACATCTGCCAGCATACTGATGTCCAATGTGGGCGATGCCAATGCCAACGAGCGACACAAGCGGATGTATGGTTTCACGGAGACGCCGAGTGGTGGTTCAAAGGAACCAGCCACCGAAGAGCCCTTGCCGGAGGTCCGTCAACACAGGGTCCGGCGATTGGTTCGTCGTCCGCCCATGGTGCCAACTCAGACACTGCGCGTGGAAAAGCAGATGGGCAGCACCCGACCACGACATGTTTTTAAAATGGATTGCGGGAATGCACCTCATATTGGTTTCAAAATTGCCCCGAAATTGGTGACCAACTTGGGTACCGAGGGGCTGACCCAGAAAAATCTATCCGCCTCAGACATCCTGGGTTCGTTTAAGCCTGTTCAAAATGCGATTCCCAGTGCGGTGTCTATATTAGCACGCGAAGTAAATGCTCCCAGGAAGCAGGAGTTTGCTTGCAACCTGGAAAACAGTGGCTTCTATGCACCGCCCCTCAACGAGGAGGCCAAGGACAGCGAAGTTATCATACTCGACCACGGGGAGGAACTGGCCGTTTCTCAGGATAGTCAAGAGGAGTCCGAGGCGGAGGAAAAGTGGGAGAGTGATGAGTGGAGTGTCGACGAGAAGACCAAAGTCTAGATTTTTTGCTGGGAAATGTTGCAATAGTTTTAAGTGTAGTCCCAAGTCGATTTCTTGATTTTAATGTCTAGATCCTAGGATGCGTCAATTGTACCTTGATGTCAACTTCTTAAATTATTATTTTACGCACAAGATCGACAATATCTAAATTAAATGGATTTTTTTAAAAACAGAATTGACTTTTTTTAAAGATACTTTAATTTAGAAGGGGAAAAATACGGTTTTAGGTATTTTAAGGGGATGTAACTTCAACAAGAATTATTTTTTTTATAAAGTACTGTTCCTGCACTTAAAAATCAGCTTTTAAAAATTAGAAATAAAATTATTCTTGCCCTACAAAATAAGTTTTTAAAATGTGAAATACATTTTATGGGTCTAATATCGTGTTTTTTATGCTTATAGATTTTTTCCATACTTATATAATATATATAAAGATCGGCTTTATCCTTTAATTATTCATGTTTATTGCTTTCAGCTAACTTATTGTACTTTTCGTTGATTTTTGGTTTCCTATTTTACGGTATGAAGCTGCGTGCAGGTGTGTGAGTTACAAAGGTGAGCATGTGGGTGATGAGAATTATATCAATATAATTATAAATAATTATATAATTATATATAAATATATTTTATGGTTAATGTATAAGTTAGATAAATATCAGTGTACACTTAAGATGTACTGTGCATCAGGATCAGAGGCACCTCGTTGCCATATTTTGAGTTCTCCTGACCCCCCAACAAGGCCGAGTTGCTGCAGTCCCGCATTATGGCCATGGAATTGTTACGCTGCTCCCGCTGCCTCAGCCGACTGTGACGGATGCCGTAGGACAAGAAGATGGCCAGTCCAATGGCAATCCAAATACTGAAACGCACCCAGGTGAGGATGTCCAGCTTGATCATCAGGTAGATGTTGATTAAAATAGAAATGCCGGGCAACCAGGGCACCAAGGGCACCTTAAACGATAGCTTGACCCCAGAGGTGGGCTGGCGGGAGATAATTAGCAGAAGGACAACCAGGGGTATGGTACCCAGCACCAGTTTGATTCCGTCAAAGGACGAAACATTGGCCAGATCCTCTTCGAATTTAGTGAGTATCTGCGAGAAGACCATGCACCAAAGGGCTGAAAGAAAGAACTGATTATATAAAGTCTCCTGTTTGATATAGAAGTACACTTTAAACTCACAAAACAAAGTCACACTGTAGGTAACTATCCTTGACGTTTGCTTGGTGGGCACAGTCTGGCCATTGAGATTAAATACCCGCCTCCACAAGGCACAGGGCTGGTCCTGATCCTGGCCCATAGCCCGGCCATTTCCCACGATTCTACTCTCCCGACGATCATCCACTTCGTAGCGCAGCATCAGGACACAACTGGCCACCATGGAGTAGGCCAGCAGGGTGCCAATGGACATCATGTTGACCAGCTGGCTGAGATTAAAAACAGCCGCCAGGATGCCCGTAAGTAGCCCGGTGATCATGGTGCCCTTAAAAGGCGTCTTGTACTTATCGCTTATGTCGCCCAGGAATTTGAACAATAGTCCATCGTTGGACATGGCAAAGACAATCCTGGGCAGCGGAAACATGGCTCCCATCATGCTAGAGCACAAGCCAAACATGGCTCCAATGCTGACCACATACTCCGCCACATGCCAGCCATTGATCCGGAAGACATGGGGCAAAGGAGCCTTCTCGTCCTGCTCGAAATAGGGCAGCATCATGGTCAGCACCGTAGAGACTCCAAAGTAGGCCAAGAAGATCATGGCCAGAGAGACGATCACAGCAAATGGAATGGATTTCTTGGGATTCTTGGCCTCCTCGCCGGCAGTGGCGATGCAATCGAAGCCAATGAAGCCATAAAAGCAGACAGCAGCTCCTTTGATGATACCCGAAACGCCATAGGGCATAAAGCCACCATCGCCATAGCCCTCAGGTACCTCCGATTTGGGTATGGACCAATTGCTGCGATTAACTGGGAACAGGAATATATTAATTTTAAAATATTTAAATTAATAAAAAGGCTCACCCTTGAATAACCCAGCAATGATCACAAACAGGACCACGCCGAGGTTCAGCATGGTGAAGACATTGTTCACCCTGGTGGATTCCTTGGCTCCCACAGCAATGGCCAGCGAGAAAAGTATGGTGACCACAAAGGCAAACAGATCCGGATAGGCTCCCATTCCATCGATATTGATGGGCATGTGGGTGCCCAGAAAGCTGCTCATTGGATTCCCGCAAAGCTGGTCGAGATAGGTGCTTAAACCCTTGACGACACTGGCAGAACCTAACGGCAATCAAACAGAATTTTTGGCCAATTAAAACAAATCAATCAGACAGCGGCGACTGCTCCATCAATTGGAAACTCACCAATTGCGTATTCGAGTATGAGATTCCAGCCGATGAGAAAGGCGATAAACTCGCCAATGGTCACATAGCTGTAGATATACGCCGATCCTGCCTTGGGAACACGAGCTCCAAACTCAGCATAGCAAAGACCAGCAAATATCGAGGCAATGGCGGCAATCAGGAAGCTAACAACCACGGCAGGACCTGCATATTGCTTGGAAACCTCTCCAGCCAGGACATAGACACCCACACCCAGGGTGGATCCTATGCCAAGTGCAGTCAGATCAAAGGCAGACAATACCTTGGCCAATTTGGATTCATTGGAGTCCTCCAGGGGCTTCTTGCGTGTGAGCACGCGAAATGCATTCGTCACGCTCCAGCTGGGCATTCTGGAATAAGTCCATTAAGCAATTATTAATATTATTATTATTATGGGTAAACTGAGCCATGTAATTGGGTCTGAGGGCTGAGGGTTCTGCTGACCCGTGCTTTATATATAACTATCCGTACTCGATGTTTACAGAACCCACATATTAACACGTTCGCAATTTGTGGAAAGAGTTTCGAAGAGTTGGGCTTATGGCTTATGGGCCATAAGAAAATTAGTGGGCGTCTGTTAATGTGCGAATGTAGACAACGGTTTTATGACAGGCCAAAGCCAAAGTTGATCTAAATTGGAGTCTTGTGATCATGGGTATTAATCCCCCGATGACTAAGTGGGGGAAATCTCCCTGAAGTAGATGCAAATGCCAGCTAAGGGGAGATTTCGAGAATGTTTACCTAATGGTAGGGATTCTTTTTAGTTAAAGTGAGAGTTGGAGAATGTTTAACCAGAGGTAGAGACTCTTAGTTACATTTGTAAAATTGTTTAAAAATATAAAAAGTAATGAAAACAATTTATATAAATATTTAAACTTCAAATAGGAAATATTAAACTTCAAAATTGATACCTAAGTTATTATAATTCTTATTCCTTCTCATCTTCTCACCTGCTTTCCTTAAGATTTAATCCAAACTCTTCAACAACAATCACTTTTTCCTAATTAATTTCGTATGGCACTTTGTTTTTCCTAGTTTGAAGCCCTGAATATCACAAATTACAAGCCATCTTCGCTTCGAATGGGTGTAATCGAGTTTCAAATAGTTATAATTGTCTTTATATCGTTTTGCCCACTCAATTGATTTTGGGTTTTTTAGGAATTTGCAATTTGAAATTTGATCGGGGTTGCGTGTAGCGTCAGAAAACGTTCCAGTTATTTCTGAGCGTACGCCGTGATCGCGGTTGCCATTAAATAGCGGTTGGGTTTCACGGCGATCCGGGGGACCGTGGTGAGTTGTGGAGCCGGACAGCGAAGCTTTCGCCCGAGCTACCACCCCCCACGAACTGGTGGGGCGGCAAGTCGCATCCTCGGCCCGGGCACGAATGTGGTGGAATCACGTCTCTGACGCTGATAATGCTAATTGCCAGTCCGTCACCTCTGTGGATCCCTCCTGCTGCCTCCCACCAATGTTTATATATTTACTATATGTGGGAATTCTCGGATTCACCGTATGACTGAGCAGGTCGCTGGGCCAAGTTTACCACAAGTCCTAACAAATTGTCTTGTTCGATTAGCGGTTTCAATAATTACAGACTTCTGTTTATTTTTATATTTTCCAAACAGAAGGGTATATAGATTTGTATTTGGATCCTATGGTTTTGACTTTAAATTTAAATAATATATTTAATATTTTGATTTTTTATACAGCTTGAATAATTATTGTTTAGTAACAACCAAGCAAAATAAACTCAATTTTAATAAATATGTAATATGAATCAGAGAATGTGTAAAGTAAAATCATATTTATTATTCATAAATCTCTTTTAAATGTTCAATAAAAGCATTAAGGCTTAGGAGACAGGGAATACTAAGAAAAGTTTAATAAAAAATCATGATTTCTTATCAAGTTTCATTCTAAGAACCGTAAATAAAAATATATACATAAATTAATATAGTTTTAAATATAAAAAACAAAACAAATTGAATTAAATATTATAAAAAATTTATTAAAAAGGGAAATTCGTTCCATTTTGCACCCAAAAGGTCACGCCAAACTCTCTCTAATTGGATAAAGTTTACGCGGTAAACCCAAAAAAATTAAAGGCAGCTGAAACTTTACCCTCTAAAGAGTATTTCTTCAGTTCGATCGATGCTAACCCCCCGAATCATTTTGTTTTCATACGGCGCTACTTTATAGGCTTTGTTTGAGCTTTTCATTGACATGGACGCGTGGAGTTTTTGGTTATTGTTTATACTCGGTTCAGCTGATATGTGTGGCGATAGGTGGGTGCTAAATCGTGGCTAAAATTAGCCTCTGTATTTGATTGCATTTAGTGCTAATTTTAGATACTTGTTGCACGCGTGTTCTTGGGGCTTTTCACTCACCCATAGTACTCGGCGAACTCCTCCATGGCTGTCATCCGAATCGATTCGATTAAATTCAATTAAATCTGTGCCGCTTGTTAATTTGCGTCCGCTATCGGCTCCTCACATAACTGTTCTGTGGCAAACCATGTGTATGGGTTTCTTGTCAGCCGGCCATAAAATCACATTTCCATTCACGCAACACACGTTGCAGCTGCCGCTCTCGTTTTACCTTTATTTCTCTCGCTCAGGCTCTCACTTGTGGCATGGACGTGGTCAGAGAAAATTTGGGAAATTTCAGGGGGTATCACAGATACCAGGAGTATTTTTAATAAATTTTAATCAACTAAATAAGATTATGCCTCAAAAAGTTGCACCTTAAAAAAAAGGAGTAATATTAAAAGAAATTTTAATTAATAATTCAAATAATAATAAAATAATAATGAACTTAAACAATTTTTTTGTTCACATTTTGACACATTTTCTATTTATTTGTTAGCTATATCGATTACTGTGACATAGATACATTTCGAATTATACAGAATATTAAACATTTCTACATTTCGATCTCAGCGTCTTTTACATTTTTTTTTAATATATTTTTCCAGCTTTTTTCCCAAATATTAAGAATTAAGACATAAAATTTAAAGCAAATTGATTTAATAAAATATATTTTTTAGGCACTCGTTTATTGTTTTAAAAACTAAGAAAAATAATAATTTTATTTGTTTAACATTTTTGGTTTATTTTTATTTTTGAGTTCATAAATTCAATATATTTTATAATACATTTCAAGCATTTTAGGTCCCCGTGGATCGCTACACCCATGACGTTATTCCATTGTTTTGCTTACGTCGAGAGAGTAACTCGGTGGGTAGTCGACTTCTTCGAATCCCAAAGAGCTATAGCTCTATAGATATGCTGCCTGGCACTTATAGACCCATAGCGATGGCCTGGCAGCTCTGAATTTGGCCGGTAAAAATCAAACATTTGCTCTCTTTGGCTGGCTCTCCAAACTGTTGTGGTTGTGCTTATTTCATAGCCATTTCTATTTCATCAGCCCTCTCAGTTCTCACCATAAAGGGAACTTCTTGGAATATTTGGTCACATAATTTTTGTTATTTACGAATCACGTGCAAATTTATTAAATAATACTTTAAATGTTAAAATTTAAATAATATTTGTTTTTTCAACCATCACAAATCTAATATCTGGAGTTATAAAATTAATTAATAAAATTTAAATAAAATATATGTTGTTGAGCCGGCTTGAGGTCAGGGAGGGGCTGGAGTACCAAAATAAATAAAAAGCTTTTATTTCGATTTCGTCCAATATATTTCGGTTGATCTGCGTCAATCGTCTTCAGGGCAACTGTGACAATATTTAACAATTAATATATAAATAAAATATATATAATATATAGCCAAGTAATTTTTAAATTTAAATATATTTATAAACATAATACGACTATTATTATTATTATTAAATTATACATTTATTATTTTAGAATTTAAAACAATTTAAAAAGTATATAAAATTTACATTAAAGAATGTATTTTCCTTTCTATACACTTATCACATTTCCACATGAACATTAGCAAGAAATTCGATTCAATAATGTGATGACTAATGTGCCTCATTTCTGGACTCGACTTTTAATTGTTTTTGTTATTTTATTTTAGCTCAGTGGATTGATTGCAAACACAGAAAAAAAAATTATAACTTCGTTTTCTATATATTTTTATTTCCTTTGAGATTTAAATAAATGTATTTTCACTATTTTATACCTTTGGAAATTAAATAAATAAATTAATTAAGACATAAAAAAGTATACATAAAATAAATTATAAATAGTATATATTTTATTTGTTTTTACCCTTTTAAAATATTTGAATTTGATCAAAATCTGATAATTATATTAAGTAGCATTCAAAAATGTATATTAAAATGTAGTATAATTTGAAAAACCTGTGTTTTTATATATCAGCAGTAATGCTTCTTTTTATGCAATCGAAATCGGTAAAGTAAAAACGTAAATTGCAAGGGTATACAAAGTTCTACACATTTAATAAGCAAGGAACCTGGAGAGGGCTTTGCAGTTGATTGGGCTAACTAATGATAAGCCCTATAGTTAGTCTAGAAATGAAAATGATATGGTTATTTCAATTTAGCATAAATGGATTAAGAAGTATCTCGTCGACCATCATGATGTTGTGGCCGTAGCCCGGATGGAGTCCGGATCATACCAAAAGATCCTAGATCCCTCTTTCTTCAAAAATATTTAAAAATCCAGGACTTTATTCTGCTGGTTTTTCAAAAATATATGTAAACCTAAATGTGTACTACTCTCAAGGGATCAATAGTTTTCAAGGGTCGTGTGTTTCAAGTAAGAGTTTCCTCCTGAAAGTATGCAGCATAAAAAGGTCTCATCCAATGCTGGCCAAGCTCATCCGTTCTCTTACGATCTCATTCTCCTCTCTTTAGTTGGAGCAAAACACCCACAACAAAGCGGGTTATAGAGACACCCGATCAAGGCACGCATTTAGCTTAGATTCCCCTTCTGGAACCCAACTCAGTAGCTCTCCGCGCCTCGAATTTGGTGGATCAGAGATCAGAACACGGCAATATTTAATATACATACTTAATTTTTGTGAGTGAAAGCGGCATGCATTATTCCAACTAAAGATAAGTGAATTGTGACTTTGGATTTGTTTGATTGTAAACCGTAATATAGTACATACTATGTACATATGTTTTGTTTGCTTGGTTGTCTGAGACGATAACAAAAGCGTGTGAGCAGAATAAAATGATTTGGCATAAAGTAGCCGCCACTTATTCTAATATAAAGTAGTTGTTTTTATTGTATTTATTGATTGACGTAAGAGTTCAACATAAAGAAGCAAAAATTGAATTTCTATTTGGGAACAAAAAGTTGTAGCTAATAATTTACGATTATGACTTGCCATTATGAACTATTTTTATTTGTTATCGCTATGGCATGTGAGTCTGTAAAATATAATATTTTACTTCGTGTTTTTGACAGATAAATGGCAAAAAATATAATTATATTAGCATTTTTAGGAGGCATTGCTGCTTTGCTTTTTGCATACTCCCCAGAAAAAAGTTTCAGTACCACAGAGATCAGATATAACTTCCTAATTAACTCTTTCCCAGCCTCATCACATTTGCATTTCTCGTAATTGTTTTCTTCTTTATTTGCCTGGCATCATCGTGTTACTTAGCCAGTAAATATTGTTGAAAATATTTGTTTAAGTGCATATTGCGGAGCTCTGGATACATGTTTACTTGGACAGTTGACAGGCATTTGTTTTTAATGTTTGTTTTTTATTTTTGCCAAGCAATTTGTAATTTAATTGAGCGGCAAAGAAACAGCTTAAACTGTAGAAATTTCCGAAAATTAACGAGTAAAATGCTAAACCAAATAGATTAGATTGTGGCCATTATACTGCTAATATATCCGGAACGGGCGAGCTCATTCATCATAGGCGGAGTGTCACCAACTGACGATTGTTCAGCCATTCGATATGTTAATTTTTTAAACGCTTATTTGCACTAATTTGTAGTGGTTTTTGTTTTAGGAGTAGCTGGCCCACATCTTCCTCAACAACCATTTATGGCAATGTTAGTCAGCTTGAGGGATAATGCCTCGATCATTTGGTGGTTAACAGTTGGATTAGCCGGTTTTATGGGCCTATCTAGTGCAGCATCCGTCAAGCCCAACATCATTATTATAATGGCAGATGATCTGGTAAGGTTAATGGATTTATTAAGACACTTTCTCTGTAACTCATTCTCTGAACAGGGCTTCGATGACGTGAGTTTTCGAGGCTCTAACAATTTCCTTACCCCCAACATCGATGCCTTGGCATATAGTGGTGTAATCCTGAATAATTTGTACACTGCTCCTATGTGTACTCCCAGCAGGGCAGCTCTCTTAACTGGCAAATATCCCATTAATACAGGTAAGGAGTTCAAGCTATTATTAAATTATATCCTAAATAAATTTTTATTTATTAAAAATAATTATTTTGTAGGCATGCAGCATTATGTGATTGTTAACGATCAGCCTTGGGGTTTGCCCCTCAACGAAACCACCATGGCGCAGGTCTTTAAAAAGGCGGGTTTCCGCACCAGTCTCATTGGGAAATGGCATCTGGGGATGTCACAGCGAAACTTTACACCCACGGAGAGGGGCTTCGATCATCATCTGGGCTATCTAGGTGCCTATGTGGATTACTATGATCAGAGTTACGAGCAAAAGGTGAGGGTAATGCCTTCTATAAACCCTAAAAATGATTTAAAAATTATTTATTCTTAGTCCAAAGGTTACATCGGCCACGATTTCAGAGAGAATCTCCTACCCACCCATGACCAAGTGGGTCACTATGTCACCGATGTCCTTACCAACGCTGCTGTCAAGGAGATTGATGATCATGGATCCAAGAATAGTACTCAACCCCTGTTCCTGCTGCTGAGTCACCTGGCTCCTCATGCCGCCAACGATGACTATCCCATGCAGGCGCCTGAACATGAATTGGCCCAATTTGGTTATATCCAAAACAAGACGCATCGCTACTATGCGGCAATGGTTTCTCGCTTGGACAAGAGCGTGGGCAGGGTCATAGAAGCTCTGGCAAGACAGGAAATGCTAGAGAACAGTATACTGCTCTTTTTGTCTGATAACGGAGGTCCAACTGAAGGGCAGCACTTTAACACAGCCTCCAACTATCCTTTGAGGGGGGTGAGTAATTTTATATGTGATATATATTTTTTTATATATATTTATTTATATTTTTCCCCTTTAGCAAAAGAACTCCCCCTGGGAGGGCGGCCTGCGTTCCTCGGCAGCTATTTGGAGTACAGAGTTCGAACGCCTGGGCAGCGTATGGAAGCAGCAGATCTACATAGGTGATCTACTACCAACATTGGCTAATGCTGCGGGCATATCCCCGGACCCAGAACTCCAGTTAGATGGCTTGAATCTCTGGTCTGCCCTCAAGTATGGTTATGAGTCGGTGGAGCGTGAGATAGTCCATGCGATCGACGAGGATGAGGAGGAGCCACACCTCTCGTATATGCGCGGCAAGTGGAAGATCATCAGCGGCACCACCGTGAATGGAAACTACGATGGCTGGCTAGGCGAGCGGGTGACCAGTGGCGAGGTGGATCCACGCTCCGAGGCTTATGAAGATCTTATAAGGAATACTAGCGTCTGGCAGTTGTTGCAGCAGGTTAATCCTGGGAAGCGCAACATCAGCGGACTGAGGGCAGATGCCAGTATTGAGTGTCCGGAACCTGCTACGGGCATCAGGCCTTGTTTGCCTTTGTTGGCACCTTGTCTCTTCGACATTGAGGCTGATCCCTGTGAGCGGAGTAATCTCTATGAGGAGTACCGCAATTCGACTGTCTTTCTGGATCTGTGGCAAAGGATCCAGCAGTTTGCCCGAAATGCCCATCCTCCCAACAATAAGCCAGCGGATCCAAAATGCGATCCTCGTTTATATAGAAATGAGTGGACCTGGTGGCAGGATGAGAAGGCTTCCACAGCGGCGGTGATGAACCATTTCAGCTGGTTACTGATGGGCATCCTGTGCTGTTTAACGATGTTGTGAGCAAAGGATATTTTGATGAGTAAGTAAAAAATATATAAATATTTAAAAATTGAATCTTAATCAATGTTTTTCTTATTTTTAACTATTTTAGATTCCAGTCAATGCATTAAATATATTGAGTCCAACGAATAACACTAATTAATTAATTGTTATCAGGATTCATCATCAAGGTTGATGAAAACCTGTTAAGCTGATTTATAGCTTGTATTATTTAGTAAAAACCTAATCAGTCCTGAGAATGTCAAGTGTCCAATTTGCTTGTCTTATCGATCCCTTCTGCGAACTCTGATAGTTTGCAAAACCCCCTTGAAAAACTTCAGAGAGCGCGCAGATCTCCGTCAATCAAAGGGTCTTAACTGGTATTTATCGGAGTCACATTTTAAGGCAGCTAAATTTGGACTCATTTCCAATGTAATCCCGATACAATCTGTCTTCGAGATTTACGAGTTATATTAAATTCAGTATTCCGTAGGCTGGCGTGCTTGCTATCAAAAACACATTAAATCAAAATTAATCAGACTTTATTTTCAAGGCCAATTTAATTATAAATAAGTTAATAAGATTATTTGTTGTTTGTAAATATTTATGTAATAAAATGTATGAATTTAAATTAATTGTTTGAATTATTTAAGCTGATTATTGGATTTTTCAAACTGAAAAGTATCCATAATAAAGACCAAAATGCATTAATTTCATTACGAATGCATTTCTATGTTGGTTTTTATTGGGGTAACAAATCTGCATACTTAATTTAACATTCTAACAAAATTATCTTTCCTCCAGACATTTCTAAAAAGTCTTGTCTGTAAATGCTGATCAAGAACATATGTACATATGGGATTTATAGGGTAAAAAATGATTCCTCCACCCTTGAACCCCCCTTGTCTTCAGTCTGACAGCGACAATCGATGTGTTGACTGCCTAGAAACAGCTGATTTGGCTCACGTTATTTTCAGCATTCTGCTCTAAAAGTCAATTGCAATTTGATTATTAACAACAAACAAACGGACAGCAGCAAAGTGACCCAAAAATATGAGCGAATCGATTGCAGAAGCTGCAGCGGCGGCGGAAAATGAAGAGCTGGCAGACGACTTTATGGATAAACTGAAGTTGGACGAGGAAGGCGGAAAGAAGAATTTGCACCGCGATGACCATATCAATGTGTTTTACCACCAGGCGAAGCCAAAGATCCTGAAGGAGTTTCTAGCTCGACGCACCATAAATGCGCCCCTGGCTACCCACTTGGCCGGCGGCAGTCCCATGCCCAACAAGCAGCCTAGGGAGTCGGTGGGGTTGCGCTTGGCCAGCGAGGATTTAGAAGATTTTGTGTAAGTTATGACTTAAGGAAAAATTAAGCCCTTTTATAAGCTTTACTTTAAAGGAAACTAATGGAGGCCACGGAGTTTTTCAAAACCCAATCCGAGACGGAAGAGGAGGAAGAAAGCGCACCAGAGTTAGCCATCCAACCAATGGAGGAGGATGCTCTCGCAGAAGAAGAACCCCGTGCTTCCACCTCACTGGAAGCTAATAAGACAACATCAACTAAGGAACGTCTTGTAACGGAGGTGTTGGTGCTGCCCAAGCTGGAATGGAGCTTGTTAAACGGTGATGTCGAGTGGGTAACCTGTCAGCTTGCCAAAGAAACTTTATTAATATTTGGTTCTTCTTTCAGGATTCTTACCAAAATGCAGGAGTATTTCAAGACTTTGACCACAAAACGTATAGAAAAACTGCGTAAAATGCAAAAGGAAGAGGAACAGGAAGGGCTAGCCAATGAAGATGACATTGATGTGGATGACAATAAAGAAAACGAGCCGGAAAACAAGCACGGAGATTTCCAAAATGACTCGCCTATTCGGAATTAATGAAGAATATATTTGACTTATGGGGTCGGTTGATTCCTTCACTCAGATAAAATATTTTGTTGTATAATACGTTTTTTATATTAAAAAACATAATAATTAAGTTTATGTTCATCCAAAAGCTGTGAATAATAAGTAAACTCTATTACAAATAACATATATCAAAACTGAAATTATTATAATATAATTTGAACTTAATTTCCATCCATCCATCCAGACAAAATCAAAGCAATTGCAACCATAAAAATTCGCTGGCCCGATCAACTTTTGTAATTATTTATGTATAATTATAATTAACCCCCCTAAATAGAGTCAAATCAGTTGTAAAATTTCATTTAAATATAAATATTTGCATTTTATTTTTCTTTAAAAGAGATCCTGAGATCGTAAGTAGGCATCAGAAGTAACTCAATCTAGTAGTATACCGTACCATTGAACTGCTGGGCCACCAGCACCTCGTACTTGTCGAATTTGCGCAGGGCCAGGGTCTCGTGCTTGATGATGCAGACCTTCTGGCTTAGCAGCAGGGTTCCAATCAGCAATCCGCCGTCAGTCCTGGCACGGCAGCAGTAGACTCGCTCATTCTTGACATTGGTTCCAACGGCCACGGCTCCCTTCTCGTAGAAGCCATCGAAGCTACGCACCCACACATACCTCAGGTTGCGCTCGGCCACGAGGATGTCGTAGACCAGCAGCTTGGAGGAGGCGGTCTCGGTGTTGAAGTAGGCGGTGCCGGTTTCCACAACCACACGGGCGGGCAGAATGTCGCTGCCGGACTTTACGCGACCCACATAGGTGTTGTAGCCATAGGGATCAAAGCCGCCCAGGATGGCGTCCTGAGGAACGATGTACGAGAGGTTTCCAGCCTTCCAAACGTGCTCGGTATCTGTAGGTCAACGAATGGAGTGTTATCCTCGGCTTTGGATATATTTTTTCAGTTTTAATTCTCACCATAGGTCGAGGGAACAGCGTTTGCCACTGCGAACAGGGCCAAGACGAGGCAGGCAGCTTTGTACATCTTAAGGAGCTGGTGGTTTCGCTTTGAGTAACTGCCCAGCTAGGTAACGGTTTTTATAGTCGCCTCCTTATCTCCCGACTCCAATTACAGTTATCGCTATCAGAAGATTGGCATCGATAGCATCGGTAATGGTGACTAACCTTCTTGGGAGTGAGGCTACGCATAGTAGATTTATTGCACCCACTAAAAATAAGCGTTATTTGGAAGCCAAAAAGTCCCCTCAGCTCCCAGTTGTTATTTCATAAGTTTGGTTTATTTCATAATCTAATATCTTCTTTTAATTCGGTGATTCAGGAAATTCAAAGCTAGATAGCATTAGTTATTGTTTAGAAATAAATCCATCTTATAAATTTTTATACCCTTGCAGAGTATTATAATTTCAGTCAGAAGTTTGCAACGCAGTGAAGGAGACGTTTCCGACCATATAAAGTATATATATTCTTGATCAGCATCAACAGGGGAATCTTTCTAGATATGTCAGGAAGAAATCGATTTTTTTTGCCATTTTTGCAAAATTTTATAAGGGGTTACATCATTAAAAATTTTGATTTTGATAAAAAATTGAATTTTCAAAATTTTTAAATAAAGAATGCAGATTTATTAACTGTAGAAAATCTTGCACAGAACAGTTTTCCGATTTAAAATTAATGCTCTTTTGGCCGAGTTATGATATTTTTCATTTAAAAAAAATTAAGAAGTTATTTAATATAAAAAATCCGATTTTATAATACAAAATAATATTTTTCTAAGTCAAGGAATCATATTCGACCCCATAAACCATATATATTCTTGATCAGCATCAACAGGGGAATCTTTCTAGACATGTCCGGAAGAAATCGATTTTTTGGCCATTTTTGCGAAATTTTATAAGGGGTTACATCATTAAAATAAGCAAAAATGTCCAAAAATTTTGATTTCTTAAAATTTTAAATTTGGTATGCAGTTTTTTTAAATTAATAAAAACTAACACAAAACTGCTTTCCGAATCGAAATTAATGCATTTTTGGCTTAGTTATGATCTATTTTAATTGTTACCTGCAAGGGTACAAACTTTGGCTGGCCAAAGTTAGCTTTTTTTCTTGTTTTAATTATTTTTAGAACAGTTTTAAATTAATTAATAATAATCAATCGAAAGTGACCTGTACAGTTTCGAAAAACAATTAGTTTAAGGTTCATAAAACTATAAATAGAAATCCCTAATTAACAACTAAAATCTAAATCAAAATGTATTCATTTTGGGGAGTCCCTCTCCGAATGTTTACCAACGAAGTTAGGGTTGACTTTATCAGTACCGAGTTCTTATCTTTAGCAACATGATAAGTCAATTAGAAAATAATGGCCATAGGTTCCCCCAAAAAACACAATAGAAATGTTTTTGTTCAATAAATATTTATTTTATTAGCTTTCACTTGGAGCCCAGTATGCAGATCTACACAAGGTAAGGAACGTAGTCGATCACATGGCGCTCCCTGACCAGGATCTCGTATTTGTCAAACTGGCGGAGTGGCAGGTTCTCGTGCTTCACGATGCACATTCGCTTGGAGAGGTACAGGGTTCCGATGAAGAGAGCCTCATCGCAGCGGACGCGGCAGATGAAGACTCGGTCGTTGGCGGCGTTGGTTCCCACGGAGACGGCGTTCTTCTCCCGGTAGCCATCAAAGCTGCGGATCCAGTGGTAGCTAACGGTGGCATTACCCACCAGCACTTCGTAGGACGTGCCCTGGTTGCCCAAAGTGTCCGTGTTGTAGTTGGCCCTTCCCAGCTCAGGAACCACGCGAGCGGGCAGGATATTGCTGCTATACACCACACGTCCAACGTAGTTGTAGTAGCCCTCGGGATCGAAACCGCCGAGCACCGCGTTCTCAGGAAGGTCTACGGTCTTGTCCGCAACCACCCACTTATCCTCTAAGCTGTAGATGCCACCCTGAATGAGGGCAACCAGCTGGACAAGGATCAAGGCTATCAGTACGGAGCTCTTGGCGGAGAACATGCTTGGACTGTTGACGGAAAAGGTGTTGTGGCAGTCTCCGCCTGCTGCCTGTTTTTATTGGGTCCCACCCCCATGAGGTTTCTGTTCCTAGTAAGACTGATTGTATATTTTCTTTGGGGGATCACTTCATTGATTAGATATAGATAATTTTTCTAGATTGGTGATTAACACTTGAAAGCTCGGTGGTCGGTTGATAGTGAGATCTGCCGAGTTCCCGGTATAGAAAACCATAAAACCCCTAAAATAATCAATTGTCAAGTTGGCTTAAATCTTATCATGAACAATGACTTAGAAAAATGTAATGGACTTTACATTTTGGGGTCTTTAAATGTTTTTAAACAATATGAGTTTAGTGGTAATACTTATTTTTAGCTATAACTTAATCTTTTTTATAAGAAACTGTGTAAATAAGATTTTAATGAAGTTTATAGGACCTGAAAGGCTCTTGCTGCTTTTCCAGTTTAAGGATACCAGCTTTACAGCTCATAAAGGACCTATTAGCTTTAAAATTATATTTTAATAATTTTTAAATTAATAAATTTAAATTTTTCTTTGATACATTTTTATTATACATATTCAAATAGGTTAAATTAAAGGATCTTAATTCTATCCTCGTTCTATAAAGCGGGTTCTAATAGTATTATTCATACAAATTGGAACCTTCTATACTTGTTATATATTCTTATGTTATATTTAGTCAATGTTTTTATTTGAAAAATAATTATTTTGTTATTTTTATTAAAGACATTTCAAAATATAATTTATATCCAAGTATATAAATCATGTAAGACACCCAATGCTTTTTCTAAATCATTTTATTTTATTCGTTATAGGTATTCTTGTGTTCATTATTAATATTCATTCAACGAATAAAATTTAAAAACAAACTTAGAAAATCTAAGGGTTTACTTCCCTTAAATTTACATCAAATATAGAACACATAATATAAAAATATATCCTTGAAAGCATATAAAATCTACATCTAAGTTTGCATTTGAACAAGAATTTACTCTCTGTAGTGTACCTAAATAATATTTATAATTAAAGTTTTCCCAGTTCTTGTATCAAAAACAACAAATCAATATTTTCGTTCAATAAATAAATATATATTTTATTAGTTTTCCACCTCATACAAAGTGCAAATCTACAAATGGTATGGAACGTAATCAATCACATGGCGCTCCCTAACCAGGATCTCATACTTGTCAAACTCCCGGAAGTTCAGGTTCTCGTACTTGACGATGCACGTCCGCTTGATCAGGTACAGGGTTCCAATGAAGACTCCGCTATCGGTACGGATGCGGCAGATGTACACTCGATTGTCGGCGGCATTTGTTCCCACAGCAACGGCGTTCTTCTCCCGGAAACCATCAAAGCTGCGGATCCAGTGGTAGCTAACGGTGGCATTGCCCACCAGCACCTCGTAGGAGGAGGTGGTCTGGTAGCCGGTAGTGTCGGTGTTGTAGGTGGCCTTTGCCAGCTCAGGTACCACTCGAGCAGGCAGGATATTAAAGCCGGAGGCCACACGTCCCACGTAGTTGTAGTAACCATCGGAATCGATGCCACCGAGCACGACTCCTTCAGGCAGATCCATGGACTTGTCCACATACACCCAATTGTCCTCCCTGCTGTAGATGCCACCTTGGATGAGGGCGACCAGCTGGACGAGGATCACGGCTATCAGTACGGAGCTCTTGGCGGAGAACATGCTTGGACTGTTGACGGAAAAGGTGTGGTAGAAGCCTCCACCTGCAGCCTGTTTTTATACAGATCCCATTTCCATGTGGTCTTAATCTTTGGGACACATTTTAAAGATTAGATATAGTTTATTTTTTTTTAGATTGATGATTAACTTTTGATCTTGGTGTTTCTTGATTAGATGATAGAAAGAGTTCCCCAAAAAATAATCAGTTGTCCAGTCTTATCGTTAAAAATGATTTACAATCAAAAGATTTTTTTATATTTCAAGAAAGATTGAAACTATTTTGTAGTATTAGTAATATTTCATTTTGAAAATGAGTAATTCTTTTTACTAAATATTTTTAAAAGAATTCTACTACCTTTAGTCGTGCAAATTAGCTAACCTTCGTAGCTCGCCATTGTCACAGTCTTCCGAGAATACTAATCACTTTAATCAGACCGCTGAAAACCCGTTTATAAGGCATTATCAGCTCTGTTGTTATCACTGAACGTGGCACAAGATCCCTGACCTTTGCCAACAAATCCACAAGAAAGCTCTTTAGTTCACAGTTCAGTTCCTTTGCAAAGCTTGGTCTTAGCTTTAGTTTTACCTGTAAGGTAAGTTATAGGTATTGTAAATGTTTTTACTGTCTTTGCTTGCCTTTGCAAAAACACGTTTTGGCTTTGCTTTTATGGCTGTGTTTTCGCCCGTTCGCGATTGTATTTTCTGCTATTTTATAGCAGTTAGCAGGTAAGGTCTGGGCTGTTATACGATTATGCGATTTTCGCGCACGCTGCGGAGTCGGCGAATAAAAAGGTTGTCACTTTAAAAGCGCCAGCAGCCAGCGGAGCGTTTAGTCTCGCGGAGAACCCGCTGGGGAAAGGATCCCCACCGATCGTTGGGCAGTGTTCGCTTTTCATCTTTATATAGTACAGGTGAAGCCGGAAAAAAGAGAAAAATTAGTGTTTAGTTAGTGAGTGAAATTAGGAAGTTCTTTGGTAATGAAACTAAGCAAGTGATTTCTAACAAAAAAATATGAAAACACAGTGAAGGCCTTTTAAATATTTTAAACTATTCTAATCAACGTGGATCAAGTGGGTATACAATAGATACCTGAGGATATCTGATAGAATCTAATTCAAACCGTTCACCAGCTGCTAAATTTTAAATTAAAAACATTATATCTAAAGTGAATAAATTCCGAAAATAATACTAATTAGCTTGTATATTCAAGTGCAAACGTATTGAAGTCTGAACCAGTTTGTCGCCCCGCTAATCAGATCTTTATTTGTTGGCTTAAAGCAATCTCTACTTTTATTAGGTCGGCATGAAATGTGAGAACTCTTTTAAAGGTGAAATTCAAGAGCACTTAAGGTTTATTTTTGATTTTGTGATATAGTCTAATTGGTGCAATATAATCAGAAACATTTCCTTAATTGACAATTTACAAAAGTGAAATAATTCTAAGGAAATAGATAGCCCAAAATCAGTTAATTAAATAAAATAAAATATAATAGCTTAAGTTTTTATTTTTTATTTATTATAATAGAAGAGAAGTTCGCCCTTAATCTCCTTGTTTTAGTTATAATTTTCCCCTATGCCAATTTTGAATAAAAAATATCAGTGAAATAATTATTTTGAGTATTTCCTAATAACCTAAAAACCAAAGGTATTTCTACAGCTTCTTTCAATAATACTTAGTTATATTAACTATAAATCTAAGGATCATAAATCTTACCTATTCCTTGGCATAACTACCAGTTCTTTACAATCCGTAAACAATAGAATATGACTTTAAAAGTTAATAAAGTTTCTCCATAGCTCAGAATTGGGAAATTTTCATGCCTCATCGAACTGAACCAGTTTCGATGCATTTATAGGGGGATTTACACTCAAGAACCTTTCCATTGATGAACAACAAACTGGATGCCGCCGATTACTTCACATGTGCTAAATCAAGGTTGCCGCTTTAACAAGCTGTCAAGGTCACCAGGTGGTGATCCCAGGGCGTTTTCCCATTCTCGCAATTCGCATCACTTTTTTTTATTTCAACCAAATTATATCATGTTTATGTGGAGTTATTAACCCATTTGGAATTTGACTGGAACCCCTAAAGACAAGGCTCATGTGTTAGATTTTTACGGCTCGTGTCTTGCTTATCTAGGCCCGATTTCATTATATTTAGCCTTTTTTATGGGCCATTGCGACAATTAAACAAGAGTTTTGGCCGAGATAAAAAGAAATTACACTCCTCAGTGCGAAAGGCAAGCCCCAAGTACGAGCAGGCAAGTGTTTTTCGTGTTTTATACAATGTCTTAACAATGGTTGCAAAAACCCAAAAACAACAACAAAGTAGCATGGCCGAATGGTTGAATGAACTTTGCGGCCAGCCAGACATGGCATATGGCAGGCAGACTCTCTGGGATAGGTCAGGTGGCCACAAATCGGGGAGATTGTATAATACAATTGCCAATTATGGTAAACAAAATTCGGCAGATTTTCCTATGGGATGTGCAATATAGTAGGTAATTGAGCTGATTGGGAAATGCCAGGGATTTCAACATAAGAGAAGACAGGCAGCTACTAGCGACTAAGTTACTATTAAACAATAAAAAGTTTAGACTGAAAGCAGTTTAAATAGTCCCCAAAATATTAATTATATATTATATATTTTATCTTGTACTTAGCAGACTTTAAATATGTCTTCAAAAATGTCTGGAAGACTCCTATACTTGTGGCTAGTGAGTGTCCTACTCAGCTTAGGAAAAGCAGCCGACAGCTCCGCCAAGCCAAATATAATAATTATACTAATTGATGATATGGTAAGTTTAATTAGAATTAGAAATAGAAAATAAATAATATTATATATTGCCTGCCTTTTCAGGGCATGAATGATGTGAGTTTCCATGGCTCAAACCAGATCCTAACGCCCAACATCGATGCTCTGGCCTATAATGGAGTCCTGCTGAATAAGCATTATGTGCCAAATCTCTGCACGCCTTCAAGGGCAACCCTGCTAACAGGAAAATATCCCATACATACAGGTGAGATAATAACTTATTTAAATTTATTTAAAATTATTTAAAATATTTATAATATATGTCCAGGCATGCAACATTGGGTAATCATAACCGATGAGCCCTGGAGCCTGCCCCAGCGTGAGCGTTTGATGCCTGAACTATTTCGGGAGGCGGGCTATGCCACCCACTTGGTGGGCAAATGGCATCTGGGCTTCTGGCGCAAGGATCTCACACCAACCATGCGGGGATTTGACCATCATTTTGGCTATTACAATGGCTACATTGACTACTATGATCATCAAGTTCGCATGCTGGACAGAAACTACACGGCAGGCCTTGATTTCCGTAGAGATCTAGAGCCCTGTCCCGAGGCCAATGGTACCTATGCCACAGAGGCTTTTACTTCGGAGGCAAAAAGAATCATTGAGCAGCATGATAAGACCAAACCTCTATTCATGGTTCTCAGCCATTTGGCTGTGCACACGGGCAACGAGGATGATCCCATGCAGGCGCCACCCGAAGAGGTGGCCAAGTTTGCCCACATCAAGGATCCCAAGCGAAGGACCTATGCGGGTGGGTTAACTTACTTGGAAGTTTATATATCTGTTAATATTAATACTTCTTATTTTCAGGTATGATATCCAGTCTGGACAAGAGTGTGGCTCAGACTATGCGCGCCTTGAAGGATAATGGCATGCTGAACAACAGCATTGTTTTGCTTTACTCTGACAATGGAGCTCCCACAGTGGGCATACACTCCAATGCAGGCTCTAACTACCCCTATCGAGGGGTAAGTATTGCCAGGAAAACAGTTTAAAAAACTAAATATTTTCCCCTTAAATCACAGCAAAAGGAATCCCCCTGGGAGGGTGGCATTCGATCTGCCGGTGCTCTGTGGAGTCCCTTGCTCAAAGAACGGGGCTATGTGTCCAATCAGGCTATCCATGCCATCGATTGGCTGCCCACTCTAGCAGGAGCTGCTGGGATAACCTTGCCGCAGGAGCTTCAACTGGATGGTATTAATCTCTGGCCAGCTTTGAGTGGAAACGAGGAGCCCAAGCCCAGGAGCTTCATACACGCCCTCGACGAGATCTTTGGCTACTCCTCGTACATGAGGGATACCCTGAAATATGTAAATGGGAGCACCTTCGAGGGCCAGTACGATCACTGGCTAGGAGAACTGGAATCCAATGAAGATGATCCCCTGAGTGATAACTACGGACAGCAGGTTCTGTCATCAGACGTTCATAGTATCTTGGGTGATCGAGGACTCACGGAGGCTCATATCCTGCAAATGCGAAGCGAAGCCACGCAAGAGTGTCCCGTGCTGGCAGGAGAAGATCCGCAGGACCCCAAGTATAAGTGTGAGCCCCTCAAGGAGCACTGTTTCTTCGATCTGGCCAAGGATCCCTGCGAGCGCTATAACTTGGCCCAATTATATCCCGCCCAGCTAGAGGAGCTCGCCCAAGAGGTGGAGCAATTCCGGCGGACAGCAATTCCCACGGCCCGCGTTCCCATAACCGATTATCGGGCCGATCCGGTGTTCCACAATGGAAACTGGGAGTGGTGGAATGATACGGATACGGGGTCAGGTGCCGGCACTTGTTCGCTTAAATTATGGATTATTATGGGGAGTATTATAGGTTTAATTTGTTCTATTAGTTTTTAAGGTAAATTGTGAGTAGTTTAATTATAAATAAATTTAAATACTTTAGTTTTATGGAAACTGTTTCTTTCTTAGTTATTTTAGTAATCTCTCTCTCAAATGCTCAATTGCTGGTAGATCGTAGATCATAATTTTTGTCATCACGGCTTACTTGCTAATAAAAAATGTAAGCTTTTTTTGCTCTAAAAGTAGCACAAAAGGCTGAAAGTTGTGACCTATATTGCTAATCCGTTGCTTGATTATTATATTTATCCGCGTTGCCAGACTTAAAGACTTGAGAGATTTTACAAATAAAGCCATAAAGTATGCCACAAAATAATTTAAAAACATAAATAAACATATAACAAATATAATAAAATACAAATTCACATATTTTCAACTAATTTTATTAGAAACAACAATGGACAGACATCTAAATTCTCTAGAAGCAATTAATAAGCTCACTTAAAACTAACAATTGCATTTTTTGGGGTATTGATTATGGGAACTTATGGCTAGTTTTACAGAATTATATAAAAATAATACAAGATTATGCAACAGAGATGATAACAATACGATCGGTTACTCAACATCAATACTCACTAGATAGGCGTATCTAATCACGTATATACATATACATAATACAAACGGAATATCGTACACTCGGATAATACTCTTAAGATAACTCCAGCGGAAATGGGACATTTATAAATGGGTCTCCTCGGGAGTGGCCGCTTTTTCTGCATGGCCAACGGATTCCCCTATTCTTTGGCGCTATTCGATCATATTGAATAGTAGACAGGAGAATATCATGCCAAATATCTGTAATAAAGAAGGATATATAATTAATTTAGTACTTTAATTTAATGTTAAGGAGTATTATTTACCATAAGAATGGCCACCGCTATGGAGGTGCCCCCTATAACCGCCGCATGATCCCTGATGAAGTTGGTCGTCACATAGAGACAGCCCTGGTTGTACAGATTCGTGATGGTGGGAAAGATGGTGCACTCCTTGCGCTGTCCTCCGAACAGCTCCTGGCAACAGGACTCGGGCACGGGTCCATACCGGTTCCAGTCATGCCACGTGTCCACGCCGCAGCACTGCAAACGCTCCTGGGTGAGATCCCAGGCCTGGGTGATCTCCCTTCGGCTGCCATACAAGGCCATGGTGGATCTCATTTCCTAGAGGAAAATTATATCGGTTTAAAGGTGTGAATGTGAAAGGATTTTGGGTTTGCCTTACCTGCCGCATGGTCTGCTGCACTCTTTCACGGAAAACATAACCCAAGACGCCGCCAATTAGCATGGTGACGAAAACCAGTGCCACAATTATGAAATACTGAGAGTGAGAAATAATAAACATGTTAAGAGGGTATTGCTTCATAGAATAGCAGGAAAAATAATAAGAAATTTCTTTAAAAATCTTTATTTTACGTACCGTTAATAGCAGACATTTAACCTCCTTTCCAGCACCTACACAACCCAAAAAGGACACCAGGCAGATGATGATAGAGGTGACCAGCAGCACATAGACAGCTCCCGAGAAGAGATTTGTGCCCAGCAATTCATTGACGAAACTGCGATCCACTAGAGTCCACAGTGTCAGGCAAAAGACAATGGCTCCACCAACCTGGATTAAAGTATATTTTATTTATTATAAAATCCACTACAAATATTTCCAGATATACTCACAAATATAACAAAATTGGCTATGAACAGGCTGTACTTTACAAACTGCCCGCAGCAGTCCATGCGCGAACTGAAGCCCATGTCGTCTTCCTAAAATGAGTATTTATATATATTTATTTAATTCTTATTTTTGGGTATATAATCTTGATGTAGTTTTTACTTTTTTCTATAGGTGACGAGTCCCAAAAGGTAATTTTAATGCAGGGAAAATAATGCAAAGGATTTGGGAGAGGAGGAGATGCAGGAGGTTCGAGATGTTCTAGATGGTAAACAGAGATATGAATTATTGGATAATAAATTAAATAATAAATAAAAATAATAAATAATAAAAATTATATTCAGTATAGTTCTTAGGAAATTTAATAAAACATTCAAGGATTTAATTAAAAGATCTTAGAACATTAGAGATAGGGTCTAAGGCAAAAAGAGCCTCATTTTTTTTTGGCATTCTTACTTTTATAATGTTTTTTCGAGTGTTATAACTTTGTTAACTTTTTTTTTAAGATCCTAGTTACATTTCAGAGTAATTTATATATTATAACAATTATATTGAAATTATTTTTAATATCTGTTAACTGACTAACCACTATCTAAGCTAAGAGAGACTACTGCGCATGCGCAGCTGCGGTTGAGGTTGTGACTGAGCTTGAGCGACAGTTGGAGCGCTTCGTAGCCGGGTTCGAGCCGAAGTACTCTTAACCATGACCCACTTTTGTGAGCGCCAACCAACGCAATGGGCCTAGACAAGCGTTCATTATCGGCTCGGACTGCGGTAGCTTTCGGTGGGCTTTGGTTGGTTACGGCTCTTAAAAAGACACTTTTGGGCGATTACACTTCAAGGGTTCACTTTTCGTGACGAATCCCGACGTCTATCAAAATAAGTAAATCAAAGTAATAGCCTGGCTAATTAGAGTACCTTATTTACGAGTGCCGCCCCATCTCTGAGTCACATCAGCGAACTGCGAACTGCGATGTTCTCTAAATGCTAATTAAAGGTAATTGCAAGCTAAGCCAGCGAGACCCGCCCCCTTCACCCCAACTAAGCGACATCTCATTTCGAGCATTATTCTCGCCAAATGCAAAAAAGACGCCGCAGAGTTGCAGGTAGAGTAAGCCAGGTAATTGTCGGGGGGTGTTATTAAAAAAAAATATTCTCACACTGTCTGAATATTCACTATTTTTCATTCGACGACGTTATCATGACCCGGGGGAATCGTGCCTGAGATGACAGTAAGTCATCTGAAAGTCGCCATTAATGACGACTCACTATATCGGCTGCTTGTTAGCTGAAACCAATTAAGTTTATGGTAATTGTTCTAGCAATACGTGCTACACATCATAATAGATCTTATTTTAGGGGAGGTTTTAGGAAATTTAGAAAATCTAATTATATATTTTTTAAAATATTGAAATATTTTTAAATCTTGAAATTATATAGCATATTTTAATATAAATAACAGGGTTCAAGATTGCTTGTAATATTAATAATATCTTATTAAACTTTGTAGTATTCGTTTTTTTGTGAAAATAATATGAAACCGATGTTTATATACATACATAATTATAGCTGAAATGCACATGGAACTTATTATTATCTAGAATTTATGATATATGATACAAACATATTCATAAAAATAATATAGAACTTCCTTTTTATTTTGTAATACATTTTTCAATTAAATATAATTTAATAATGGCCCATTGACTAACTAACAAAGAAGAACCGACAGATATTTGTCAAAGAAATTAAAAAACAATCAACATTTAATTCTTATAAAATTAAAAATAAATTAGGCAAGAGCTTTTCTTGCATTTTCCTGTAAACTAGCATAACATAACTTACTTAAACTTAACACAAAGTATTAATGAACACTAATATACTCACAAGTTTGCCGTCCCGAAGCACAAACGAAGTTTTCGTTAGGTAACCAATTTTGGCGGTTTTCTTTTCCCAGCTTCAGCGTATATGTAAATTGCCTCTAAATTGTGGTTGTTTGCAAAAAAAACAAAACAAAAAACAAGCTAAGCTAAGCTTAACTTATTTTTGGTTGCACTTGACTGCACAGAAGCTTAGGTAGATGGGAATTAGTAGTAGGCTGCACATAAAAACAAACGAAAAACGTAAAAGGGAAATTAATTTAAAGCAATTTATTTGAGCCTAATATTACTTTTGAAAATTTGTGTAAAAGTTCAGCAAGTATATTTTCAAGGATGAAAGAAAAAGTCGTTGATTTGTGGCCTTAGATTATTCGATTATTAATTTTAGTAACTGAAAAACACCTTGAAAACATGAGCTTAAATTTGGTTAATATATAATATAATGAAATATTCCTAGAGTAACATTTTCATTTACAAATAACTTTCTTTTTCTTAAAAAAACCATATTTGTTTATTAATTTAACAAGTTTTTGTTTGGTTTTCTTGGCTCCACTTCGTTTCATTCAGTTTGCTAGAGCTTGCCCTGGCAATTTATGCAATATTCGTTAATATTGTCTCTTTGTGATTTTTGTTAAACTTTTTTTTTTGCTTTGTATATTTAATACAGGTTTCTTGCATTTGTTTTGAGCGTCACTCGTAGCAGTTGATAATTGTTATTGAGTTTTTATTTTTTATTTTTCGATTGTTGCTGCTGCTGCTGCGGCTGCGTGTTATTGTCAATTGCAGTTCTCCCATGGCAAACCACTTTTTTTTTTTTTTGCCGCCTTGCTTTTCGCATTTGGTTTTCAAGTTACGTCACATTTGCTCTAGGCTCCCACTTAATATCCTTGCTAGGGTTATCACTAAGGTCCAGGAATATTATATACACTTGCTGTTTTTATTTTTTTTAATTTAAACCTTGTTTTTTTTTAAGCTTTTAAGCTAGGCTTACAGGGGCGCGTGGTTGGGAAAGAGCGACGAAAGGCGACTGGGGAATGGCGGATGGCGACGACTCCACCGCTCGGTGGATGGCTTGGAACTGGTTGTGGGAACAGTCGCTGCGATCGGTTTTTTATTATTTTCGCTCACAAAGAGCTTCGTTGTTGGGCTTTTTCTGAAATGCCTCTCGAAATTACAACAATTTCGTCTTGAGGAGCGGCTTAGACCTACGGGCGAGAGCAAGAGAGACTGCTCGCTTACAAACCGCAAATACTTCTGAATGTTTTTTCGTACTTGTCTCTTATTGATTCATCTATTTTACCTTATTTTAATGTATTTTTTTTGTTGTTCACTTTTGCCATGTGAAAATGCGCTGAGCAAACAGAATGTGTTCGCCTTCGACACCACACTTCCTTCCACAGCCAGGGGCTTTGTTCAGGTTTAAAAAAGAAGCATAGATCAGCAATTTAAATTTAATATTTTTAACCAAGAATTATCATATTTTGGAAGAATTTAGCTTAGGGCAGCATATTGATTTTGGGCGCGTGTGGCTTTGGAAAGGGTATTTAGCTTGGGACTAGCACATCCTTTATACAATTATTTAAGCAGTCACTAAAATAATTAACTATAAAATAAATCAAAGCAAAAATATGTTGAGGAATTAAGTTAAATTTAAAAATTTTTGCATCCTTTATATTTAAAAATATATAAAAAAAACTAAAGTATATATTTATAAATAATATGCAATTTCTTTCGACTTTTATAAAATCTAATAAAATATACAATGTTGATACAAATTTCGATTATAAATATTTTTTAGGCATATTTTGTTCGACAATAACAAATTTCGAGTAAGCAATTGAAAGTTATAGATATTCATTACTTTAAATATTAATATTTTTCAATATTTAAAACCAAATGGGGATGCTCCCAGAGGCCAAAGATTCCAACTTCTCTCTAGAAAGGACTCCACAGTTTATCTTATATTTTTGGAATGTTTCTAAATATAGACTTTTTCTATTAAATATTTATTTCATTTTTTATTTTACAGTAGCATAATTTAATCCTTCAAATAAAGCCTTCTTTAACTCCACCAATTAGCTCTGTGATTGCCATTCAAACAGCTGCATTTGCGGACAACCTTCGACCATTAACGGCTTAATTTTGTTTGTTGGCCAAACAAACAGTTTTGACTGAGCTGAACTGAGTAATTTTGTAAGCAATTTTGGGAGCTAAGGTCAGAGTTGGTAGTAGCTCCACCCCCGAGGCAAGCTTCAGTTACACTCATCGTCGTCGTTGTCGGCACGGTTGAAAAACGTTCAATTTGTTTTCTGTATTCTTTTTTTATGTTTATTTGTTGTTGAGGTTGGCTCCACAAATTGTTGGGTTATTTAGCACTTTTATGGCTGTGTTAACCGAGGCACCACCCCGCCCGGAAAGCAGCCCCCCCAATAGCCCAGCAACTGTCAAAGTTGCATGGCGGTAATAGAAATAAATAATAAAAATTGGAAAAAACAATTACTCGGCCTGTTGATTTTGCATCTTACACTCGCTGTGGGAACCTTTTGCGTTTTATAGTTGCCATAAAATTAATTTCCACATACGACGACTATGCAGGCGGACTCTCGTGATAAAATATTGCACAAAAATCGAAAAACGATCGAAACATGATCTCAGGCGGAGGCTAGAGTTGTGCGATCTTTCTTCAAGTGGCCAGGGTATCATTAAGATTAAGTGTAATTTCTAATTTGATTTTAAGCAAGTCAATTTTGACACTTGGAAAAATTGGGTAAGGGTTTTAGAATCAGCGAATCAGCCGAGCTCAGACGCTGATATTCTAGAGCTCCAAGTCTTGTTATGGATTTAATAGAGAAAACCACGCATAATAAATATATATTTAAAACATAATTAATATACAAAATATCAAAACAGTCGAAGATTCCATCTCCGGCACTAGTCTTTCCTTGTTTTCTAAATCTAAAAAATACTTTTTTGATATTTTATAAAGCTTAAACCAATAAATATAATAGGCTATTAGTGGTTTAAAATATTTTAAAAATTTCTTAAGGAATCTTTGTTTCATATATTATTTTTCAAAGTGTACCTGAATATACCCGCACTCGTTTACTCCGATCTGAAATGTGATTAGTGTGTGCGATTTGAAAGCCTCGTTGAGCTCGTCGAAGGTGAGAAGCTTCAAAAGCGATAAATTGTAGCACTTAAAAATGATTAGAATGAGTCAAAGATGGAGGCTACAAGTAAATGACAACAGTTTTTTGGACAAACGATAATTAAAATGTACAACAGAATCAGAATATGTAAGGAATTTAAGGTATATAATGATTATATATAAAGAAATATTCTTACAATCATAGCTTAATTCTTATTAATATTTAATAAATATATTAAACTTCTTTCATTAAAGCAGCTACCCTTGAAATTCTCTCCCCATCGATACAAGCATTATAATAAATGCAATAAACCGACATATGCCCCCATCCATTTGCTAATATCGAGATCTAAGTTCAATCAATCATTAGCATATTCAATTAATAAATTAATGATTCTATACCCATGACAAAAATGCACTTGTTAAGTTGAACAGTTTCCCAGGCTTAAAAATTAATATATTAAATAGCATTTTGGTTCTTATCAAGCTAAAGTCACCTTGGGGGAATTCGAACTTGACGGTGGGCAATTGTTTTGGTGGACAGAAACAACCACAAAAAACGCAACCGACTCTCAGCTCTTGACCAACTCAAGTCGCTTAGGTTTTCCCATGTCCGCCGCTCCAAGTGCATTCTGTGGCCTCGGGCCAGGAGTCATACTACATATAATGGCTAATCAGCCGCTAGGCCGAACAATTGTTTTCCCTATTTGCCTGCCGCTAAGGGCATTCCTCCTTCCCGTCCGCACATAGCATATATTTTGGGCAAACAATTGGCCAAAAAATAAAATAAATTTGACTTTAGTCATGTGCCCGCTAATTGCTCGGTGTCAGCTCCAGCGATTGTACGTGGCGATGCGGGTGCGTCAGTCTCAAGACTCTACAGCTCAATATTTCGTTTTCGCTTCATTTGGGGTATTTCCTGCCGAAAATTCATTAAATTTTGACAAAAATATAATATGTACTAAACCTTTAGAAAAATACATTTCAGTTTATATATTTTTTAATTAAAAACAAATGTTCTTAGAGCATCTTTTTAATCTAACAAAAGATATTTATGTGTTAAAACTCGTTACCTTTTCTGGGCTCTTGTAAAAACTGACCAATCGCTTCCATTTCAGTTATCTATTAAGTAATTTTATTATGATAAAATTTAAAGCATAAATCTGAAACATTCACTATAATTTAGAGTTTATGTTTTTATGTTAAATAAGCAATGAATTATGGCTCCTAAGATGATATACAGCAACCAAGAATATGCCCAATATATGAATTATAATTCATTGCAATATTTATACACTGCAATTTGTTATCTTTTGTATATAATATATAAACATTTAGCCCATTTGTTTGTCTTGAATAAAGTCGAGGGTTCATTATTATACTTTATATATAAATATTAACTTTAAGCATATTAAAAAGCAAAGTGAAAACTTATTCAAAATATTTTCCATTTTGTATAAACACCCTCACAATACCCGTTCGTATTTCCAGCCTCAATTTCCGGTCCACGATGTGGAATGTATCTCACAACCTTAGCCCAAAAGTATGCTTCAAAATATTTATATTAAAATTAAATTGAAAATGGTCAAAAATCACAAAAACTGATTGTAAATAAATAATGAATAAGTAATAATAATAATAATAAAATAATAGAAATAAAAACCAATTTTGAAACCATCAAAATAAATTTAAATATTTATACTGAATTTTATTGAATTTCTTTTGGATAAATCATTGTTTAAAAATATCATAACTAAGTCCAAAAAGCATTGAATTCAGTTCGGAAAGCTGTTCTGTGTTTGTTTTTTGTAGGCCAACAAAACTGCATACTAAATGTAAAATTTAAAAAAATTAAAATTTTTTCCACTTTTCGAAAATTTTAACGATGTAACCCCTTACCAAATGTTGAAAAAATGGCTTAAAAAATTATTTTCCCCCAGACATGGCTAGAAAGACTCCCCTGTTCATGCTGATCAATAATATATATGATTTAGGGGTTCGGAAATGACTCCTTTACCCTGCAAGTGAATAAAAACCATCAATAAGTACAACAATTTCATTTTAATAATTATGTACAGTTTATACATCTCCATACATATGTATATGAACCTTAAAAGCTACTTGTGTGTGTGTGAATTAGAATTGTTCATTTTGGTACCAATTGCACGAAATCATTGATCGCTCGATCCCTGATCGCTTCAAGTTCCTCGCTTGCCTTAACTGGTGGGCTCTGTGTGTATGCTTTAAGTACAAAAATCTACATTTTGGGTTTCGGAGGCACTTAGACAAACTTAGCTTAATCTGCTTGATTGTAGACGGCGACTTTGTTTCTATTCAGTTTCCTACAAAAAATATACGTCTTTAGCAACTAGGAAGGGGTTTTGGTGCTACGATTCACAAGCTATCACTTGGACATATCACAAAACTTCAAACTGGCCCCAGGATCCTCATTTTCAGAAGACCCAGGAGCAGTTTCATCCTCTCACGCCGTTCGGCAGGCATTGGCATACTCCACGCAATCGTGCAGCGTGGGGAAGATCTCAAAAGGTCCCTCGCTGAGGGCCATACTGTGCACCAGGGTATCGTACACCCGATCCACGGGACTGGCCAGCAGCAGGCGAGCTCCTCTCGCCTTTAGCTCCTTGCTCACATCGCTGAGAGTACGACAGCCGGCCACATCAATGTGCCCCAGCATCGAGAAATCCAGGATGAGCACCTTGAAGGCACTGGGCGTGGACTCTGTGAACTGGACACTCACAGCTTTGCCGCCATTCTGTGATACAGGAGAGTAGCTGGACTTGCTGCCTCTGCTGGGACTTTTGCTGTTGCTGTTGCTGTTATCGCTGCTCTTGGTGGGGGGAATCTTGTCCAGGCCTACGGCCTCGTACAGGGCTCTTCGGAAGAACAGACTTGTGGCAAAGTTCAGTGATCCACTGTAACGGAAAATGCGAGTCTCCGGCACTTGCATGGCATTGCGATGCTGATTGAGATCCATGTAGACGCCTGGAGCCTCGGGCATGTAGCCCAAAAGGCAGGAGTAGGGCTTCAAACCCTTGATGTACAGGGCCAGCAGAGAGATGCAGATGCCTATCAGGAGACTAGAAGGAAGGAAATATTATTACTTTTATGGGAAACTTAAGGAAAGAAATGAGGTAAGGCTTACCCAATGTCAATGTCGATGAGTACCACGCAGAGGAAGGTGGATATCCAGGTGAACATTTCCAGCTTGCCTTGTTTAGAGAACTTCTTAAGCTCTCGGGCCTGCATAAACATGGGCTTTAAGGCCACTATGATAACACCAGCTAAGACACACTGAAAACAGCAACTAAAAGTTAGTACAAAAATTCAAAAATTTTAGAAAAATGTACAGCGAACTCACCCTGGGCAAACTGCTAAAGAAAGGACCAATCCACATGAGGGTGACCACCACCAGCGAGGCGGAAACCAATGATGCAATCTGCGACACTCCTCCAGTTTGATCCTGTATAACAGAACGCGACAAGGAGCACGCCATGGGAATGCAGGAGAAAAACCCACCAACAACATTGCCAACGCCCATGGCAAACAGTTCCTGATTCGCCCGCACTTCATAGCCATGCTTTTTGGCAAACGTCAGCCCCATGGACATAATTATGGAATAAGTGACAACGGCAATTGCTATCGAGTCCACCGCCACCTTGGACACCAGATCCAAACGAGGCATGACAGGTTCCGGCAGACCGCTGGGTATATTTCCCACCAGATTCACATCGAACTCATCGTGCAGATCGAACCACTTGGAGATCAGGGTGCCGCCAATAACCATGATTAGCTCGGCGGGAAAAGGGAAGCGACAACGCTTGCTCAGGCAGGGTTTCAGGCACTCATTGCAGATGGTCATAAATACTATGACTCCCACGCAGAAACCAAAGTTCACCAGGTTGGTGTCGGGCACGCCCTTAATGACATCGATCAGGGTGTATATAATCTTAAAGGCGCCCTTGTAGCGGGCAACCGAAATGCCCAACACATCCTTTAGCTGGGCTGTGACCACATGACAAGCTGCTGCCGTGGTAAAGCCATTGACCAGAGGATCACTCAGCAGGGAGGCCAAGGTGCCCAGTCTAAGGAAGGCCATGAGGAGCTAAGAAAGGGATATAAACTTTAGACATACAAAGGATAATCTTCAAGGTATTTGGAGCTTACGTTTACAATGCCCACGGTCAGGGCCAATGAGGTGACCACCTCCAGCTTTGTGATGGGATCCGCCGGCAGAATAGTAGCCGTGGCATTAAGCAGGGCCAGGGGAGACGTCGGAGCATTCGTCACAGATACCGCGTAATGTGGATGATCCTCCACATTGGAGTACGTGTCCACCACTTTGCGGGTCATCATACTAGCCACTGCAAAAGTGCCTATAGAAATGTGCTTGGAGGTGCCTAGGAACATGTAAACGAGCACCGGAAACACGGCCATGTAGAGTCCATTTCCGGCTGAAACTCCAGCCAACAGACCATACGCCATGCCATGGGGTATGTTCATGATGGCCACCGTGAAGCCAGCAATAATATCGCCAGGCAGATCCCTTCTCGGCGAGTATTTGGGCAGCCATTGCAGGATGGGTATTACGCCGGTGAAGAGCGAGAAGAAGCTCCAGGTATACCAGCAGTTGCGCAGCGAGGAGGGTATGCTCTTGTCCCGAGCCGCATAGCCCGTTTGCTTGATCACCACCTCGTGGGTGAGAACATCCCGATGGATGCTGTATTTTGGCTGGATCTTCGGCTTGCTCGAGGCACTGCCATTTCCATTTGTGTTGTTATTGTTCAGTGGTTTTGTTCTAAAAAAAATTACAGGTTTTATTAAATTAATTTAAACTTTACAAGGAATGAATAGAACTTACTCTTGGCTTTCTTTATCACTTGGCATTTTGGCTATGTCTTCCTCTACTTCTGTGTCCTTTGGCTTTCTGTCCACATTGGGTTCTGTGTCGGTAAAAGGATGGATGCGTAGGTCGCGTTGAAATTGTGAGTGTCTGAAGCGAGTCACTGGGCTAGTTTGGTTCTCTGAATCAAGATTAGTTTCTTTGGGTTTCTTGGGTATAGTTCCAGTTGATCGATTTGGGGGTTTATCTTCAGGGACTATGGGTATTAGCAAGGTGCCAGCTTCGTTATTGTCTATAAAAGGATCCTGGGATATACTCCTCCGTAGCTCTAAGTGAAGTCGCCTATTTGAGCGATCATTCAAGTTTTTTAAGCGCTGCCAGGCATCTTTGGATAAAGATTTCAGATGATGTTTCGGTTTCTAAAAAAGAAAAATAAACTTCATTTAATTTTGAAATCGTTTAAAATATTTTAAAATATTTTTTAAATCATTTAAAATATTAAAATCCAAAGAAAACAATCACCTCTTTAGTGTCACACTATCTCAAGTACTCAAGGAAATGAGTTTTTTGATTCCCCCAATTACACTCTGTATTAAATCTTGCCAAGATCTTCAAGTATATGTTTGGTCTTATCACGTTCTTTATAACGTAAACGAAAATCTGATTAATCAGGTGATACTAAATGGTGGAAAACTTTCGAGACTCCACTTAAGACAACAGCAGCTTATAATCTCAGGCATTGAACCGAGACAATCGAGAATTTCGCCACAACTTCGCTTAGATAACATTCGCGAAAACCGAGTAATTAACAACCCCTTCGATCCAGTATCATCGGAGAACTTTGCCAAACTGAAGCATCGATCATCAGTGACTGAGGTCTTTAAATAACATCCATTGTTCCCCTCGGAATTCGTGAACATTTTCGGTTATTTATTTAATGAATAATGATTTCATAGGCAATGCTAATTGCCTAAATTATTTGATAAACATGCGTTCCATTGGTGACCGCAGAGACATTTGTAGTATAGAATTCCCTGAAGAGGCATTCGCTATCAGTTGTGATTACGCATACGCAGCGTTGGCTACTGACGTATTTTCCCAAGAGAAGATGTTCATCATCTATCAGTGGCCAGCGAAAGCCACTTGCTAAGTGCTCAATAAACTAACGTACACTTGCGATAAATGGGATAACTGTAGAGACTATTCTGTGCTTTTTGTCATTCGTTTCATTGGCACAGGCAATAATCACCTATAATAATCGGTTCATGGTAGATAACTTTTATGGCCGATGTCTGGGCCAGCACAGTTTTATAAAAAGCAAACAATGTGAATAGAAGAATAACAAAAAAGGCTACAGTTAACTTGTTGAAATAATAATAGAATAATTAAGATCCAAGGGCATCTAAACACAGATTTATTAATAACAAATCTGCTTTACTTGGTTAGTGAGAAGCTCAAGCAGCAGCAGGCTCAATTGGAAAAGGTATTTATTTCTTAATGGAAATACTAATAAGCCATAATAACTTAAAACAACTGCCCTGGCTCAAGTGGTTTAACGATAATCCCCACCAGAAATAGTAGCTGCAGTCTTTACTTGTTACCAACTGACACAATTCCCGCTAAGTGACCATAAAACCAAAGCAAGCAACTTCAGAAACCGGATTTACACTCTCTGTTAAAAAATAACAAATACAGACAGATTTTGAAAGCTATATTACAACACAAACTCATACTCTTGCATAAAGTACTTCCCCTGATTTTTTTTTTTCGCTTTTCAGTCGAATGTCAAGTTCAAAGCTTGGTTGAAGAAAATAAATATCTATATTTAATATTTAAATTAGCTGGAATCAATCAGGAGATCAAAAGATCATTGGTTGAGCCAGAGATCAAATGACTCAATTGGGTTAGCATTTCAAATTAGACCGTGTGAATCTGAGTCCAGATATATATTTTAGGCTTTATAAAGCTTTATATATATTACAAATTAAAAGTTATTATTATGTACATTTTACTTTTGACTTTCCTTTTTGAGAAGAAAACCTGCCTTGTAAAATGTCTATTCATCATTTATAAACTCAACCCAAGCTTATAATTAATATTTATTGGCAAGATCTATCCGTTTTCAAAGTAAATAAACCACAAATGACTAATAATATTTACGACAAGTATAAATTAAGCTTCTCAGAAATATAACAGTGAATTTATTTATAAACTCTATACAATTTCGAGCTCCCAAATTCAGTTAGCAAAGCTTTGAAGCTTCAATCGTAATTGCCTCTCCGTATTTTTCGCTCACTTTTCGAAAGTAATGACTAATACATAGTATTTATCCATAAAAAAAAAGTGAGCTTATAATATATAGAACAAACACCTCGAATCCGGTTTAATTGTGATGCCCCTGGGGCATTGTTGTAGCGGTAACTCATTAGTTCTACCAGCAAACCGCTTACGGAGTGCAAAAAAAAAACGGGATTACATACAATTGGCCCAAACCAAATGGCTTATGCAATGGCCCTGATCGCACATGACCAAACCGAGATTAGCCCCCCAAAAAGGGAGCCGGTGGGAAAGGGTAGAATCACATATAGTATATAATTATATAGCGGAATATTTGTGTATAGTAAGCAAGCGGGCCCGCACAGGCGACTTCTTATCGAAAGTGTCCACTTTTGCTTATCAGCAGCCACAGGCACTTCCATCAGCGCTCATTAATCGATGTTTTAACCTAGAAACAGAGACAGAACAGCACTAGAACACGTTGCCATCTGCCTTGGATGACAAATTTGGAAAGGAAATAGTGAATGCCACAAAACACTATATAGGTTTTCATAACAAATTAAATGTTTTCAGGCTTTTTAGCCTTAAATAAATCTTTGTTGATATTTGTAACAGTTATAATTTAGCTAGTGTTTTTGTGTAACTCAGACTAGAAATTAAATACACACTAAGCCCAGGTAATTTTGTTGAATTTATTTTCATTTTTTGATTAAGTTAAACACCTTTTACTTTTATTTCCAATAAAATTGAAGTGTCAAGCGTTTAAATTTTAAGACTACCAAGCAGATAAGACACATGTCTTTACTAAATTTAATTATTAAAATTATTTTCAGAGAGTTAAAGGTATTAAGATAATGTTTTTAGTCAAATTGTCTGACTGTGTTTAAGTTTTTAAGGCCTTTGAACTGGCAATGGAAAAGTACAGACGTTAAAACTTGTTTGTTTTTTACGCTCCCCAAAGTACATTACTTTACTAATATAATTTTTTTCTCCTGGGGGTGACCCTGTTCTTATAAAAACTCAGTGACCATGACGGTGAGCATTCTCAATTTTTTTTTTCAGCCACCATATGCCGTGCTTTCGATATCAAATCATTTATTGCGTAAGTGATAAACCCTGTGTCCCAGTAGATAACGCAGACAGGCAGCTTTGATGGAAAGGAGAGAGCTGGAGCCTGAGGTTGGTATTTATGTGGTACATACTTCAATCATGTTGATTGACTCGCTGTGGCTTTAACTGACGCACTTGACCCGCTCTGGCGGCGACTTCTTTGCTCTAACTTAAGGGAAAAACTAAAAGAAAATCTGGTCAGGGCCCTGTTCTTCTTCCCATTTCAGCTGATGCTGTGTCTCTGCTTGATCTGATAAAAACTGACGTTGAAGTACATAAACGGGCATTTCTTGGCAAAATATTTGTCTGTCTCGGCTGCAAAATTTATGGCGCACGCGAGCTTTTTATAAACTAACATACATCAGAGAGTTAAGCAGGGGTTCGTCTCTTGCTCTTCATAAAGCTATAATTAAATATTATAAAAAAAAATAAAAATAAAATCTAAAAACAAACAGAAGGGTTGTTGGTCCATTTAAATATTTTTAGGAATATTTAACTAGAAAGCGAGTTGCCTTTTAAAAGTAAATCGTGACTCAGTTTCGATAAAGCGTGCCAAAGCAAAGGCCACACACATATCTCAAGTGGTAAGTGAATCACTTTTTATTAAGCCCAAAATAAAATGGTATGTAGATATATAATATTTTATTTGGACTTGTGATAAAGTGGATATAAGATTTTAGATCAAAATAAAGTAATATAGATATTGTATATTACAGAATTAGACTGTAAATAATATGCTTTGGGAATTCTAATAAATAATTAGGAGAGATGTTTTCTATTATATATATTTTTATATATTTTTTTATACAAAGTTTTCCAACTTGAGCCAACGTATAACTCCCATCTTTAATTAGGTCAAAGCTCAAACCCATGTAAACATTGTATCGGAAGCTATTTACATTCACATATATGTAGGTCGCACCCCTTCTTATCATTGCATTTAACCCTTGCCGATGGAATCCAGTTTCCCAATCGATTTGAGCACAAACCTGCACAAACGATTCACAGCTATATTCCACACATTAATGTTTAGCTTCCGTTAGATATGAATTGCATTTATGGCTTGGACTTTGAGTTCCCCTTTGTGTGGCTTCTAGGAAAGGGAAGTGCTGGTGAGGCAGTTGGCAGATTTTTTATATCTCTCTTTGTTTAGATTTCGATTGTGCGGCATTTATTTATTTTCTGTGGTAGGGCAAAAAGCAGCAGCAGCAGAACAGGAGCAGTAGCAAGGGAGTGGGCGGAGGACAGAGGGCGGGCACAGAGCTACATTTTCCAATTTTCCTTCAATGTGTGCGCCAAGCACGCACGAACTTCTGACATCGCGCAGTGGAAGTAATAAAAATAAAAATCAATTGGAATATAGTTCAATTGATGAAAATATTTGAGAACGCAATACTATCGTGTTTAATTTGAAAACTGTATGTACACAGCAGAGTAAGGTTCTATGGCTTCTACAAATGTATTTTGTTTGATTTGTAATTTAAAAAATGCTTTGTAAATAATTGAATGAATATTTTGTAATGGGGAAAAATATAATTAAATGATTTTAAAAATTTAAAAGGTAAGGAAGTGCTTGTAATATGACTTTAAACATATATTTAACTTAAAAATATCTTGAATTATGTTAATCCAGTTCAAAGTCATAACATAGAATCAAATATATTTAATTTTAAAACAATATTTTAAAGAAATAATCCACTTTTCAATGTTTTTTCATAGGGTATTTTAAATTCAATTAAAAAGTATTTTTAAAGCGCTATCAGAAATCCCTTAATCCCACTCGGACGCTCTTTCCGGGTTTTCGCAATTTTAAAGTAACATTTATTACAATTATCGTGCAAATGCTATAAACTTATAACACTTTTAAGACCCAAAACTCGGAAGAAAAGCGTATTGGCAAGGGTTGATCCACAACAGGTGTGAAATTGGAGAGTTTTCGTGTTCATAGCCTCGAATTATTGGCAATCTTTACAACTCACGTATGACTGATAATGTTGAAATAATCAGATTGTGACTAACTTTAAACTTCTGTTAAGTACTTTCTGCATATTTTCTGTTTCTTATATTTCAAGCTAATCAAAAAGTAATTAATTAATTAAGTGCCTAAGATTATGCATTGTTACAAAGTCAAGGCAAATAGCAGCTTTACTATATTCAATTTAATTATTTCTTTTAAAATTCCTTTTCTACACAAATTTGTTTATAGTTATTGTTAATATGCACCAAGTACCTAAGCCTTCACACGGCTAATTGCATAATCTTCAACACTTTTGTTTAGACAAAAATAAAGCAAAACCAATTAAGCGCCATTCCACTATTTGTTTTTGCCAGAGCGTCGGCTTATCAACAGAACCAAATATGTGGAGGGTATTCTCAACTATCGACGCGACAGGTTGGCAAAAAAAAAAATATAAAAAATCGCCAAACGGAAGAACGACATAGCCGGAGACATATGTACAGTGTACATCCAATATAGTATATAAAAAGCATGAAATCATACCCATATACTATATACTGTGCACACTCCATAAGGTCAACCAATAAAAAGGTTTTCCTTAAAAAAATGGCTTTAAAAAAGATTAGAATTTTATAAAGGTGTTATCTAATAGAAGTCCATTTAAATATTATTAACGAAGCAATAATTAATATATAAAATTCCTCAGATAAAGAACAGTCAAGGAGAGCTCAAATATGGAAAGTTTTTTCAAAGCCCAGAATAACCATAACTTGGCAATCACATAATTTTTGACAAAGATATTTGGAAAAGACTTAATCTAAAGGCTGATAATTTTTTTATAACTGCTTATTAAACAAAAATTGTTGAAGTAAAATATTAACTCAAGACATGTTCGTCTTTTGGGGCGTACACTGTAAATCCTATGACTGTGAGTCAAGTGCAAATGCACCCATTAAGAACAAAAGAGTGGAAGGGGATGATTGGGTAAGAGAGAGAGAGAAGTGATAATAAAAACAATAAAGGCAATGAAAAAGCTGAAATAATATACAATTAATTTGATTGTCCCGAAATTGACGAGAAATCGAAAAGCAAACGGAAGAGAGAAGACGGACAACATTTGGCGCACATAGAAACAAAAGAATTTGAGAATCCTCGTTGGTATTTTACCTTAAGAAAACTAAATTAATTTTTGTTGGCAATTGATTCGTTGCCAAACAAGTGCAGCTGTTGTTGTTGTTGTTGTTATTGTTGCTTGTTATTTCTTGTCACCTTCAACTTTTGATAGCGCCCGCCGTTGTTCAATGGTTGTTGCTTTCGTTACGGTATCACTTGTTGCCAGTAAAAAATATGTGATTAACACTTTCCTGGCGCATGCATCGAGAATTGATTGAACTTCAAGCACTCTTTATTTGTTTGCTATTCTGCCAGCACAATTATCACGTATATAAAACTTGTTAAAAGCTCGTAAATTGACGCTAAATAAAATTTTAATAAACTATTATTATAGCCGAATCTTTCGTTATTTATATTTATATTTATTTTCGCTTATTTAACCGCACACGCTCGATGTTTTTCTAATACCAAAAGCGTCGCTTGCGACACACACGTAAACTGTGTCGTCGCTTTGTTGTTGCAGTTGCTAGTCGAGGGGTCGAACGCCAAAAAAAGATGCTCGCGCCAAAAGGAATTAAGTTAAGTTAAGCAGCTGCAGCCGCGATGGGGCGTTCGACTGAGAAAAAACAACTGAGCAACCAGTCATTTTTTTCTAAGCAAAAAAGCTACCCAAAAGCTACTCAAAACTGACTGAACAGCTGTTATCCGTTAGAAAAGCAATCGATATGTTAACTAATCGATATTAATATTCATTTTGTTGCTAGTGGTGACAGTTGAACTCAAAGGTAGTCGATTTTCATAGCAATCGAGGAGGCTCAAGCATATTTTTAACATTTTCTGTATGTAAGGAATGGATTAAAAATTGTTGTAGAGTGTAGAAAGCCGCTAACTTCTTACTAACTTATTATTTTTTGAATTTAACGGGTTTCCCTTTATTTAAAACGTCGCCTATCGTATCGCCTGCATGCGATATTTAATCGATAACTTCTACGTACATCTCTAACTGGCGATTCGAAAACATAAACAAAGTAGAAAATGGACTGGGCAGATGAAGACGCGAGCAGCAGTAAGTGTTTTACTTAAAATATAAGCAGTTGCATTCAAGCAGAAGTATTTTGCAGCAAAGAGGACGGGCAGCGGCTTCCAACTGAGCCGACTGCGGTGGTCCATGGAGATGGAGTATCTGATAGTAGACCTTTGGGAGGAAAACATAGACGACTACTACGGACCGCGCAAAAGAACGCTTGTATACAAGGACATAGCTGACAGAATAACAGCCGAAGGCTTAGAGGTCTCGTGGACTGATGTGCGCAACAAGATTGAGAACCTAACCCGGAAATACAGGTAGTTGCTCCTGGGGCTTAACAAAAGCAGTTATTTTTATATAATTTTCCGCGCTATCGCAGGCAAGAGAAGGACAAAGTCACTGCCAACGATGGAAGTCCATCGCAATGGCCGCATTTTGAGAAAATTCACTCCCTATTGAATTCCGACAGAAAACTCGTACGACCGAGTCAACTGCCAAAAGCAAAAAAAATAAAGGTCGAAGGTCAGTGCAAGGAAACCTTTTGCCTTACAGCTAATTAAATAAGATTCTTTGTAGATAATTCCGAGTCATTTTTTGAGGAGCCCGAGATCGAAATGGACACCCAAACTGAGCTCCTCACCATAGCTCGCGAACAACTGCAAATACAGAGGCAGGAGCAGATATTCAATAGAGAGCACCGACGGGCCCAGATGAAGGTCTTAAAGTACATTGCTAGGTCGCAGAATCGGTTGCATTCCCTGCTGGTTCAGCTTTTGACTGACACCAATGACGATGATGATGATTAACAATTATCTAAAACTACCTCCTAGTTAGAATAACTAAAACTTCATGTTCAGCCAAATGTTTTTTTTTTTAAATTTCGGGCGCAATTGACGCTTTGCTTGCGGCATCAGCTGTGAGTGAGAGGCTTAGGCAGCCATGTGGGAGGGTTCAGGTGGTTCAACTGCCCCTCTACAAAGGGTAGTCAATAATATGTATTAGTAGTTTTGAAATTATTATGTATTTCCTTAAGCACCGATTTTATTAAAACAATTTTATTGAAAAATATAAAGGAAAACTAATATAAACACGTTTTAATCACTGATAGAACCCCCTTTTTAAATTATCGCATACGCCCATGTGGGCAGTCAGACGTTGACGGAAAACGGTGGCCCAATGGGAAACACAGTTTAACATCTATCAACGAAAACCAATTACTGTTATAAAACCCATGTTAGCCTTGCAAGACTCAATTTTTATTCAATTGGAGCATTCCTTGGCGTCTCAATTAATTGTTTTATTTTAATCAATTGGCGAAATATGTTTGAAAACCAGGTTGGCAGCTCCATTATGTGGCAAGCAAAAAGCGGCAGCTCTGCCTACCGGCAAACAAGAGGAGGCGAAGCCATGACAACAAAACAAGTTGTTTCTGATAATTCCTTCATTTTTCACCTGTCACTTTGATACTAAGTTCTGAATAAGAGTTTCTCGGCATGGACAAGCCCCAGTTGATCGAGCACCTCCACGAATCCCTCAATTACACCGTCTACGACACGAAATGGGTGCCGCTCTCCGCCAAGTTTGTGGTGCTCGGCGCCAAGGCCAACGGCCATGGAATCATGGACATCTATGAGCTGAACAAGGATAAACTGGAGAAGGTGAAATCTGTGGAGAAGAAGGTGGCCTTCAAGTGTGGCACCTTTGGAGCCGCGTCGCTGCGAAACCGGCACATGGCCATTGGGGATTTCGAGGGCAGGCTGCAAGTGCTGTAAGAGATTATCAATCCTTCTTTCGATATATACTCCTTCATGCGGTAGTTTACAGGGATCTGGAGCAGCCGGACCTGCCAGTCTACAATGTCAAGGCCCACAGTGCCATAATCAACACCATTGACGCCATTGGAGGGACACAGATTGATTGTGGAGCTCCAGAGATTGTGACTGGTAGCCGGGATGGCGCCGTTAAGGTCTGGGACATCCGTCAAGGGCAGGCCCCAGTGGTGGATATGTCGCCTCCGCCGCAAATGGGCGATGGGGTCAACAGCGCCCGCCGGGATTGTTGGGCCGTGGCCTTTGGAAATGCCTACAACGCCGAGGAGCGGATCGTGGCCGCTGGCTACGACAACGGCGATCTAAAGATCTTCGATCTAAGATCGCTCTCCGTGCGCTGGGAGGCCACCATGAAGAACGGCATTTGCGGCCTGGAATTCGATCGCCGCGACATTCCCATGAACAAGCTGGCCGTGACCACTCTGGAGGGCGGACTTCTGGTCTTTGACATGCGGACCCAACACCCCACCAAGGGCTTCAGCTATGTGGAGGAGCGCAATGCCGGGCGTAGTGTAGGCACAAATGGTGTGATCAGCGGACCAAAGGCTACCGTGTGGGTGGTTCGTCATTTGCCCCAGAATAGGGATCTGTTTTTGACTGGCGGTGGCACCGGCTCCATTCGTTTGTGGGATTACGAATACCCCGACAAGAGGGTCATTGATGATGCGGATGGCAACCGGCTGGGTGTGGCTGGGACCATGCACATGGTCAGTGCGGCCACTCTGAGCTCTCAGCCCGTTCACTGTTTCGACTGGCATCCGGATAAGCTGGGCCTGGCCATCTGCGGAGCATTTGATCAGAGTGTAAGGGTCCTGATCACCACCAAGCTGAACACTTATTAGGGAATCCGAAAATCAACAAAGACGCTTAATACTTGTGATATCGGTTTCATGGGTCTATGCACGTAGATTTATTATATTTTTTCTCAATATAATTGCACACCCACTACTCTAGGAGTTAGTCAGCTAAGTGATCAGAGATGTGCATAAAAAAAGGACAGATCTTTGGTTATTAAATCAAAATAAACTTAGGCACTTTAGCTTTACACAGTAAATGTATTAGTGTGTTTTCTTCTTTGGTGCTCTGCACAAAATGTGGCAAATTCTCTAGACGCAGCTACCGATTCCTGTAAGCTTATCGCACCGAAATGATTGATTAAAAAATACCTTTTATTACCAGAGAGTTAAAAAAGTATTTAATCAAATAAAAAAGTACGTCTATAGTTTACAACTACGAACGCGGCGCACTCATTCGCTCTTGGACTATTTTTGTCAGATTTTCAATCTGTTTTTCCAGCTCTTCTACTTTTTCCTTCTGCTCTGCTGTCACTTCCACGTTAATCACCTTCTTCAAAGCATTCAGACATGAAGTACCCGCCAATCTGGCCGAATTCAACTGCGATGTAATCATCACTTCACTCTCCTCCTGGTTGTGCTCTATAATAGCTGCCAAGGAGAGTTCTGTGACCTCCAGACACAAATCAAGAGCCTTCAGGGCATGCTCTGATTTAGTTTCCCAACCTAAATGTTTGGGTGTGTATGCTCGATAGGATTTCACAAGCTTCTCGGCTTTTTTCAGGGGCGTTGCAGCCACCAAGGCGGCCAGTTCCCAAACAAGAGGCTCGTTCCCATGCTGGATGCTTTGCAATCCCAGAAGCTTGACAAGCCGCTTGATAAGGGCACTAGAACCCGCGGGATCCTCCTTGGAAATACCATAGACGATCCTGGTGAGCACCTCCTGGTCCAGGTAGTGCTGCTTGAGCTCCGTCAGGCGCTGGTATGCTCGCATGGCATCCTCCCAGTGAGAGGTGTCCACGGCCACCAGCATGTAGTTCTCCCAAACCTTCCAGTTGCTGTAGTTGCACTTCAGGGCCTCGCCCAGGACGCGGTGGGCTCGCTGCTTGTCACCCAGCTTAATGAGAGCCTTGGCCAGGTTGTTCCAGGACTCGAAGCCATTCGGTTCCAGGTGGGTGTAGGCCAGGTAGGATTTAACAGCCGCCTCCCAGCGCTCTAGCTGAATGGCGCAATAGCCGCAGCGCAGCAGGATTGCCTCTTGCAGCGTATTGATCTCCAGGGACACCTCAAAGTGATCCATGGCCTTCTCGTATTCCGCTCTCCTGTAGAAGTAGTTGCCCCAATAGGCTTGGGCCTTGCCGCTGGTCTTTTTGGAGTGAAGCCAAGCCTGTTCGTAGCACTGGGGATCATCGATGGCGTCGCCTAAAAGGCAGTAAAGCAAGGCTGTGGGCTTCTTCTCCAGCTCCTGCCTGATGATTTCCGCTGCCTTGTGGCGCAGCTCTAGGCTAGTATAGCACTCGATGACCTGCTGCCAGGCATGAATCTTCAGGCAGATATCCAGCGCTGTCTTGGTCATGCCCAGGGAGCGGAGCAAGTCCACCAGCTGCAGCTGCACTTGCCACTTGGGTTGCAGATGTGCCGCAAAGCCATAGGAAAGGCGAGAGCGAAGGGATAGTTCCTCTTCGGAGCGGTCCAATAGCTTAACGCACTCCTCGCACTGCTTCCAGCTGCGTTCAACCGTTCTGCGCTGTCCGGATTCCTGGAGACAGTTTAAAAGTAGAGCTGCCTGACGCACTTGGAGTGGTCCATGCTCCTGATAAAGAAGCGTTTGGGTGTAGGGCTCTAGCTGCTCGTCCGCCAGACGATCCTTGGGCTGTGAGCGTTTCAGTTGTTTTCTGGAAAAAATAAACAGATAAAAGTGAGTGAAGTTCGTTGATCAGAGACCTTACTCACACCTTGGCCAGGACCAAAGCTTGCAGCACGCTGGGCAGTGTCATCACTTCATTGTCCTTCAGCTCCACAAATCGTATGCGCTCTAGGCGGGTGTCATCTTCCAGGAGCAGCAGCTTAGGCAGCTGTGTCTTTTCATTCGTCTTGCTGGCAGCAGTCAAGGCTGTCTGCTCCTTCAGCTGATCCACTTTAAGGCAGAGCTGGGGTAGAGCCTTCTGTTGAAACTTTGTGCGTACACCCAGCAAACCCTCCACCTTGAGCTCCACATCCAGGTGTGTGCAGAGCTGATCCAGCAGCTGGGAGGACGTATCGGAGCGGTGGAACTGCAGGTAACCATTGGCCAATTCAAGCAGCAGCAGAGCTTGCAGCTCCCTGCTTTCAAACTGCTGTATTTGGGCCTGAAGCAGCACAGCTGCCTTCTTGAATTGCTCATACAGCTCAGCAGCCAGATCATCCAGGACATGCTGGTGCAGGCAGATCAACCGCAAGTGCCACCAGGTCAGCACCTTTGAGTCGGGGTGAGTCTTCAGCAATCCCTCAAGTATTTCCCTGGCCACCAACAGGAGTTCTGCCGTCTTGACATTGGGATTGAGTTCTTCGCCGCTGGCCTTTAGCTTCTCCGAGGCATCCACATCCAGATTGAGCTGCAGCTGGCAATCGGCGGCCTTGTCAAAGGGTCCAGTGAAGTTATTCTGGACAAAGGCAAAGATAAGGCACAGGAAGTCCCTTAGGTCTGTTTTGCCTTTAGCCCGCCAGCGCTGAAGGATCTCCCTTAGGTCCTCGACCGTCCACAGCTCCTGGCGGGTCCATAACAGACGCAGTGCCTCATCGGCGGGCAGATCTAAAGGGTTTTAATATTGTTATTTATGTTTTAAATATTATTTTAGGTAATTCCTACCCTCTGCAGCCACTTGGTCATTAAAGTTGCATAGGTAAAATTCACTGAAAGCCTCGGAAACCATTATCACATGTGTTTTTGTGATGAAATCGCCAAGATTCTAGAATAAACAATCTTTTCCACGTGCTCCGAAAGCCGGTTTGTTTTTGTTATCGAATTCGGCTTTATTAAACAAAATTCATATAAACTTTTTGCTTTGGCTGGATAAAGGGTGAGTTAATTAATTATTTGTGCGAAATAATAGCAATTCTTATTTGTTTAACTGCTGAATTAAAACAAAAACAAAATTTGTGTCTGAAATAAATAAGTTTTGCAATCTATTAAATCAAAATACCAAAAAATTGAAACAATGTGTGGTATTTCAAGTATTTTATGGTCACACCATAAAATTGATGCACGTTTTTCTGATAACGATAACAAACATCGATATTCATCCACCTGCAATCGCAGCAATTGGCGGCATTTTTGAAATAATCGCCGAAACATTTAACTAGAAACGAGTACTTTATTTTTAGCAATTGCAACCCAGCGCCAACGAGGGATACACTTAATTTCGAGTAATTAGACGGATTTACATCATTGACCAAGTCCCGACGGCGCCAGCACGCAAGTTCAGTCTTTTAAAAATAGGTGTGCTCGCCGGCACATAAATATTTACATAACTGCACATGCAGACGACTCGTGAATTGGTCAAATTTCCTTTGAATCTTTATCTGAAACTTAATTATTTTCGGACGCCTAGACTAATATGAAAGTATTACCTGTGATAGAGCGTAGCTTTTTTTTTATTATATTCCTTTTTTTTTTGCAATTACCGGCATACACAGAATGACTAATACTCACGCGAAAGATAGCTTCGGAAAGCTTGTGGGGTATTTTATTTTTTACGTCTTAGCCGCCGTCGCCACAGCCGTAGCTTCTAAATTTAAATTTCACGGTCAAGGTCGTCGATTGCCGCCGTCGCTATCGGAGAACCCGATGGGGGTTGATTGGGGGGCGCTGCGCTGGCGGGGGTGGTGCTGGTGGTGACTCGAAAACAGCGCCACCGAACACAGTACAGTTGGCGTTGGCGGAGAAACAAAAGAAATCGTATCTGCCAGATACGTTTTGTATGCGTTATATTCTAGCGAAACTTGATAGCACGAGATGCGATAATGGAGGGTATTTGGTATCAGAGCCCCGCCCCCCTCCTCCGTTGCATTGTGGAGGGGTTATCTGTGGACGCCACTTATCGTCGAACAGGAATCTGCCCCAGTTCAAGGCTGTCAATGGGGAAAAAAACAAATCAGAGTTTCGAAGATAGATAAGCCTGGCATTTCCCATAATTAAAATATTTAGAATGAAATTTTGGGCCAAAGGTTGGACTCAAAATCTGAAGCAATTAAGGAATAATTTTAATATAAGTAACTGCTGATGAAATATTTGAAAATTAAAAATCATTCACAAATTCTTAAAATAATATTTTTTCTTTCTTATTTATAAAAATTTTAAGGTCCATGTTATTAGTTTATAAATAATTATAGTACTATGGTTAAAGACTTTATAAATAATTCTCTTTTTAAGAAAACTTAGCCTAGCTAAGCTAATTTGATGTAAAAATTGACTGAGCACAAACCCTTTATTGACATTTTTAAAATATATTTTTGTAACATATTTATTTACAATTCATTTGTATATTTATTTAGATATTAGCACCTACCATATTTGTTATCTTAAAATAAACGAAAAATGCTTTTGTAACGGTTTATTCTTTGCGCAAAAAAATACTCTTAAAAACATTTAAATATTCAATTTCACCACAGCGTAAAAAGAGTAAGAAAAGCAAAGCTTTCTCATGATTTTCTCTTCAAAAATGAAATATATCTCTTAGTTTGTTTTGAAACTCTTTGGATCTCTTTTGGGGCCCGTAGCTTTGCTCTTGGCTTAGTCACCCGCCTGCAAGTTTTTTGCCATGTGCTATATTTTGGCGCGATTGTTATTAAACTTTTCGCTCAATCCCCAGTTTCTGCTCTCGTTCATGCCGGCGTTGCATGGCCCATGCACAAATTGCACTGAGCATGGAATCCGCTTGGAGAATCGAATTGAAGCCGGCACGCGGCTGCGGTGTGAACGTCATCATGACCCAAAACAGGCAGCTGAGCTGCCTCGTATGCCGAGCTGCACGTCAGCAATGAATAATGCAGATACTTTTACATACTGCAGATACAGATACAAGATACAGATACAAGATCCAAATTTCTATTGCAAGTGTACAGAGTTGGGATTGAAAGAACAAAGTATTTATGGGAACTTATTAATTGAGCTTAGATAGGTAGATATATAGATAGATATGTAGATATACCATACATATATATAGATAGATAAATGGGTAGAAGGGTAGATAGATAGATAGATAGATATTTAATATTGTATTTATTAATATTTAATATTCTATCTGCAAATATATAAACAAAACATAGTTTTATAGCTAATTGCTCATAATATGTAAAAAAAATAATACTCGAGATTATTGAGTCATATTAAAAATTCATTAATAAAACATTTCTATCTGTAGCTTTTTATTTTATTTTTAAATTGTTTTCTTGCTGAATTAAACAAATTTATCCAACTTGGTATGTCGTTATTAAATATACTTCAGATAACAAATGACGTTAATTCTTATCGAAGCGTTTTTCTTTTATGAATTTATTTTTAAGCTTGACGAATCAGACTTACATGTGTACCCTTTCTTGGACATGTATAAATTTCTGGTTAAAGGCTTTATTCTTTATAAAATAATGACGCAAGCAAAAGATATTAACAAGAAAAGAAAAAATTTCCATTATAAGAGGAATTTACTATCAGTTGTATTGTTGTGGGCTTATTTATACTCTTGATATATTTGTAAAATTATTTAAAAAATCAAAATTAGCAAATTAGATCACAAATTTAAATAATGTCTAATTAAACCTTTGCTGAAAATTATGGTTAATCCTAAAGAGCATTTTACTTTTGTTATTATTTTAATTGAAATTGTTCCCTATGAATAACATTTTAAACTTTAAAAAAAGGGCATTCAAAAATTCAACTAGCTAAATTTTTTAAGAGAAAAGTCATGTCATGTTTTTTATTTGCTTAACTGGTCTTTATAAATAATTTAAAGTTGAAGTTCTAAACACAAAAACAGTTGCTCCGTAACCGCCGCCATCTCACCGCCTTTATTTATATTTATTTATATCTGTTTTGCTGGCTTTAATTGCATTTTGGTTAATTTATATTTTTTGAATTTCAACGCTTTTAATGTTCCTATTTTGCCCGTTTTGCTTGCGAGCCATTCAAGGTCGTTCGGGTTTTGTTTCAATATTGTATATATATATTTTTTTTCACCATTGTGTATGTGTGCTTTTGTTATGGCAAATAAATGCAAATAAATATAATTTGTTTTAGTGTTTATTTTTACTTGTTGCCCCTTTCGAGCGCTCGCTTGAAATAATTTAATTGCTGTGACATAAAGGCGGCAGGCACACACCAGTTGCCCAAACATTTGGATACTCGATTATTAGCTGCCAGTTTTGTTTCTGATTTTTCCCTCCTCCCCCGAGGTAGTCATTCCAAACGATGTCAGTGGGTTTCCAGAGCGTCGGCGCAACATTTTCCAGTCTCAAAACAGTTTTCACTTTCGCTCTGAGACTTTCACATGGAGTTATTGGAGCCCCTCGGTCACTGAGTACCTCTTAAGTTGAAGCTGGGAGCCTTTAACAGTTCACATTTTTTTACAGAACTAAAAAAAATATGTTTTAAAAATTAACTAAATTTTTTAAAGGGAAAAATTACCTTTTTTTTAGACTTATTTCAAAAATATTGTAAGGAAGCGTCTAATTTACCTTAATTCTCCCAAAATTAATAAGAATTTGTCATGTTTTCTTAGGCTTGAAATCACGTAATAATGTTAAAATTATTTTAATATTTACTAGTATATTTACTACTATATTTACTAGCCATTGCTCTTTAACCTTTGTTAACTTTTTAGTTTATAACTATTAGTTAGCATTAAATAAATAAATAAATAAATATTTACTACAATATTTACTACTTTATTTACTATTATATTTACTCGTATATTTACTTCTTTATTTACTACTATGTTTACTACTATATTTACTACTATTATTTAATATTGAATCCCCATCCCCGCCCACGCACTTTTGGCCATGAGTCTTGGCTCCGTTTTGACCTTGCCCGCCTATTAGGAGCCATAATTTCTTGTTTGCCATTCGAAATGGTTAGACCGCTGGATAAATTTTCATATTTCGCTGTGTTGACTAAAATGCCACACAACGCATGCTAAAAAGTTCTACCGAAATTAATTTATTTCGCACTTAATTATTGAGCGCCGAGCGACTGAGAGAAGCGCGCTGACCTTGGCCGGCAGCCTCCGTCGCGACGCCGCCCTCTACCCTCGCTTACTCGTTTCTGGTTGCGATCAAATAACGACTCTGGGCCCCCCCCGGCAACAACAAAAGGCGGGGCCCACAAAAAAAAACACAAAATTTGATCATACTCGGACATCTATTACCCAGAGAACAGCTAAGCGAAGGCAGAACGCAGAACGCAGAACGCAGAACCGAGCAACATTGTAGAGATTCGCGTAACCAAAACAAAAGTTTTCGAAAATAGTTTTTGGATCTTGTGACGGACAACGGGCCATCGCATTTAGATATTTCGAATTTTCTATGAAAATAATGCGCAATTGGGGCAAAAGGTGCTGACTGCAGTGGAATTCTGTGTCTGTGTGTGGGGATCAAGTGACATCACTAGAACATGTGGGAGTCTCACAGGGACGTACGTCTTGCAGTTGATGAGCGAAGCAAGATTTTGGGTATACCCTATAGGGAATGTGAGGGGAAAATGGATATAAAACTATTCTATGTACTTTAAAGTTAGTTGGGATTTTATTTGTATTATTTTTAAAATATATTAATGCTGAAATAAGGGGTACTTTTTAAAGGTAGTTAAAGGATGAATAGATAGATATATAGATAGATATAATAGTTAGATAGATGCAAAGATTGTAAAAGATAGAACATTAAAAGTATTGAAATCAATTTAATTTTAACTTGTACCTAGTCTTCCTAAAATAAATCTATGATAGACACTTTTAATGACTTTTCATTTTCATTCATTTAATTTATTTTCCTTTTGAGAACTACAGTTTAGTCACAACTGGTTACACATCGCAAAAAGCCAACGTAAACCCCATTTTGGTATAAAATTGGCAAAATTACCTAAGCACAATTTCCCATTAACTTCTTTATGGGTTTTTCGGTTTTTCATTG